AGTGCCACTGCAGAATCCTTCAGCCGGACATGAGCCAAGAACCGGGCAGAAGACAGGGGCTAATATCACAGAGAGATTGGGTGTCTAAGCTATTATACTGAAAGATGCAAAATTTTTAGCAAAACAGTCCACCTTCCCACTCGTATGTAACGTGAATATAGCGTGATAGAAACATGCGAAGAGGTATCAGGATCAGGGATGGAGGGTGGAGAGAGAAAAGAAAAATTTACGTATATGGCATGAGTCAGCTAGAATCAATGGCGATCCAGACTTCTACCAGAAGGGGAGACCGTCCGGATTTGGGACAGTGCGGCGTTCTGGTCATAGCGACCCTGTTCGGCGAGGTCGTCGCGTTCGCGGCTGGTGCTGCTTCGGTGGCGGAAGAAGCGATTCCGGCTGAGCGAGGAGAGACTGTGGCCGCCTTGCGAGTCGGTCGACCGGCGGCCTTCCATGTGAGAGGGAACGCTGAGGTTGGAGTGGGAGCCGCGGTGGCGTGAGGATGTGCGACTCAGACGCTCCTCCTCCTCCTCTTCTTCTTGGATGCGGCGCTCAGCGGTCTCGCGATTAGCGGTGCGGACGATATCATCGACGCGCCGGGTACGGTCCTCGAAGACATCGCCCATCACATCCCCGGAAGAAACATCGCGCATACCCAGAGAGAAGTCCACATGCTTGCGCGAGGTGGCGCTTTCGCCGCGAGCGCGGGCCGCAGCCGTCGTCATACCTTTCCGAAGGATGGAGGGCTGACGGGTGGACGTGGCGCTGCTGACGCCGGTGTTCTCTGGGACGCTTTTGTCGGAGATGTCGACGGGAGGGTTCTGACCGTCGCTGGTGGTGGGGCGCGCGTTGTTGAAGTGCCCGTTCTCCCCGTAACATGGAAGGGGATGTCGACCCGGGCACCCTGGAGGGTTCATGCGAGGACCCTCGATACCAATCTCCTGGAGGGCGATCATAAGCATGCAGATGAATTTGTTGCGGCGCTGCAAACGCAGGCCTTCGTTCTGCCAGTTGGACTTGTAGAAGAAGACGACGTTCAGCGTCACGGAGAAGTTCTCGGTCACAGCCCGCATTTCGGTCAGGATGTTGGTCTGGAACTCGCGGCGCTCGCTCCGCACAAACTCCAAGAGACGTTGGCGGAGAGCATCAATCTGCTCGAGCGTCGTGCCGTACTTGATGACAATGGGGATGGCCTCGGCCAGCGCACCCGATCGGCGTTGGTTCAGGATGAAGAGCGTGTTGAGATAGCTGTTCGGCGCCTGGACGACGTGACCCTGCATCTTCTTGAACTCGGTGTACAGCAGAGAGATCTGCTTCACGAAGTAGTCGTCACCCAGACCCGCGTCACCGGAATTACCATAGATCGTGACGCGGTCGCCGACGTCGAACGGATGCTTCACAAAGACGAAGACGACGGACTGGAGGAACTCCTGGGCGGTGGCGGAGAAAAGCCAGGACAGGGCGAGAATACTGGAACCGGCAGACGTAAGGACTCCAGCGGCCGAGGTCGAGATGATGGAGATCAAGACAATCAAAGCGATGACGATGACGAAAAACTCGAGGACATTGTCGAGTCTTGACACAACCGAGTCCAGATCCTTGAGCGAGGCAGTAATGGACTTGCGCTCGCGGCCGATCTCGACACAAACCGCCTCCAATTCATCCATGGAGATATCTCCGTTCATGTCCTTGTCGAACATGGCGAAGGCGGCTTCCGCCTCATCGTTGTCGTCAAAGGCCGCCTTCAGGTCACCGGAGAAGACGGTCTCAAATCCATCGCGCACAAAGGTCCGATAGAGGCGACGGGCGAGCACCTGGCAGCCCGTGGTCGTACGCAGGAGGGCCAGGACGACCTGGTAAGGATGGTTACTGTTGGTGGCTTTGCGGCCGGTGAAGTCGGCGGCCATCGCGCCGGCCATATCGCCCACTTTGTTGAGGGCGCCCTTGGCAACTTTTTGGGCCTTGTTGGCGTACTGCAGGGGGGTTTTGGTGCCACTGACAGGGGTGTCCTCCTTCTTCTCCTCGAAGGCGTCGTCCTTCTCAAAAATTTTGTTGCGGGAAAATTCGTACAGCTTGGTCAAGCTGCCAAATTGGGAATTTGTTGATCTCCATGCAATCGGCGTAGACCCGTGTGGAAGTTATCGCGATCACCGGGACGACCCTTTGACTATAAAGTTCAGGAATCACTAAACACGTCAAGATAATCTTGTTGACGGTATTCTCCCATGAGCGGGTTCGCGAGTCGCCATCAACGTGGTGGTTCTTCATGGTGGGGAGGAAGGAAATCTCCACGCCGAGCCACCAGAAGAAAAGGGTCCCATGTAATTCCAACTGCTTGGCCATGTCGCGCCACTTCTTCGCGTTGTTGGTAAAGATGCTGGCGAGCAAACCGACCACGGGAGGGATACATTTTGTCACAATCTAGCGGAGCGCGTTAGATAATGTGGATGGGGAGATTGAGGGAAGCGGAGAGGAGGTACGTACGCGACCGGCCCAGAGGGTCAACCAGACAATCTCCAACCAGACTGAAAACCACAGGAGCTTGACGCCTCCGACATTGGCATTGGGATAGGCCAAAGCACCGACCAGGAGGGGAATGAGCAAAATGACCACCACGGGAGCGATGTAGGTAAAATAGCGAAGGACGAAACTGGATTCATGGAGTTTTTTGATGAACTTGGCGATACTGGTGGTGGGATTCTCCGGAGGATTGTAGGCGGCGGCCTTCTCGTGCAGGGGATTGGTGGCTTCGTCGAACTCATCCACATTCTGGGAACGACGGGAGCGCATGCGCGAGAGCGAACGGGCGTCGTCTCCTTCTTTCTCCTGCATCTCCTGGGTGGAAGCGCGAAGCGACGCGTTCGGCCTCGAGAACGGCGAGGTCGTCCTCGAGGCGGCATCGCCCTGCTCATCGGGCGGCCGAGGGGGAGCGCAGGGCAAAGCGATCTTGATCATCGGCGGCGTCGGTGTTCACGCCCCGGAGGTGAGTTTCCGCTGCCGAGGTTGGAGCCATCGTTGACACCCAGGACATAGGTCCCTTTCGTCGGAGGCTGGCGTAATGTCATCAGAGTGATCCCTGCGCTTCTCCTCGGGATATTTGGGCGCGGGGCGCTCATCGGCGGGGGACGACATACTGGCACCAGGCCAGAGATGCCAATCCGAGGGGGATAACTAGGGTAGGAGGGAAGGGAAGGAACTAGGTTTAAGGTTAATACAGCACTGGAATGCTGTCTGGGGGAGTAAGGAATGACAGGTGTTATGGTAGAAAGGAATGAAGGTATGACTGAAGGTTGTCAGGGAAATGGGTGTATGTATAAACGAAGGTGGTCAATCGAGGTGAAAGAGAGAGTACGGAGTAGAGAGAAAGTGAGAAGGGAGAGCAATGGCGAGGGAGAAAAGATGGGAGGCAAGGAAAGACGCAAGACCAACCAACCGGCGACGCGAAGGTGGAGATGGGAATCGGCGGGAGAGACAAACGATGGAGAACCAAGGAAATGCACAACACCGACACGCGAGAGGGGAAACAATGGAACAATGGAACCGTGGAAGGGAAATACTCCGGAAGAGAGGGACGAGAGAGAAGAAGAATAGAAGAAAAGAAAAGAAGAGGAGCTGAAGAAGAAGAATAGCAGGAGATAAGAAGAGAAGAGGAAGAGGAAGAGGAAGCTGATTCAAGACGCCGATCGGACGGGACACACACAGTCCAGACCCGGTCCACTTGTCGATTTTGTCTTGTCTGTTTGACCTTGTCTTTTTCTTTTAATTTTAATCTACCTAATCCCGTCTGTTCTCTCTAGAATATAACTCATTCTCTATTTACTCTATTCTATTCTATTCTATATGATTACTGTCGAGTATCTACCCATTTGATCATCGATGAGGTAACTACTGAAACTACTGCTAACGGATCTGTAGAAAAATCGACACTATCCAGCCCGCCAAGAACGCCGCCAACGCCACCCAGGCACGTTCGACCCAGCAATCAAGATGAAACCCGCCGGCCCCGGCCCGAATTTCAGATTTTTCTTTTTTTATGTATGTTCAGTACGTATGTTTTGGTTTCCCCTGAGAGACCTGATCGGAAGATCCCAAAATAGATTATATCATCTCGCTTTTGCATTTCCGATCTTGTCTCCTGCTTGCTGTATAGTATTCCAAAGTACTCCTCCAGTATCTATATCTACATCAACCTACTACTACCTACCCCTCCTTGCGGCCTCCAGATCATCGCCTTCACCCTCGCCCGTTGACGTGTCGCCCCGCTAGAGAGGCGATCGGCCCCCGTTAGGACCGAAGAATGGCCTCGGACTGCAAGCCATGGATGGCCCAGGATGGAGCCCTCGAATCATCATTATCTCATTCTCGCCTCGTCCAACTTCTCCACCCCTTCAAGCCGGCTGATCCTAGTCGCTTTCAGCTGCCGTTCATGCCTCGGATGAAGATGAATGAATCAATGACTCTAGTCGAGCAGGGATACGTCGTGAACGATCTCCCCGCACGAACGATGCGACACCAACAATCCGGATAGCTGATTTGGCATTCGCAGGGAGTTCCTTGCTGCATGTATTGTACGTGCGCCTGCTGCGCACCCACTTGCCTGTGCTCCAGAATACGATCCTTGGTACACTACTGTGCACAATGTACACAATGTACACAATATACTGTACATAACGAGAAAGGACAGTCCTTGACTCTACATGACATCACAACTTCGCCCGCGATCCCAGCAAATGCATCACTTCCCGCACCGCGACCTGCCCCTGCTCAATCGCTCCATCCACAAACCCTCTCCACCCGTCGGCCCAGTCCGCGCTCGCAAACACCACTCGTCCGTGCGGTTTCTGCAACGCATCCAGATATCGAGACGCACTGTCCGGCCCCCAGCATGCCCACGCGCCCTTCGCGTAAGGGTCATTCATCCAGTCGTGCGTCGCGTAGCCTTCAACGTCCGCCGTAGGAAGAACGTCCCTCTGAAACCGATCCACAATATGCCGGTTATCCTTCTTGTCCGCCAGCTGGCCGTTGTACCCAAACCCGATGCACCAGGTGCCAGCCGGGCCTGACGCCTGTGTCCCATTGTGGTCGGAAAAGGCAAACACGAAACTTGAATCGCCGCTCCCATCTGCCGTGTGAAACCATCCGGGGATGGTGTCCCGCAGCTTGAAGTGGATCTTGGCCCCTGCGTTGATATGTCCTGTCGCGATGGCTGCTTGTCGAGCAGGCGACAGGGGCGGATCAAAGACAACATTGCCCAGACAGTTTCTGCCCTCTCGTCAGTATTGGGAACTAAACCTCGCACCAACGCGAGGGACAGCACTCACAGCGGAATGGTAGACACAACAGCCCTAGCTCGCAACGTCCGTCCCTGGGACGTCTGCACCGCAACGCCGTCCCCGACATGGTGGATCTCGGCGACCGTCGTGTTGAATAACAAGTCGCCCTGGTAGTCGTTCAGAATGGCCCGCGCAAAGGCCGTCATCCCGCCTCCCCCAAGCTTGTAGATGCCGGCCTTCTCAAACACCCCCGCCATAGAATGGCCGCCCAAAGCATACCACCGCAGCGCCTCCACAAACCCAATCTCCTTCCCGGGGGCACTCCCAAACGTACTCACGTTCGACTCGAACAGCGCCTTCTCGCGCGCCGAAACGTCCCTTATCTGATCCAGCCGGTCCTTCACGCTCAAATGATCGTACCGCTTCCAAGCCGCAGGCGCCCGGAGCGGATCATGCGGATACGGCATCAGAGCCCGACTATCCAACCCATCGATCGTAAAGAACCGCTCCGCGACCCGCTGCACCACCGCCGCAACATCCTCAATCGACACTTCCTCCACGGCACCCCACGCCGGCCGGAAGAGCTGCTTCGCGGGCGCCAGCGTCCCCACCGACGTCTTCAGCTGCCCGTGCAGCCCGTACCGCTGGAGCTGGTTGTACACATGCGGCTGGTCCCAGTGCACCCAGGTGCCGCCCATCTCGACTTCTTCGCCCAGCACCTGGGCGGTCCAGGTGCGTCCACCAATGCGGTCGCGCGCCTCCAGGAGGAGCACTTTGAGCTGGTGCATGCGGCTGAGGTCGCGTGCGGCAATGAGCCCTGCGAACCCTGCGCCGATCACGATCACATCGTAGCCCGACTGGATAGTCGTAGAGCTGCCCTGGACGGCGTCTGTTGGGAGTCCTTCGGTGGAGTGGGTTGGGGTCCAGAGGTATCCTTCCTTTGAGCGAGGCATTGTGTGGCTTGTAGACTGTAGATGGAGGTGAATCTTTCCGGAGCTTGATATATAGTAAGTCTGAGGGCTCATGTGAGTCCATCTTCGTAGGTCGCAGCTTGTTGACCTTTGTATGGAGAGGGCCCCGACGCACTTTTTTGCCATCTTCGGTAAGCGGCAATCCTCGGAGTCCCGTCTGATTGTGCTTCCTGTCCATCGCACTATACTCCCCAGTCTGTCATGGACTATGTCGCTCTATTTCTTAATTGGCCTGGGAACTAAAGTTGGCTAGGTTAAAGCGGAAAGGCCAGTGCTACGCTCCACATATTGCGGACTCATATGAAAATGCAGTATCTATTCAGCGAGAGTGCATATGTAAAGCTATCACAAACTCTATTTCCCCGAATAGTCGAACCGACCAGAGCATACCAGAGGAACAAAGTTGTTTTGAGTCAGCGAAGGGTCAGGGAAACAGAAACAATTAGGGCCAGATCTAGACGGAAGCAGGAGAACCCTCTTTGCGTCCTTTGACAACCAGTTTGCATCCTCCAAAACAAGCCACCGCCACTGGGCTGCATCCTCATATAGAGAGGAAACGCGGAGCTGTCCGAGGTTGGTACAAGGCCATCGCCCGCCCCTGGAGAAGCCACTAATTCTCAGTGGCGTCCGGAAAGAGCATTCACCAACTTTCACAGCGGGCTCTCTTTGCCAAAGCTCGACGTTGAAATGTTTCCCCAGCACAATCAAAAGGCTGTCTGGTGGGAATGCTAGACTGGACGGCTACCCCCTCTCCCCTATCGGCAGCCCGAAGCTCAAGCTTGAGTGATAGACGCTATCGTATCTCCAGTGATCACGCAGTTCAACCAATATCGTCTCGCTATCCTGCGAGAAGACAAGATCCGTCCGCTTATAACATACGACGCATCAGCTCAGGTGCCAGCATGCTTTGTATTGCTTAAGATCACCCAAAAACAGCCTCGAGTTTCTCCTCTATCATCACCTCCACCCACTGCACAAACCCAGTTGCGGTCCCTCTGGTAGTGGGTCCATTGATGACCGCATGGACATCTGCTCTATCCCAGACCCTCTCGAGAATCTCCGACGCACGGGACACTGCAGCCATTCCGACATAGTGGTACACCGCACGAAGACGCTCACGCGCAATTCCTCGCCAGTGTGTATATATGTGCTCTTGACTGGGGATGGCGAGTATTTCCGTAGCGAGATCCCCCCAGGAAGATTCGTCGGAGCTGTTGGAGCTAGCGCTCGGAGCGGAATGACTTGGCTGCAACGTGCTACCGGTAATAAGCAACGGAATGGTCAACATACAATTGACTCCAGACGTATGCGGAATCGATTGGATGAGGGTCAGGATCCCCGTCGCCAGGGCCAGGAGTCTGTCCGAGACTATGGATGGCTCTTGGGAGCCTTGGGAAAGAAGCTCGGGGAACACACGGTAAAGCTCAAGTAGAGTCGATAGTCGATAGATTTGGGCCATATGTTGTAGGTGGGCAACGGGTGTTAAGTCGTCGCCTGGGTCCCCGATTCGGTCTTTGGCCGGGGTTTTGTAATGCAGAACAGCCTGTTCCACTTCTCGCGCCTGCGCCACCAGGCTGGCTTGCAGCTCCGTACGGATGTGCGTCGTAGAGGCTGCGATTGACAAGTTGCGGAGCAAAGTCCGCTGTCTGGATAGCGTGCCGGTTTTTGCTAAGTATATAAACACCGGAGTACAGATGCCGGACCAAGGATTTGGGTAGATGCTATCCACCCCGCTCTGGTCACAGAACTCTTCTAGGTGAGACAGTGCATCGAGGGGCTGGTCCATTAGAAAGGAGGCCACAGCTTCCCAATGGGCCATGATCCCTACGATGAAGCTATTTACCCGAGAGGAGTATACTGCTACGGAGGACGTCCTGTTGGGCTCTGAGATGCCTGATAGCCATCGCTTGAACAAGACTCTGGCTCCATGTAGATGCGTAATGCCAAGGAAGGAAGGACTGTGCCATCCCTAGAGCGAGGTGTCAATTATTTGAAATGCGTGTGTAGGAGTATAATGTACGTACCTCCGTGGTTCCAAGGAGGATGCTAGCCAATAGTACCTCGACATGCTCATCGGACAGCCCACTGAAGCCAGCGCTCTTATCCTCCTTGACTCTTATAATCTCCCCGGTCAAGCACGATATTGCACTGGTTCTGTGATGCAACGCAGCTGTCGACAGGTCCCTGCGTTTCCAGGCTAGATGGGCGGCGGACATGGATAGTACGCAGTGGTAGATGAGCGGACGCGTAGTCATCATACCTCCCACCTCCACGCGGAAATGGTTCCAATGAGAATCGAAACATGAGTTAATATGACAGATTTCAGAGAAGTAATGCCGAGAGATACAAGTGTCGTCGTCTTCTAGGGGTGATTCTAGCAACATCATCGGGTCAGGCCATTGCACAAAGGTGCCTGTGAAGTCGTCCGCGTTCTGGTCAATTGTCCGATCCCCTTGATGGTTGGAGGCGTCGAGGATCGGCTCGTATACAGAGGTATAGACCGAGGCGGTTTCTTCCAGAACTTCGTCGGATGGAGCATATTCAACAGGTGACGGTGGACTCAGTCGGACTGTAGGAAAGTCGCAAGGGTCCGTCTCTGACCCTCTTTGGGTGCCCGGCAGAGCAGCATCCGGCGACCTGAAACTAGTGCCGGAGACACGTTTGTCGTTTCCCCGTCTTGCTGCCTGCGCTTGGCCATCGACATCCCTGCCAACTTCGTATTTCGATGACCATCTCAGCGGCCGCTTATATCCAGGACATTCATATGCTTTTCGGGTACACTGGTTGCAGTGTGGGACAGTCTCGTCACATTTGATCCTCTACTTAATCAGCAATGAAAGTCTTGATCTCTCTATTAACACAAACTCACGTACCCGTTGCTTGCAACGCAGACAGCCGCCTGGCTTAGGTTAGGCTACAGTGTTATCTGCGACACATATAGTAACCATTTTTGGGACTTACTGCGGGTCTTCACTCGTCTGCGTGCATTCTGCTGCTTTTCGGACATGATTGATGATTTCCGAGCGGGTTCTAATCGTTCCTTCTAGGGAGTCAGGGTCGACGGAAGCATTGCACCTAATGTAGTTCCGAAAATGCGGGGAAACCTTATCTCCACGAGCGAAGATAGGCGACAATTCCGCACTTGTCACCATTATCCTTATTGAAAAAGTCTTTCCTGCTCTTCCGGCCATAGATAAGGGCACGTAGTCTCGGCAGAGAGTCCTTAACTCGGCCACCTTGTACTCTGTATCAGTGGTCAACAGGGAAGCAGTGTGCCGCTGCCTATCTCGGAGCCCTCTCTCTGACAAGGAGACTGCTGCAGATAGCACCAGGGATGATTTATAGGGTCTACTCGGCAACGTTCCGAAGAGGTCAACGCCAAGTGAGGGCTTGTCGATGCATGGGAGAACACTTCCTCACGACACCCTGTCGGGAAGCCGCACAACGGTATATCTATACACTTGCGAGCTCATTTCGTTCCGGCCCGGGATTCCGCTGCGTCTACGGAGTACTCGAAGGAGTAAAAATTGCTCGCTTCAAGGATGATCCGCTCCCCTGTACTACGCTAGACCCAATCAATACTAAAAGTGCGATGGAGTATCTTCTTGGCGGTCCCAGTGTGCATATGTTGTCGTACATATGGAAGATCTTCTATGGAGCATGCTCAGAGCGGGACGTTCTTATTCTTTGTCTTGGACAAACCCCTAAAAGCCCCGAACCCCCTCTATCTCCCTTCAGACTGTCTGATTCCATACTCACTCAGACAACATGGAGTCTCTACGCAAGAAATCGCACCACGATTCAACTATTACACTCCAAGAAGACGGAGGGGAACACAAGAAGGTCGAGGTCGGCGAGGTGCACGAGTTAAAGGCAAGCAAGTTCTCACCAATATAGGGGAGTGTATGTTAACTAACACTTCCGTCTGCAGAGAGGCTTCTCACGGCTCACTGTCCTCTCGATGGGCGTTGTGCTTATGGCAACATGGGAAGCCCTATCAAGGTAGACGGATAGACCTACGTTCTCGACGCACTGGTTCTGACGATCTTACTAGTACAATGGTATCAGGCCTGGTTAGTGGGGGACCAGTGTCTCTTGTATACGGATTTATCTGTTCGTTACAGAAACCCCGTCACATAGTCGTGCATGGCCACGACGTCCCCGACTCCTACTGACTCATTTGATCAGTGGCGGCGTGCGGCTCAATAGCAACAGCAGCCTCCCTGGCTGAGATGGCTTCAATGTAAGGAGCCCACTGTCAACAAAAGGTTTTCGTCGCTCATCAGATGGCAGGTATCCTACCGCAGGCGGCCAATACCATTACATCGCCAAACTGGCGCCCAAGAGATGGCGCGATATACTTAGCTGGTCCGTTGGATGGATAGGTTAGCAATCTACCCCCCAGGACTCTGACTATGACCGTTTGATTCACTCGGCCCCAAACCAGCAACGTTCGGATGGATTGCGTTCTCGGCCAGTGCGCCTTTTATGGCAGCTACCATGATACAAGGCCTTCTGGTTCTCAATTATGAAACGTACAATTTTCAGCGTTGGCACGGCACGATGCTGTACTGGGGCCTCATTGGTCTGGGTGCAATTGTCAATATCTGGGGTTCCCGGCTTATATCCCTCGTCGAGAGTGCTTCGTTGCTTATCCACGTCATCGCATTTATAGGTAATTTCGTGGCGATTTGGGTTTGTTCGCCAGCGCGGCATTCAGCAAGCTTTGTTTTCACGTTCTTCCAGAACAATACAGGTTGGGCGAATAACGGTGTCCCGTGGTGTATCGGCATGCTCTCGAGCTGCTATGTCTTGGTTGGTGAGTGGGTACGCACGCATCTAGTCGTATCATTAACTGACAAGTTTATTTTATCTTGTACAGGATACGACGGAGCGATCCACATGGGAGAGGAGATGTTGCATCCAGAGATGTCTATACCGCATTGTATGCTGGGCTCGATTGCGATCAACGGTGTTCTAGGTTTCGCGTTTTTGCTGGCTCTCCTGTTCTGCATGGGTGACATGCAAACCGCGCTCAAAAGCAGCACCGGCTTTCCCTTTCTCGAGATTTTCAAGAATGCGACGGGAAGTGCTGGCGCGAGCTCCGCCATGGCGGCCCCCATTATTTCCATTGCAGGACTGGCTGCTGTTCCACTAATGGCTTCTACTGCGCGCATGGTATGGTCGTTAGCCCGCGATAAGGGTATGTCACTGTCTTCCACCTAGTTCTCGCTGCAGAGACTCAGACCGTTGACGAGATATAGCTCTTCCCTTCTCCGGATACCTCTCGAAGGTCAACCCCCGATCCCAGTTACCTACCCGCGCCGTGCTAGCAACGAGTGTAGTCATGGTCCTTCTTGGCTTGATCAATATCGGGTCGACGACCGCTTTCAATGCGATTATCTCCTTGGCGGTCTTCGGTCTTCACGTCTCCTACTTGGTGCCGGTGGTCTTCATGCTGTGGCGTCGCCTTGCGACACCCGAGCTCCTTACATACGGACCCTGGAAACTGGGACGCTTGGGAATTGCTACCAACATCATCTCCCTGATCTACCTAACATATACCAGTGTGTTTATGGTATTCCCGCCCTACCAGCCGGTGACGGCTGTGAACATGAATTATGCCAGTCTGATCTTCGGGGCGGTACTTATCTTCAGTGGAGTGTATTGGGTCTACAAGGGCAGGAAGGTGTATGAGGGACCGCAAGTTGGACTCCATGAGATGTAATGCCAGTGCCGTGGATCAAACCAGTCGTTCTGTATGGAGTTGAAACCCCCTCTTGTACACATTAAGTGGGAGGACCGGCCGTCAAGACGCCGGAACGTATATGTGGGCCCTAGCAGAGTGTGGAGCAGACATTATCAACCAGCCATAGCCTTGGAATAAGCGCCGAAGTATTGTATTGTACAGACAAGGGCCCATATTGGCAAGAAAAGTGGACTCGCGCATGGGCCAATGAGACATTTCCTGTTGTAATGGACGGCGATCAGGCTATATATTCCGAACATAGCCCCCTTTGTGAGCTCTCTTTGACCTAGACTATAGGTACCTATCTCCTTTGATCCTATGAGCCTCGTACTCTTACATGAGCTATTAGTCTTTACTCCATCTACCATCAACTCTACCTAGTTGGAATACCTGTTCGGTATAGTAAGTTATCTATCCTTGAAGTAACACACATCTAGTTAATATACCAATTTACATAGCATTCATTGTGTTGCATTATTATATACAGCAACATGGAGACTGAAGATCTAGAAAGCCCCAATCCTTCTCATACTGCTAAGATCAGTTTTAAGAGGCAACTATTCGAGGGTGCCATTCTTACAATGGTGGCTCTTTACACTGGCTCCTCTTTCACCAACTTTATATTGGGTGAGGCTATACCAGGCGAGCGTGACGAGAATTATATCCCCCGGTTCGTGATAATGTTTCTGATTAATGGGTTATTTAATTTCTCGTACAAGAAGTACAGAGGTGTGTAAATACGTATATTATTTTTCGAAATCATGGGAAGCGACGGATAATCCAGCAGCCGTGCACAAGAATGGGAGACGGCATCAAGTACCGAGAATCCTGGGGTCGACCATAGTATCCCCTCTTAGTACATGTTGACTATACGTCTGAAAAGTAAGTAGGCAGTTCTGTAGGATAAGATTGAGTCTACCTATGTGTCTTATTGTAACCTGAAGCTTTGGTCTCATTGGACAGCGTGTCGGGGCGTCTGGCCATCCGGGGCCGAAGAAGGGTCCTCTCCTATTGCGCAGAGTGTCGGGTCTTGGCATACAGTCCGGGGCCGATGTGAAATCCTTCGCGGTGATTGGCTAGATAACATTGCAAACGAAGTATAGACACGAGGTATAAGAACCCGCGCAGCTCAACATCCAACACCACACTCTCAGCTTGAGATGCATTGATCCATTTCTAAGATGAGTGAACAGAGGGTGAGCCCATCAAAAGATGACGAGAGGCCCCACGAGAACGGAGACCTCGAGGCAGCCAAACCCACTCTCCCAGTCGAACCATCCTTCGACGCCGAAGCCCAGAAAGACCCGGATCTTGTTACCTGGAACGGACCAGGCGACCCTGAAAACCCCAAGAACTGGTTCAAGAGTGTGAAGTGGAAAAATACGTGGGTTATCTCCCTTTTCGTTTTCATATCCCCAGTCTCCTCATCCATGATTGCCCCTGCTATGCAAGATCTGGGCAAGGGTCTGGGGATGCGTTCCGATATTGAAATATACTTGTCTATGGCTATCTTTATTCTCGCCTACGCCATTGGTCCGATCTTCTTTGGACCAGCTTCGGAGCTGTACGGCCGCGTACGTCTGCTTCAGGTCAGCAACGTATGGTACTTGGCCTGGAACTTGGGGTGCGGATTCGCCCGGACAAAGTCCCAACTCTTTGCTTTCCGCTTCCTTGCAGGTATTGGGGGGAGTGCACCGCTAGCAATTGGAGGAGGCGCCATCAGGTCAGAGAAACATAACCCCCGAGACATACTGTTTCTGCTGACCGGACTTGCAGCGATATGTGGACCGCCGAAGAACGCGGCAAGGCGATGGGCATCTACACTCTCGGGCCACTCTTGGGGCCCGTGATTGGACCTATTGCAGGAGGCTTCATTGCAGAATACTCGACATGGCGCTGGGTTTTCTGGGCAACCTCCGCTTCGGCCGTTGTCGTACAGATTATCGGGCTCATTGGACTGCGAGAGTGCCACCCGGGCACGCTCCTGCGCAAACGACGTGGCTTTCTGGCCCAGCAAACGGGCAAGACTACGCTGCATACGGACGAGGGGACCGAGGCGCTTGCTTACAAGCTTCTTCATGCCTTTCAAAGACCGGTCCGTCTGTTCGTCACGCAGCCAATCGTCTTCTGCATGGCCGTCTACATGGCCTACCTCTTTGGCGTCACGTACCTGATGCTCGCAACGTTCCCAGATATCTGGACCAAAGTCTACCGCGAGAGCCCCAGTATCGGCGGACTGAACTACCTCTCCATTGCTATCGGCTCCTTTGCCGGCCTCTTCTTCAATCTCAAGCTAGTCGACAAGATGTACCGGACGCTCAAGGCGCGCAACAACGGCATCGGCAAGCCCGAGTACCGCATGCCGTCGCTGGCCGCGGGCTCCGTCATCAGCACTATCGGGCTTTTCTGGTACGGCTGGAGCATCGGGCATACGCACTGGGTCATGCCCAACATCGGCGCGATGATATTCACCGCGGGTACCATCTCCTGTCTGCAGGGCATGCAGACGTACATCGTCGACAGCTACCAGACCTACGCCGCGAGCGCTATGGCTGCCTGCGCGATCTTGCGCAGTCTGTGTGGCTTTGCGTTCCCACTTCTCGCCCCGTATATGTATGCCTCTTTGGGCTATGGATGGGGTACGAGCGTCCTGGCCTTTATAACAGTGGCTATTGGTTGGACGGCACCTGTGGTGTTCTGGTTCTTTGGGCCGAAGCTTCGTGCTCTTTCTAGGTACGCCGCTGGGTAGGTTCGGGAGGGTGCGACGGATGAGGAGTGTCTTAAGCAGCGAACACTGGTGATTGCGCAACCTGGGGTTTGGCTATTTACAGCATGTATGATGATGGGGAGATTGTATAGATTGTGATTGGTTGTAATTTACTTGATACGATAAGGTATCATGGAGAAGTCGGCTTGCCAAGCAGATCGGTGTATAAAATGACCCATCCTCTACTTTTGCAATACTATCAGCTGGCCGCACTGCGGCGCTGCATCTTTCCAATATCTGAGCACTTGACCATCGTATGCCCCTGGGCAAAAGGCCTCACTCATCCCAGACAGGTCCTCCGGCGCAGCGGATTTTAGAAGACCAAGTCTGAAGTATCCAAAGCGCCATCGAAGCCCATGTCCGTCCCATACATATCTTCAAACCATTCACCAAAACAAAACGCATCGTCCACAACCATTGTGGGCCCCTCTCCTCCGCTAACGCCCTTCCTCTGCCTGCTGGCTGTCTTTTCGCATCGGGCCCGTAGTGCACTTATAAATTCCGGCTCTGGAGACGATTTATCTGGCGGATTTGCGTGCCATGCCTTGAGGGTTACCCTGCCGATCGCGGTGTGAAGAGCTTGTCTTCCCTCAAAAAGTTCCTTATGATTTGAATATATTTGCGCAACTTTATTCCATGTAGTATAAAGCTCCGAGGGCGAGTAGAAACCCACATCAGCGAGGGAACGCAGGATGCACAGAAGCGCATCCCACAAGAAGAAGGCTTGCATCTGCCACCGGAACCCCTGAATGCTGGGGTTATTGTAAAGCGCAATGTTTGTATCGAGGATTTTGGCTGCGAGAGCACAAATGTCTCTCCTTTGCTTGTCTGTGGTCGACTGCTTCGTTAGCAGTGGCATTCGAGCCCGCAGACGAACCGCATTTGTCGCAGATCGGACCATTGCAGAAGTCAAAAAGTGCACCGGGTTTAGGATATCGCAGTATCGAAGAAAATTAGTTTCGATGCGATCCTCGACGTCGTCGATGAGTCGCTCAATATCCTCCGCATCCCTAAATTGAACTGTTGCCCCAAGCTCTTTCCATTTAATACCCGTCCGGGTATAGAATTTGGACAGCTCGATCCGTGACAAGCAGTAAATCATTTCCGTGGCGCCCCTCTGCGGTTGAGGAAGCTCTGTCATTCCAGGGTAAATTTGATCATCGTCAATGTTCAACGGTTGCTCGGTATCCCAGCTATTCGGCGGAATCGAGATCCCAGTACCGGAAACTTGACCGGCATAGCTGTCCAGCGGCAGCAGTTGCCAGAAGAGCCGTCGTCGCATCTGAATTTCAAACGGTGGCAATCCGAGACCTTCCCCATCCCGGTGGATCCCCATTCGTTGAGCAAGACGAATCGCAATTCCCGTCAGTATCCAGAACGTGTCCGGATCGACTTGAGTCCGCATTGCAATGAGGAAGAGGGTGTAAGCCTGTAAGACCCCCATCGCTGTAGTTTTCAGCCACGACGCATTGATGAGGGCCTGGTGAACCGCAGCCCGGTATTTCGACATCAGATGGCTCTTCGATGTGCGGAACTCCTGCAGGCAGTCCGCATCCGACATGGAGAACACGGCAAAATAGTAGATGGCAAAAATCAGGCATTCATCGTACTTCGAGGCAACCGATGGTTCTTTGGAGACAGCGTCGACTATTTTTGCAACAGTGGGGACATGCAGAACCTTGCATAGGGGCTCAACGTTGCGCACGTACGCATTCCAAAGCTTTTTCGCCTCCTCATGGCTTGGGTGTTGCTCGCTGAGGCTCTGGGTGCTCTCGAGAAAGATCCCATTGATTGGCTGAGCTGCGAGAACACCACGGAGACCAGCCGAAGCGGTCTCGTCAGCCCTGGTGTCGTCGTTGGGATCGTCCTCTCGGTCGGAATCAGATACCTCGCACAGTTCCCCATCTCCCACGTCAAGAAGGACATTAACCATATAGCGAGACTTGCCGTCGGCGGAGCGCAGTTTCCCCGACCTTGCGGGCTGCGAGTCCGACATTGGTGGGTTCGGTGCCTCTGATGCGCTGTCGCATGGGGTCGACGTAGAAGTTGTCGGGAGCAGGTTATGGTCGCGCAGGATGCGCTCGTACTGCTCTAACCGCTCCTGCACATCTTCAGACGGGCCTCGCCTTCTCTTTCGCGGTCGGGGAGCCTGGTAGATGCATTGGAGCTTTGCTTTGCTGCAGCCTGAACATGTCGGTGTTATCCTGTCGCATCTGGTTTTCTTGCGCGCGCACGCCTGGCAGTTGAAGCCCATTTTAGGCATGTCGGGATTAGAGTCATGCTGTGCCTGGACTGAAGAGGTCTGGGCTGGTGCCGGGGCGATTGGGACCAGGCGTGAGGCGGCCATATTGGCTTCCATATTAGGTGACCGGTTGATCTGAAAGTCGCACGAAGCCAACTACGCCCCGGACGTATGATGCAAGTCAGAGTGTTTCATACATAATCAACCGCTCTGGCGGAGGATAAAGACGTCTTCAATGGTGTTGCGTGGTAGGCAATGTATACGGATTATGTCAGCTGACAGGGTCCCTTAATAATGAAGAGCTTAAGAGTCCAGAGACATACCAGCCTAGGTAGTCTATAAGATAAAAGACAATTGACTGACTAGAATCTAATCAGCATTTAGTTACATCATTTGGTAGAAACAAGCCAAGCAGATCAACTTCCGGGAAGAGTTAAGATACCTCTATAGTTGCTGGCATATAGCATGACTCCGGTGCATCCCGAGCATCCATAAAGCTGCTGGATATTACGTTGGCTGGTCTGCGGGTTGCATCCAGAGTAAATAAACATAATAACTATACTCCGTAAAGATCAGGCCATGGTATCATGAAGGAAACGACCTACTGAATGGAAGAAAAGATCAGGCAATGATAGAATGCCTCAGGCTGCTTCCCCGCCATGGCGATCGGGGGCAATGATTGGCGGAGACGGGATTGTTTACAGCAGCACCCACTGGGGCAGGAACCACCGACCACCTTCTCGTTGTCTCTCGCTTTCCTTCTCCATCTTCCCTTCACTTCTTCCCATTCCGCTGGTCTTTCATCATCACGACCTCTGGGATACTCATCTTTCCACCCTACTGACTTCTTCTTGACTCCCGACTTCATTCAACACCATGAGAGGCGAGGTACGTGATTTACTCTTCCCCCGCACCCCCCTCTATCAGTGAATCGCCCCCCTCCCGCGCGTCCCCTGAACGGGATACCCCATTGAGACTCCCGCCCTAATGACCTCCACCACCACCACCACCACCACCACCAACACTTCATCATGGCCCTGTGATCAACCGTACGGACGCAATTGTCTAACCATTATCTTTTGGCTTCCAGGTCTGCCATATCCACATCGGCCAGGCTGGTACCCAGCTGGGTAACAGTGCTTGGGAGTTGTACGTTCTCACCGCTTTTCTGCCTCTCCTCTTTCTTCACCCCACCACCGTCCCCTTAGCGCCCCGACTCATTCACGATCATCCAGGTATCTTCTCGAGCATGGTCTCAAGGCCGACGGTCGTCTGGACCCGCAGGCGGCAGAGGGACTCAACGAGGGCGGTTCCTTCGAGACCTTCTTTACCGAAACCAGCAATGGCAAATACGTCCCTCGTTCCATCTTCGTCGATCTCGACCCGTCGGTAGGTGGAAGAACAACACATGCTGGATCAAAACATATCCAAGATCGAAACTAATTTGTATAGCCCGTTGATGAGATCCGCACGGGTCAATACCGCCAGCTCTTCCACCCGGAACTGTTGATCAGTGGGAAGGAGGATGCCGCCAATAACTGTACGCGCCAGCGCTCAGAATATAACACGAAACCAGCTGACATTTGGCAGACGCCCGTGGTCACTACACCGTCGGAAAGGAACTGGTCGACACCGTCGCTGATCGCATCCGTCGCGTTGCCGGTATGTCACCCACGTGGAGCGAGATCACTCCTCTCTCCAAGTCCCTCGTGCTGATTTCTTTCAGACAACTGCTCGTCTCTGCAGGGTTTCCTGGTCTTCCACTCCTTTGGTGGTGGTACTGGTTCTGGCTTCGGCGCTCTCCTTCTGGAGCGTCTCTCCACTGACTATGGCAAGAAGGCCAAGCTGGAGTTCTCCATCTATCCCTCTCCTCGCGTGTCCACTGCGGTCGTGGAACCATACAACGCCGTTCTGTCCACCCACAGCACCATCGAGAACTCGGATTGCACCTTCTTGGTTGACAATGAGGCCGTCTACGACATCTGTCGTCGCAACTTGGACATCCCCCGGCCCAGCTACGAGCACCTCAACCGCCTGATCGCTCAGGTCGTTAGCTCCATCACGTCCAGTCTCCGATTTGATGGTGCTTTGAACGTCGACTTGGCCGAGTTCCAGACTAACTTGGTGCCCTTCCCTCGTATCCACTACCCCCTGATTTCGTACGCCCCTGTGGTCTCGAGCAACCGCAGCTCCCACGAGAGCTTCCGGGTTCAGGACCTGACCTTCCAGTGTATGTATTTTCGCCTCCTTGGAGAAGTGTTTCCCCCACTAACGAGACGCAGGCTTTGAGCCCAACAACCAGATGGTGGTTTGTGACCCTCGTGAGGGCAAGTACATGGCCGTGGCTCTTCTGTACCGCGGTGACGTCGTGCCTCGCGACTGCACCCAGGCGGTTGCAGCCCTCAAGGCAAAGGCCTCCTTCAACCTGGTGGAGTGGTGTCCCACTGGGTTCAAGCTGGGTATCAACTATCAGAAGCCCGTACGTGTTCCCGACAGCGAGCTGGCTCCCGTCGAGCGCTCTGTCAGCATGCTGTCCAACACCACCGCCATTGCCGAAGCCTGGAGCCGTCTTGACCACAAGTTCGATCTCATGTACTCGAAGCGCGCCTTCGTCCACTGGTACGTGGGCGAGGGTATGGAGGAAGGTGAATTCTCTGAAGCCCGTGAGGACTTGGCAGCTCTGGAGAAGGATTACGAGGAGGTTGCCAACGACGGCATGGATGCCGAACCAGAGGAAGAAGCCGAGTACTGATAGCTTCCGACTTCTGATTATTTCCGCGTTGAGTGATTCTTGGAGTGTTTGATTTCCCCGTGCCAGAACCTTGTATGCCTTCTTGTCTGTCCTTTTACACGCGACACCCCCTTCCGTTCCTGCTTCTAGCGTTTTTTGAGTCTCCGTCGTTGGCCGGCGCGCCAGGCGGGCGACAATTCCCATTTCAATATGAATACATGTATTAATTGTTTCATATGACTTTGTTGTGGATCAGAGAATACACAATGACACCTGACACGCTCCTGACAATGCCCAAGAGAAATGAAAATCTAATCATCTATTAAGGATAATAATGTACACAGGAATACCGCTCCCCACGCCAGGTGGACGGATGGATGGATTGATCACTCATCTTTTTGCGCCGCCACTTCCATGGCCTGGAGAGCCCGGAGCGTCTCCTCGTACGTCCACATGGTCACCGCGCTTGCCGGGGCCGCCTTGAACAAGCTCACAGTCAGACCCCGGTATAGACCCCGTACGCCCTGGGTGCGCAGGATCAACGCCAGGGTATTGAACACGCCCCGATACTCGGGGATATTGCGATGGATGTAGCGCGAGCGTGTAGGGCCCTGGACCTGCAAGCGCTTCCGCACCAAGTCTAGCGGGAACACGCCGGTTTTGGCGAGCACGCTGGCGATCATGCCGGCGAGGGCATCTCCCGAGCCGAAGGGGAGGTCCTGGACGGTGGCCAGGGACGGGCGTAACGACTCGTACGTGGCGAAGAAGAGCCCCATGTAAGGCACGATCTGGCCGACGGCGGCGGAGCAGCCGCGGAAGAAGCCGGCGGGGCCTTCGATGCGGGCGATATCACGCACAGACGCGAGCAGCGAGGTGTAGACGCGTTCGGTGCCTTGGGCGGCGAAGCGCGTGCGCAGCAGATCGAGCGGGTAGGTCGCGGCCGTGGCGAGGCCGCCGGCGGATGCGCCGGCGACGAAGGATTCGACGGGTTGGGGGAGTCGATGGGGGAGTTGGGCGAGGGCTTGGGTTGTTGTTCGGTAGGTGGTGAATTGGACGCCGCCGTAGCAGACGTACATTAGTTCTGCCGGGATGTTGCCTTTCCAGAGGCCCTAAGAATGGTGGCATGTTAGCATTGGTTGTGATATGGGGGTTCCCCGGGGGAAAGAGGGAGTACCGTGATGCCCTCCTCCCTGATGATGGCGCGCATCGTTGAGATGGTGCCCTTGTAGATGGGGCCGCTGACATTGCGATGGGAGGACGGGTCCGACAGGGAGTGAATCTGGAGTTGAAGACGGATCTTGACGACATCAAGGGGGGCGACGCAGAATCTATATCGAGTCAATTGGTGGTCTAGACAGGGAAAGGAGATAGACGTACCGGGAGACGAGACCAGCTATCCCACCGGCGAGAACGACCTGTCGGCGGGTGCCCTGTCATGTACCGTTAGCGAACGATCAGAGCTCAGCCACGCTAGGACAAAGAACAGTGATCAACCGGGGCGATCACCAGAGCCACTCACCTCATCCTTGAGGTGTTCTCCCCCGGCCGACATGCATGTGACGAGGAGGGAAACGAGAGGAACCGGTGGATGAGCGGATAGCGATAAGGTAGTGACCCGGAGGGCGTGCGGTCAATTCAAACAGTGTAGAGAAGAGAGCGATGGTGAACCGAACAAAGGAGAGTATGAAAGAAGGAATATATGAACGCAGAAAGTGAAGGGATTGAAAAGATTGAAGAATGTGGAGGAAGAATGATTTATCAGTTACGTGACGCCTTATCGCTGATTGGTGTTGGATGGAGGCTGGTGGCCACCCAACAATTTTGAGACCAGCAAAAAAACCAAAAAGAAATGCTTCCGATGCGGGGAATCGAACCCCGAGCTGCTGTGTGAGAGACAGCGATGTTAGCCATTACACCACATCGGATGTCGTTGAAAATGCGACCAAATTTTGACAACATATTCCACAGTTTAGCATTCTCGCGATCATGCCATTACCTCGGCTTCATGCAGCTGTCAGGCAAGCTTCCACTTACTTCGTGTTGATCCCGTCCAACACACCTCTTCAACCTCCTCAAGTCCAGCGGTCACCATGTCCCACCTGCTGAGGACCGTCTTCCGGTTGAGGGTTACTGTGCCCTTGGCTCGTCCTATTTCTCGTCGCACATATTCTATCGCTGCAGCTCACCCTGCTCCTACGAACCCCTCCGCATCTCCGAAGCACACGACATCGAACGACACCCTCCCCCAGCTGGAGACCCCCGTTCCGGACAACATCAAACTCCAGCCCAAACGACTCTCAATTGGCTCGCAAGGCAATTGGTACTTGTATACACTCCTCCGCGACTCCTGTAAATGCCCGACCTGCGTGGACCAACATTCCAAGCAGCGCAACTTCCGCACCACCGACATCCCCGCCGACATCCGGCCTCGGTCGCTCAAATGGGTCGATGGCAAGCTGGAGGTCCAATGGGCCAACGACATCAAGGGCTACGACGCCGCGCACACCTCCACATATGACCCGGCCGTCCTCCGCAACCCGACCGCCATCGCGCGGCGCGGCGACGGCGGCCTGAGTCGCAAGCGGGTGACGTGGAACCGCGAGGCGATGCGCCAAGTGCAGCATTGGATCTCGTACGAGGACTACATCAACGACGAGGCCAAGTTCGCGACCGCGATGCACCAGCTCGCCCTGACGGGCCTCATCTTCGTCAAGGGCATCCCCGACTCGCGGGAGATGGTCGAAAAGATCGCGACGCGCATGGGCCCGCTGCGCAACACCTTCTACGGACCGACGTGGGATGTGCGCAGCGTCCCGCAGGCCAAGAATGTCGCCTACACCAACGTCTTCCTCGGCTTCCACATGGACCTGATGTACATGAACGAGCCGCCGGGCTTCCAGCTGCTGCACTGTCTGCAGAACTCGTGCGACGGCGGCGAGTCGCTGTTCGTCGATGGCTTTTACATCGCCCGCCGCCTCGCCCTGACCAACCCTACCGCCTACCGCCGTCTCACCCAGCTGCGCCTCAACTACGAGTACAACCACCAGGACCACAAGTACAACAACCAGTGGCCTGTCTTCGAAGTCGACCCCGCCGCGCCCGACCGCCTCCTCCACATCAATTACTCCCCGCCCTTCCAGGGTCCCCTGCACCATAGCCACCAGGACGCAGCCCGCCTCGAACCACAGCTCAAGGCGCTCCGCGAGTTCTCCGACCTCCTTGAGGATGACCGCAACACGTTCGAGTTGAAGTTGAACCCGGGTGATTGTGTGATCTTTGAGAACCGCCGTGTGTTGCATGCCCGTCGGCAGTTCAACACCGCCTCCGGGTCCCGTTGGCTGGCGGGTGCCTACGTCGACGAGGATGCGGTTGTGTCTCGGTTCAATGTATCGCGATCCAAGCAGAAGGATGGCTGGTATAGCGTGCCCCCCGGTGTCGCTGAGTTCACGAACGCGCGATTGGCTGCGAAAGCCACGCGCGGAGGCAACAAGGACGCCTGAGTATTCTCCATACTGTGTAAATAGAACATTGTTCTAAGATATATATCGCATGCGGGAAGCCCGCTCCACAAGTTGATCTATGAAGAATTTCCGATTTTTCAGTCTTTTGTGCATAGGTACATTAATCATCCAACAACAGAGAGGAAATCATGCCAAATCATATGGAAACCAAATCATCACTCGCTGGCCCTAAATCTAACCAACATGATAAAACAATGAAGAAACGAGAGAACAGTATATTACCGACCGCATAGGCGCATGGGATGTGTCAATGAATTTAAGCCGCAGCGGGCGCCTTGTTGACCGAAAATTCCGCGAGGAACCCGGGGTCGTTGTTGATCTCTTCCTTGACCTGGGGAAGTTAGCATCCGTATACACATTCAAACAGAGGGACCGTCAACGTACGATATCCAGTCCACCAACCAATTCGCCGTTCACCCACAACTGCGGGAAAGTCGGCCAGTCGGCAAACTCCTTCAAGCCCTGCCGGACATCCTCATCGGCCAAGATATTAAAGAACCCGTATTTGACGCTGCGCTCGCGCAGGATACCCACCAACTGCCGACTGAATCCGCACTGCGGCGCACTGGGCGTGCCCTTCATGAACAGCATGACGGGGGCGGCCTTGACCAGCTCGGCGAGACGGGCAAACAGCGCCTCCTTGGACTGTTCGGGGGTGGCGGCGCCATTGACGGGCGGCTGGGTGGCGGTGGCCGGGCCGTTCTCGCGGGGGACAGCCTCCAGCGGCGGAGGGATGGTGGTCGCGGAGGCGGAGGAGGGAGCGCCGGCGCCCACGCCGGCGTGACGCTCGACGGCGTCACGCACGCGGGCGGCCTCGCTGCCGCTGATGGATTCGAGGACCTTTCCGGCGCGCAGCAGGACGACAAAGGGCACGGCGGTGACGTCGTATTCCTCCGAGATGTCCGGGAGCTCTTCGGCGTTGACGCTGAGGAAGGCGATGGAAGGCGGGGAGGTGACGGGGTACTGCGAGGCGAGGGCGGAGAGAACGGCGCGCATTTGGGCGCAAGGCGCGGCCCAGGGCGCGTGGAAGTAGACTACCACCAGGGTGGAATCCGGGATGGATTGCAGGCCCGAGACGAACTCGGCCTCCGATGTGACCTCGACCAGGCTGGACATGGTGGGTGTTGGTGTGGGAGTTGAAAGAGTGAAGGTGGGGGAGGGGGGATTTCGGTGGGGGAGTTGAAGCGAAATCGGAAGGTTAATTCGGCTGAACCCGGTGTCGAGAGATGTGAATGAGGAGGGTAGGAGACAGGCTGTGGTAGATAATGAGGATAAAAGAAAGAAGAATGGCAGAGATTCCAGGGAGTCGGTACTGGGGGAGGTGTAGGGAACAGAGAGACGAGAGAGAATGATGGGGGGAAGGAAGTCGATCGGTCGATGGCGAATTTTCGGCCGCTTATCAGATCGAACTCTTCCCACGCTAATGGCGCAATCAATCAGCGGGTTTCTTTTTGGGGATGAGTCATGAATCTATGTAGACCCTAACAATGATTTTAAGCTTTTATAAACCAATATTCTACCGATTAACAAGGCTGGAATATAAGCATAGTTGCTTGAACATTAATAGATTAAGGAAGAACTACGACTATGTAATAAAATAATTCTTATAGAATTACTATCCCACTAGGCCTGACCCTAACCCAGGGTCCCAGATACAGTCTACTAAGATCGCTATACCCATATATCTACGGAGTACGACCACTAAAATGGATACTCTAAACTGAAAATGAATATTAGTCCTAGCACTAAAATGAGTATAGCTAATCAGGCGTGGTAGAGATGGTCCCATACTTAGGTTATATCGGTGATAACCCGACATCGGACTGTGCGGCTCTACACAACATTATGCTAGACTGTAGATTACTCAAGTGCTATAATCAGATGGATTGAAGAAGGTCTGAGGATCCAAATCCCCAACGTAGTGTGCATGGCTTGGTAGACACAATGTCGGCGGTCTGCCAACCTCTAAATACAATGAAAGCCTCAATGAAGTATAATTAAATAGGTTGTGCCATAGAACACGCAATTCGCAAGTCATCAACACTTCTAGGTCGTCAATTGTGAACTCCCACTCACAGGTTCAAACAGTTTCTATATTTACAACGAGACTGTGCACTCATCGGAACTCTGCTGGACAGTTCTCCCAGAGCGGTTTCAAGACATACTCACAAACAGATTTTCTGAAGACAATATCATCCCAATCGGGCGCCGCGCGACTCGTCGCGAATGTGAATTCGATGCACCTTGTAGCAACGTCCAAATAGAATGGTAGAACATAGTAAGTACTGAAGTCAAGCCACTGTATCGCCACATCATACCGACTGCCAAAACTGTGGTCGATATTCAACCCGCTCTCTATGGCATATGCCTCGAAAGTTTTGGCATGCCATAGTTCCAGAAGTATAATGCCAAGTTCAAGCATGGATCGTCTCGGGTTGCAAGCACATCTTGCTGAATCCTTTGCGCCGCCGAAGAAAATTTGACGAATAAAGGGCTGAGGGATGTCCGCATACTGGGCGGCTCCTCCTTGTAGAAGTAGCTCGGCACGGCGTGCGAAATACAGCGACTTACTCGTAAGCGGAAAGCAAAGCCACGGCGTGGAGTTTAGCTGCATGATCGACGACGCGATATTAAATGAAAGGGCCATCCGCTGGTTAAGAGTCCACCGGATTATTGCCGAAGACTCATTTGGCTGCTCCATCTTCCCAAGAATTTGTTCCAACGACATGATATCTTCTGTGGATTTTGCGATAGCATCTCTAAGGACGCCAACCTTGAAAGGCTTGTGATAATAGCAGAGGCACCCGCCTTGAGAAAGATAGAGGTCCAGGAAGTGTCCACCATCTTTGGCTTGCTGTACTGAGTAACAGAGATCCTCTAGGTCATTAGGAGGGGAATTGGTCGTTTTTGTCGGTAGACTGATGGCCACCTTGATATGTCCTCCGGCTTTAGCACTTGCCGATTAAACACCATGTTAGGACTCGATACATAATGGCTGTTTGGGTCAGGGATAGCATACGTCGCATAACAGCTCTCCATTTCTTCAAGCACTTTGATGTCCGTTTGATAGCATGGTATCGGATTCTGGCCAGTATTGCTTGGAGAAAAAGCCATTGTGAATGCAACTGTTGTTTTCTTTTCCATAAGCGCCGAGCGGCTCTGAAGGAACAACCTGGTCTCGTGTTCAGGGTGGCAATCCACGTTATACCCTGCCGAGATGGCTGAGTATAATCGATCTGCATAACTTCGAACAGCATTAAGTGCAGAAGCAAACTTTGCAATCATTCGAGATGTGGATTGGAGAGTTACTTCCGTCTTTGTCACGCTGCTCTCTCGAATTCTGCGTAGTGTGGCGGTGGCATCATTGAGATCCCTGATCCGTTTTTCTAGGTCATCCTTTTGCAGGCTGAATTTTATCTTCTTGGTGAGCTCATATTTCCCATCCTTCGGTGGATGGGCCTGAATTAAACTCGAGAGTGTTCCCTGACGATAAGGTCAGTAAGTCTGAATTTCGATTTCGGAATATTATCAGAGTCTGAGTACCTGCGACTCAGATGCCAGACCACCAATATTAGAAGCTATCTCCGCCAGAACACGCTGACATCGAACAACTGCCCGCTGGTATGGTACATATCCATCGCCCAGATATTCGCGGACGGCATGAGCAATCGTAGGATCCTGGAAAAGATCCGAATTCGGTTGGCGGATCAGATCATTGATCTGCTCCTCTCCTAGGTGTGTTGCATTCAGCGAGACGAAGAGATCTGACTCGAGGAAAAACTGTTGCTCCTCTAACGACTGTATCAGTTGTACAATAAATGGTTCTTTGTACTTAAAGAACTTGAGCCGCTGGCTGGTTGTTTTGTACTTCTCGATCGCAGAGATCAGCAGCGGTATCGCCCCTAAAACGACACCGACGACCTCGAAGCCGCTCATTTCGAGGCGATAGCATATCAAAGAAAGATGGCTATGAGGTGAGGCTGAGAAGAAGTCGAAAATAGTACTGCGGGGTGAGTTCAGCCTTGGGCGCTGAGTGGTATGGCACCTACCCCGCTTCATCCACATCTCCATTGATGGACGACGAGCTCAAACGCACATTATTCGGACTCATTTGAAGTTTTTATTTTGAGGAATTGAATAGGTAACTAAGATGGCCGCCGATGATGATCCAGAGTTCATTGAGTCTCTGGTCACAATCGGCATAAGAGTCAGCAATCAGTTTGCGGCGTTGGATGGCCTGGTCAAAGGCAATGGTGATGATAAAGACAAGTTGACAAACGAGCTTCAACGCTTCGAACTGTGGGCAACAAGTCTTGGCCTTTATCATGGTGGCCATAGTTCTCTCGATTACAGATTTCGGGACTCTCCTCCCCTCTTTCGGTACGCGTACAAGCTGTTGCGAGACTTGGAGTCTGGATTATCACAGCGTCTGCATTCCCGATCTATTCCTAGCCGGACAGTCGGTTAACCGTTTTCACAGTGAAGGGTGCTTTGAATGACGCTCTGGTGCGTTCAGCGCAAGAAACTAGACCAGAAGACGACAGGAATTTAGCGAAGTCAGATTGCAGTGACGACTCTGAAGAAGAGGACTTCTCATCATACCAATCCGAACCAGTTACTAAAGCATATCTCGGAAACATCACCCTAACTGTCGATCGACTCTACCGTCTTTCGTTCAAGATCCGAAATCCGGCCATGAGAACCGGTCTCTCCAAGGCGCTGGCGTATACAGAAGTGGATCCAGACACAGGAGTCAATCTGATCGATGTTTATGCATCACTAGACCTGAGTCATCTTGTTGAGCTCTTCTGTTGCTTTGGTCACTGGCATACTGATGATCTTAAGAAACACTACCTCGTTCAGCGTCTGGCAAGAGCAAACACGCGACGGAGGCAGCAATTCCGATACTGGAGAAAGCGCAGGGTCAAATATGAGGAATATTCCAAGTCAATTGAACTGACACTGAAAACTCCCCAAAATGCCAACATTCATCTCGAGCGCGAACACCCTGTTATCCATGGGCCTCCACGTGCTCCATCGCAACCATCCACAGCTACACTGCTGAACGTGGCCCGGGTAAGACTAGAAGACGAGGCTTCCATGATATCGACAAAATCTTGCCTTATTCTGGAGGGCGACAAAAGCAGTGAACATGTTTCGATCCCACCACCTCCTGCGATTGATCCAAATGCCAAGGAGTTTGAATGCCCGTATTGTTTCACGATATGCCCCCGTAAATTCATCACCAAGAAGGCATGGGAGTAAGTGAACTCCTTAATAGTTGCAAACATGCAGACTGACCTACGTACAGAACGCATATATTCCGTGATCTGCGTCCTTACGTTTGCACCTTTGAAGGCTGTAAAGAGCCAGATCAACAGTACGACTCTCTTAGTGACTGGATGTCTCACGAGGCGTCAAAACATAACAGCATCTCAGATCTGGGTAACGGCCATCAAGCTTATATCCGTAGCTGCCCCCCTGTGCCTGTCTCTGAATGTCAGTCCGGCCCATGTCGCAGGCCATCTTCGCCGTATAGCTTGCTTCTCACTACCTAGATCATGCAGCGGTAGAGATGAGTCTGTACTTGGTGGTGGGCTATCTGATCGACCTGAAATTGTATCTCACAGTTCCGAGCGATCCTCAATGGAGAGCTTTTCGTGGGAGGCATGGTCTGAGGCCGTTCCAACTGGTCGCGAGCCACATCAGCCTGGAACTGATGTGAGTAAAACTGATATAGTACTGGAAAATACAACCGAACAGATACAAGGACCATGTGAGGAGAGAACTGATGGAGGGGTTGGCAAGCATGTCACTGGTTATCCAACTATGGTTCCATTGCCAACTTCTTCACTACCATCCCCAACAGGACGTATCTCGGCGCCGGAAGATCGTCTAGGTTTCCTTCTAGCAAACCGGCTGGAACTGACTAGCATTCTCGGAGTTGGTGTGTATAGCGTGGTCTACAAGGCCATCGACATCCACACAAAGGTGGAGTATGCCGTCAAAGCACAGAACAAGGTTGGACTCGATGCCCGACAGCCCAAGTTCCAGCAGCGCGAGATCAATCTCCACCATCTGGCCAGCCAACATCCCAATGTGGTTTCGCTGGTTCGTATAATGGATTCCATCGACTGTACCTATGTGGTCATGGAATTTTGCCCCGAGGGTGACCTTTTCTCCAGCATCACCGAAAAAGGTCACTTCGTGGGCAATGATCCTTTGGTCAAACACGGCTTTCTCCAGATCCTGGATGCTGTCCAGTTTTGCCACTCATTAGGAATTTACCACCGGAACCTCAAGCCGGAAAACGTCTTGGTGGCCGATAATACCCTGACGCTGAAACTGGCCGGATTTAGCCTCGCGACCACTGACCCCATGACCTCGGATTTCGGCTGCGGCTCAGCATTCTATATGTCTCCAGGTGCGTTTTCTTAGTACTTATTTTGTCCTAAAGTCAGTGCTCACCTCGTACAACGACTAGAATGCCAGCAATCAAATCCTCGACCCATGTCGTGGTACGAATCAGCCCCCAACGACGTGTGGAGTTTGGGCGTCATCCTTGTCAATCTGACGTGTGGTCGCAATCCGTGGAAACGTGCGTCGCTCGAGGATTCGACATTCCAGGCTTATCTGAAGGATCCTTTCTTCCTTCAGTCCATTCTCCCTTTGTCTGATGAGATGACCTGCATCCTGAGCCGCGTTTTTGAATGCGACCCTAGAAAGAGGATCACCATCCCAGACCTCCGATCGCTGATCCTGGACTGTCCCCGTTTCACAGAGGTACCAGTTACTACTATGTTAGAGCCTCAGGCTCCTGAATTACCTCTTTAAGACTAGCGCCTGCCTGCCTGCCCTGATATCTACATAGAGCCCTAGAGAGGCCTTCAGGAGCTCACCCACAATCAACCCCCTTCAATCCTCTTTGACCACTTCCCTTGACATACTATAGCTCCGATGGTCACAGTAAAGGACAAGTAGGTTGGACTCTGAGCTATCGAGAATAATGTATTCAGTAGAAAAATGCCTATATTGTTTCAGTTTAAATAACTTCCATGCATATTCGAAGAGTGACAAAGCAACATCCCTTTGACTGATTTCACGTGAAATGACGAATTATATGTACTTAAAGCTCTAATCACTTATCTGCGTACGCGCCATCGCCCCTATCCTAGCGCAGCCACTCCGGCGCTGCAGCAGGGAGCTTTAACGGCCATGCTTCAACGGCCCTGAATAGATCCAGAGCAGGACATCTACCGAATCCCGCCAGCAAGTAGCCCTCCTATACCCGGTCTTCCGGCTTATCGGGGCTATAGCTGCACCGACTGTAGCTATATCTACCGGGTTGCCGGCCAGGTCCCTACTATCGATCCGCATCCGACCGCCGTGTCGCCTGGCTGGAGCTTACCCGCTGTCCCGGATAACTGCGCAGGCAGAGCCGAATAGCCGTTGCCCTATTAGGTTGTCTGCCGGCTTCCAAGACTGAGCCCCTGCTTGATTCTTCTGTCGTTTGTGGAGGGACTGGGGAGAAACCATTTTAAATTTACTATGTATATAACGGAGAACTATTTAGAACACAAAATAAGTGTTGGGATGTAAAAACTCGAATGTCACGGGGAAGGAAGAAAAGGTAGAAGAATAATAACGAAGGGGGAACCGATCAAAGTTAAAGAAAGCAAAGAGCTTGATCAGATCCGTCACAAACAGACTGGAGTTTGGTTTCAACATCCATTGAGCGTTTAAAATGCCAAGGATCAGTGCCTGTAGTAATCCTCCAGTATAGAATCGGAGATCTTCAGAGCCATAGCGTAGAAAGTGGTCATCACATGAGCAGAAATCTGGGTGGGAACGATGGAGCCGTCAATCACACGAAGGCCCTGGGTACCGTAGACCTTGGCGGTAGGGTCAACAACGCCTCCAAGCTCCTTGGACATCATAGCGCAGGTTGAAACGGCGTGCCAGTTGGCACGAAAGTTTTGCTTGACATACTCCACCCACTCTTCGAGGGAAGCATCATAGGCCAAAAGTTCGGCGCCGGGGATGTTCTCACCGGCGAAGTAGTCGCGCATTTCGCCCATGTTCTGGAGCTCACGGGCAAGCTTTGAGGCAGCGGCCTGGCCGAGAAGGTCGAACTCGTTCAGGAAGAACATGGGATTGTTGAGGAATGACTGGAGGTAGGGGTCGGGGTCGGCGATGTGGGTTGAACCGCGGGTGAATGGAATGAGGTCCCACAAGTCGAAGTTGATCATGCCATTACTGTCGAAGAAGAATTCCACGAAGGCAACATCGTCCTCAAGGAGCCATTTACGGTAGTTCTCATACTGGACCTTGAGAGCCGTCACATTATGAAAACCTCCTCGAGCAACAGTCTCAGTAGCCCACTGGTCGAGCTTGGTGTTGAGCAACTTCATAGCATGAGGGGCGTGATCTCCAAACGTTTCTGTGAAGTTGGCAAAGTACACAGCTTGGCCCTGACCAGCGCCTGTGCCTTTAGCTCTGGATTGGACTGTGGTAGTGGTCTGGTCCTGCATATTGAGACCAACGGGAAGCTCAACGAGCTGGGCGATACCAAGAGGACCGAGAACCGACTTTAGCCCAATGCCAGAGTGCTCGAGAATTAGAGGTGAGACAGCAGAGCCTGCAGCTAGTAGAACCTCATGCTTAGCGTAGACATTGAAATTAACGTCCTTGTTAGTTCCATAGTTAACACCAACTGCTTTAGGACCATTGCCGGTTGATTCGAAGAGCACCTTTCCGACGATCTGGCCGGTCAGGACTTGCAAGTTAGGGCGTTCGTAGTTAGGTAGAAGCCACTCGCGAGCAGCGTCAGAACGTGTCTGGTCCTCATGTAGCGAGTTAAGGATCATAGATACACCGCGCGGGTGTCCGCAATGCAAGTCAACCTGAGTTGGGATACCCATAGCTTCGGTCGTATTCATCAGGGCACGGATCATAGGGGAGTAAGGTTCGCCGGTGTTACGGACACCGGCATGCACAGTTCCGTTGAAGCCGTGACACGCAGCATCGATGTGTTGACCAGCCATAATCTCCTCGGCAGTAGGGTAACGGGCACGTTCGGCCTTCTTCTTGTACTCGAAGATGGTCTCCCAGTTCCAGCCAGGGTTGCCTAGAACCGTCTCCCAGGAGTCGAGCTGGACCTTATCGGGGCTGGTCCAGGAGCCGCCGTTGACCAAGGTAGAACCACCAAGGCCTTTTCCAGACTTGATGTCAAGAGTGCGGTTATTGATGCCCATCGGAACGGTGAGGTAGTTTTGGTCAACAGTGCTGCCGAAGATGTCGCCGTAAGCATTGAGGTCTTCGATTATAGGGCCATTATTAGACTCGTAGAAGCCCTTCTCAATAACGAGAACGCGGATATCAGGGTCCTCGGTCAACTTGGCGGCAACAGTGAGACCGGTCAAACCACCACCAGCAATAATATAGTCGACCTCTTTCCCGGCTACCTCCTTAGGGTCAGAGATCAGACTAGACTGAACGTCAATCTGTTCGGCGGGAGTGAAGGCTTGGGTAATAGCCGTGAAGGCAAGAGCGGAGACGAGGAAGGTGCCCTTCATCTTGAAGGATAAGAGTAAGAAATGTATGGAAGCAGCGAGGTTATATACTGGGCTTTTTGTGCTGTGGGTTCTACTCTCCCATTATCTTTGCTTCCTTGCTATATATATACCACTATAATGACACTGTGTTCAATATCTTAATTTCATGCCATGCGAGGAATTCTTCAAGGTCCCTCTGTCTCTAGCCCGCTAATCGTCCAAGTGAGAATCATGCTTAAAAGGATTATGAGCCGCGGTACTGCACACGTGGGAGACTATTGGAACAGCAGTGGCCTAGTTTGGCGCAAGGGAATATACTAGCAAAGAGGATAAAGTTCTCGTCGGTGGTAATCTTCTTTGGCGCTGTGCCATACCTGCAGCAATGTGCCCATATTCTACCTATCCATATTGCTGTATCTCACCATTAGATTGTATTCTCTACTTGTAGATAACGAAGAAGGCAGTGGCAGATATTCGGGCCCAAAAGCTTCACCTGGAGTTGACCCTGAATACACGGATTATGCGCCTGGGAACAGAGAGTTTCGAACAGCTTTACGGTGGAATCTAATAGAACACGCTGGGACTAGCCAAAATATCTCTCATATTATAAGGTTACTGAGGCCATATCGGCATATTGCAGTGTCCGACCATTCTGAATGGTCAATGGCGACATGTCGCTATGGGCGTTGTCAAGATATGGGAGTCCCGCACCGTTGCGGAAGCATTGATAGAGTGCAGCCATCTCCAAAGTCAAATTTGGTAAGGGTAACAGTGACAGGACACTGCGCTTAAGGGGGAGACTCTAAGCGAGGACGTGAGAGCATCTACTAGAAGAACTAGTGAGTATAAGTGGACCAATGAGGTATTCTGAAGCTGACGGTGCTCAAGAGAAAAAGGAGGCACATGGTAACCTTAAAGGTGTGGAATTCATAATCAACGCGGCCCAGGCACCCATTATCAAAGTCAAGCCCAAAGATGTGTATATTTGATTGTCACGGAGTAAGGATCCCGTCCCGGTACCCAGGTCTCTTCCAGTGGGGCGCACCTTGTCCTGGCGCCAAGAGAGGAAGCAGACCAATTAGTGAACAACATAATCTACCGGCGACAAGGGTTCCGCGGCCGGTCAGAAGTTAAACGATGCCGTGACGGCAGGACGAAGACAAGATTTTGAACGCTCGGAATGCCGAAGTTAGATGATGCCGCGACGGCATGGCGAAGACTCAAGCTCTTAGTCGCTGAGAACCGAAGGAAATTGGACTCGGGCCGGTGTGCAACAAAGGAATGGCAGTTTGGACGGACGGGACCGCGAGAGACTTTTCGGGCCCTTCATGGCCTGGGCGTTCAGATCTGCAACTCCATTAGTCTTCAAACAGGGCGGCCCCGTCCTTACAACTCTTAACCTTCAAGTGCGTTGCGTTATAACACTGGTTATTTTGTGGCGATCTTAGAATCCTGAGCTAGTCAGTGATAAGCTGCCTCAGTCCAAACTGTTAACACAATAGTCCTGCTCGGCGTGCTATAATGACTTGTCGGGAGCATGTTTCGGCTTACCGAATATTTGCCAGTAGTTATAGATGGGTCACGCGAATCTCAATAAAATTGCTCTTGGCGCAGCACAAATCCTTTACCGTCATAGTTTCATGTTCAACCTAGTCTGAAGTTTCAATCTTTCTCATACTGACTATTTAGATTTGCCAATCAAGGCAATGCAGGTGGACAGAGGAAGCACGACGACAGAAGGAGATCACCCATTGGGCACAACAATATGGCCGGGAGGTTGCTGGAGGGTGCTGTAGGCACCAAGTGAAACGTGGTCTTGTAAATGAACTCCATATGGCCATTGTATGGCCGAAGGACGAGCGAGTTGAATATAAATACCTTGCCTTCCCAATACCAGCCCAGGTTCCACAACCATTACTACTGTGAGAATTGATCTTGTGAAAGGACATTATTCAAGAGCGGATCTAGTTCATCCGTGTCTTCCTGTGAGCTCTCATTCTATTTGTTCTATGCTGCGTACTGGGACTGACTTTGGAAATTTTATAGCCAAAAATGCTTGTCCCTAAACTGGCTCTGCTGCTGGTCCTGTTCCATGCAGCATTTGGCTCCGCCTACCGCTGGTTCAACTGGCAGTATGAGGTCACCTGCGAATCTGACGCCTATGTTGCTCCTCAGAATGAAGCCGACGCTGCAAAATTCCTTAAGGAACAGTACCCCAAAGGATCCCACATCAAAGTTGTCGGAAATGGCCATGGATTCGGCAACCTGTCGACTTGTGTTGACAATTCTCTCACTGCCAAGCCTTCCTACATCGTTTCCCTCACCAACTTGAAGCACCTTGAAATCAATAAGAACGATATGACCGTCACCTTCGGTGCTGGCTGGGATGTCTATGACCTCAGCGAAGTGCTGAAAACTAACAATTTGACATTTGGTCATCTCGGTGTTGAACGTGTTCAAAACTTCGTCGGCGCCGCTTCCACCGGCACCCACGGCTCTGGATCCAACATTGGAAACATCGCAAGTCAAATCATTGGGCTTCGTGTGCTGGACGCTCAGGGTGACCTCCGTATTATCGATGAGAAGCACAATGCGGAAGAACTGAAGGCGTTCCGTGTCAGTCTTGGTGCCCTCGGTCTCATCACAGAGGTCACCCTCAAGGTCCAACCCACCCTTCTTATGAAGAGGACCACTAAGGTCTTGAATGCCACCTCTGAATTTTCGATCATGTACAACGAAATTGCCCAATTGTACAAAGAACACGAGCGGATGACCGTTTGGGGACCTCACTTCGACTGGAATGCGGAGACCCAGAGTTGGGATCTCGAGCCTACCTACTTTCTTTCCTATTGGGAGCCGACTGACTACGACGGTGTTCGCAATTGTTCTTCTAACTACTGCGCCAACGGCTGCGGTAGTGAATGCAAAAAGGAGTACTTTTGCTATGACGACATCATCGACGCTGCTTCTTGTCCTCCTCAAGGTGTCTGCAGCCGAGAATTCTACGCCGAGATCGAACACTTCCTTCCTATCGAGTACTTCGCAGAGGCCGCCACCAACTATACATATTACCAGCAGTCTCAAACCCCACGTATGAACGCTCCCTACAACTCTCTGATGGTCATGCAACACCGCTCTCTCAAGGGTGACGACGCATATATGTCCCCTGTGAACACTTATAACCTTGATCCCTCCCTCAGCGGCGTTTTTGGTATCATCGAAATTGATTGGATCCAAGAATACAACAACTTCACCACACTTTGGCAAAACCAGGAGCTGGCATACGAATTCCTGCCTAAGTTCGGTGAAGCCTACAACGTTCGGCCCCACTGGAACAAGATGAGCCCTCCTAATGCCACCTACACCTTGGAGAAGTTCCCGATGTTGCCCAAGTTCTTGGCCATCCAAGAGCGTCAGGATCCCAAGTGCCAGTTTGTGAACGAGTTCCTATATAAGCAACTTGGTATCGAGCGCTGTGCAGACTTCATCTCCATGTAAGCTGAGATATACTATATCAGAAGCAGCTGTTTGAGACAAACAGCGACAGTTCGTCGCCAGGTGTCCTTTACATCGCTTTCCATCACTTGGTGTTGCAGGATGTTTCATGTGGCCTTGGGGCCATGTGGCTTCCTTCGCTTTCCTACCAACAGATTTCTCCTTCTAAATTACGTTTTCTTTAACTCTATTTAACTCCAATACATTCATAACTACAATGCCTCCTGTCTCACATCCCCTGGCTCTATACCTAGAGCTTCGACCTGAGGTTCCCCACCCAGGCTCTGTTCATATCTAAACCGAGCCAGTCGGACAACTCTGACTATATCATCCGACTCTTCTACGGACCCACATACCGCAGCTCGTCGTCAATCCGCATTGACGTACTACTCGCTCCATCTATAAACTCCGGCCAAGTCACGTTTGACAGTAACACAACTACCAATATACAACTTCCATGAGGCATGCTCAGCACTCAGAGCTACCTGACCTGGTTTGCAGAGGACCTCGACAACGACAGGAACACAGACCTCGTCATGCTTATAAACCCCACCTCAGCCCTGAACGTGGACTTCCAGATCGCCGTCTTCCTCGGATTTGGGAATGCTACACTCGGCGCACCAGTAATGAGCCCAATCTCGCCAAATCCAGCAAAAGGTACCCTTCTCACAGCCTCATTCATGAAGTCAATCAAAGTACACAAGGCAGACTATGTGTATTCTGGTACCAGTACAGCTAGCAAGGGTGGCATCCTTGCTAGAAAAGGAGGCCAAGTCTGACGGCCCAAACCGCGCCGCCCCCACCCCTCCACCTCGACAAACGTAGTTCCGATGCCCTGAAGTGGGGATGCAACCGGGGAACTAACAAGGGTCCTTGTCAGCATTTCAACCACAGCCCCATGAATCCAGGCTTTGCAGGACGACAAACCAGGTCTACATTAGTGAGAGCAGAGGCTTCTAGGTATGAGTTGTTACCCACGACCGACCATGCTCTTGCGGAGATACTTGCCTTGAGAAGGGTCTGATACAAGGCTGAGGCTGATAGCCGTCAACATGCCAAGAACGCGCCGTCGGTCTTGGGGCTCGTATTCTGTTGTCAACAGAGCGTATGAGATACTACTTTATGCAGATCAGCCCTGACGCAAAAACCACGATGTGCGACCCATCAGTGGCCACAGAGCAATAAATCCAACAGGCTGACATTGTGTATTTAAGGGGGAGCTGAATTCACCGCCAGCAGGCTCCAAAGAATTTCGCATGCACGCCCTTTTGAGAAAGATATCGACGTCCTGAAAGACCCAACATCGCAATCGATGCTCTGGATGCCCCTATTCTCAGTGCACGCACAGTTGAAGGCGACAAAATCTTCGGGCCACGACTATATTCGGTCATCTGAATCTCTCCCCTCCAAGCCCACCTCTTGGCACAAGTTCGATTTGCTCCCTGCTTTACAAGCATGGCCCATCTCACGCACCTCTTCGCAGCGCTATACGTCCTGTACTCTCTCACAATAAGCTCTGCCTGGACCTTTACTTGGAGAAATGCCAGTGACATCCCCACGGTTGAAGAAGGCAGCGGCGGACGGCCCTGCAAGGCCATCGACCACGCAAAAGGCAAATATTTCGAATTCGATTCCGAGAACGATCTTGTTCGCATCTACCTGTACGGCCTACCAAATTGCACAGATAACCCTAGCGAAAGATCCGAAACACGGCTCGCGAAGGACTCGAGTGGTCCGCTTCGAGGCTTCGCGGTCATCGACCTAGCCGGCGCGAATACGACGAGTGGCGAGCTCGAGCCCTTTCCTGGACCTGATTGGTTCAAGTCCTCTCCTAACAGCCCGATCGTGACGGCCATGGGAAAGAGACTGGTGGAGGAAAACTGTGGGAAGTACAGCTCGGGTCCGGGGCCGCAATGGACTGACGCGGACCGGAGGTCCTATCAGTGTTGGCAAGAGAAGCTGGGTTACAGCGGTGACGATGCCGATGGATGGCCCGGAAAGACGAGTTGGGATCAGCTGAAGGTACCGGCGACGGAAAATACTGGACCTTCTCCTTCTACAACCACAGAGACACCGTCGAGCACGGGCATGAGTACCGGAACACCCACGACTTCGCCCACGGGTACCTCTGCCCCTGCTGTGAATGACTCCTCGAGGTCGTCACTGGGCGGAGGGGAGATCGCTGGGATAGTGGTGGGTTCTGCAGTCGGGGTGGGACTTATCGGGGCGATCGTTTATCTCGCACGACGGATAGGCTGGCAGTCTAAATCGGTGTCTACAGAACCACCAGCGACATCAGGGCAGCCAGGAGGTGGTGCTGGTGCTGGTGCTGGTGGTGGAGATTATCAGCTCCTTGGGACTGCAGGAGCGGGGGATTCGAAGAAAACGTCGATGGAGAAGCTGCCTACTGAGGCTGAGACTATTCCAGCAAGGAGCCAAAGGAGTCACTTTGCCGAGCTGCCAGGAGACTCGATGGCAGCTGAGTTGAGTGACAGTCGGAGGATTAATGAAATGAGTGATGGTCAGAGGCTCATTGAGTTGGGAGATGGCTCCCATAGGATGGCATGAAGTACTAATTGGCCTCTTAACCGAGTCGTCGCCATAAGCAACAATTGATAGATCACAGGCTATTGTAGGGTTATTTGTACATTGAACGGTGAGCCGCTCACCCTACATCTTACTTATCTTATAACTCACTCCGCGCCAAGAGGCACTGTGAAATAAAGTATAGTATAGCGGTTAGAGGTAAAGTGCGCGACACCGTCCTCCCCTCTGCGTGGCCTGGGTTTGTATGGGCAGTGATGGTCACTTCGCGACTCCTATATGTAGGGTCCAGCAAAAGAAAAAAGTTACCATGGCAGGATGCGCCCTTTAAATGGCTAGTGAGAAGGTTATAATATGACATGTCATAATGTAATCTGCTATAGCGCGATAAATATACCTCCATCTCAGAACCGACAACTATCATATATGTGGATCGACTCTCTTTGCATCATCCAAGACGACCTCGATGATTGGCTTTCTGAGGCCTCCCAACTGCACCTTGTCTACTCAAATTCTCTCTACAGTATGAATGCTACCTGTTCCAAGGATCCATCCGGGGATCTCTCCACTGCGCGTGATACAGCACTGTCTGAACCCTGCGAAGTCGAGATACCGTGCGTAATGGATTTTAGAACATGGGATACCCAAGTGTTTGAAACGCCTCTGCAGAAGAGTATGGGTCGTTCAAGAGCACTATCTGGCACCGCGGCATCTTTAGATAGTCGAAAAGCAGAAAGAAGTGCGGGGAGACTGGCGGAGGAAGACAAGAATATGGAATATTTAGATATAAGCAGCTTAAAGCACAGGTAGAACCATTTCAATTTACCGATGCCCGGAATGGACTAGCTATCGTCACGTGCCTCTTATCGATATCCCAGGACGAAAAAACATCGTCGCGCGGAATCCGAACCGTCAAACACCTCAACTCCGCAAACCCCGTCGGTCACCCTCACAAAGCCATTGCGCAGCTCCGACTGTGCAGAATCTGCGAGGGTCCTTCTCTAATTTCTTTCACCCTCAAGCTCCCCGCCGACTCGGAAATGGCCAAGCGCAAGCGCACTGACGCCGGTTACGATAGCCCCGTCAAGGACAATTCTGACGCGGACAGTGGATTCGGAGTCGGTCAAACGCTGTCTTTGCTTCAGAACTCTACTGTCGCAAATGGTGACGCCGCTGCCGCTACCTCAGAAGGCACTCCAGCAAAGAGAGAACAGGATGCTATGCCGTCGAAAAGGGCTTCAAAGAAAAAGCGGATCGATGGCGAGAAGGCGAAGTACCCGGAACTGACCTATGTTGAAGGTCGCCTGCAGTCGTCGATCCGCATCGCAGATCTACAAGGTCTTCTACTCTACTGCTTCGCGGACGGGATTGCGCCGCAGTGGATTTCAGTCAAATATTCGGGCCATGTGAGGAAGGTCGTGGTCCTGATGGTGCCGGGCCTGGAGCTTGGTATGTTCGATGGGACCATTCCTTTGGAGGAGAAGTCTTCGAGTGACGCGAACGAGAACACGTCCTCCGACCAGACACCTACAGAGAACGATAAGGATTCAAGGACATCTGATTTCGAGCGCTGGAAGCAAGGTCTCCCCCTGGAAGATAGATCCCGCAAATTCAATCCTCGTCCGCTATCCCGCGATTCGCTCCCCGACCCGCTACAGCCACTGGTCGACATGTTCCCTCATATCTGGCCCGTGAAGGCGCCCGGGGATTCTAAGTATAACAAGGTTCATTCGCCGCTTCAGGCTATCCTGCTATCCGCTCTCCCGAAGAACAACAATGGTAAATCGAAAGGCCCCAAACGGCCCAATGGTAAGGACTTCGCCTCGAACCGCACTCCCGTCACCACCTTCCTCAGCTCCGTGGAAGATCTTCGCGAAAACGACTACGTGCTCCACCCAGCCTTACTCTCGACGGAGAAGGAGAAAGTCGACTTGGCGGAGGCTCGCAAGCGTGCTGGTCAAGACGCCGAGAAGGGGTGGGTGGACACGCGGGTCTCCAGCTGGGAGGACGGCACACCCCCAGACAGCGAGATCGAGAAGGGAAGCATGACCGCCGGGAGAACCGTGTTAGCCATGGACTGCGAGATGTGCATAACGGAGGGTGGCACTTCAGAGTTGACACGCATCAGTTTAGTTGGTTGGGATGGCGAGGTAGTGCTGGACGAACTGGTGAAACCGGACCGACCCATTATCGACTACCTGACTCGATTCTCGGGCATCACTAAAGAAATGCTTGATCCCGTCACCACCACCCTCGCCGATATTCAACAGAAACTTCTCTCCATACTCACCCCTCGTACGATCCTCGTTGGCCATTCTCTCAACTCCGACCTCAACGCGCTCAAACTGACACACCCCTTCATCGTCGACACCACATTCATATACCCTCACCCGCGAGGCCCACCACTGAAGTGTAGCCTCCGATGGTTAACGCAAAAGTACCTCGGCAAGGAGATCCAAAAAGGCGAAACAGGCCACGACTCCATCGAGGATTCTCGCGCCGTCCTGGAACTCGTGAAGCAGAAGTGTGAAAAGGGTGAACGGTGGGGCACGAGTGACGCTTCGAACGAGAGCATCTTCAAGCGCCTTGCCCGGTCATCACGGCCAGGACACGCCAGCAACCAGGGCGAGGGCCGCACTGGCGCTGTCGTCGACTGGGGCAACCCCGAGCGCGGATTCGGGTCGCAGGCGACCGTCGCGGTCGGATGTTCCGACGACGAGGACGTGGTTAAAGGCATCTCGTCTGTTGTAAATGGCGACGAGAGCAACCCATCAATCCCGGGCGGTGGAGTTGATTTCACGTGGGCGCGAATGCGCGAGCTCGAAGTCCATCGCGGCTGGTGTAATCGCATTCCCGACCCGAACAACGCCAACGAGTCCACCGCGTTGGTTCCTCCGCCCGAAGCGACGACGCCGACCACCGGGCCGGCGTCTGATCCCAAGACCCTGTCGGATACGGTCTCCCGCACGGTCTCGAGGATTCACCGTGTCTACGAGTCTCTGCCGCCGTGTACCCTGTTTATTGTCTACTCTGGCACCGGCGACCCGCGTGAGGTCAGCCGTCTCAACGCCATGCAGAAACGGTTCCGCGAGGAGTTCAATTCCCGCAAGCCGTGGGATGAGCTGAGTGTCAAATGGACGGATACCGAAGAGCAGGCCTTGAAAAAGGCGTGCGAAAGAGCTAGAGAAGGGTGCGGGTTTATGTGTGTCAAATAATGTTCGTCATATCTTGATACCCGGTGATTGTCTTGGATTGTTGACGTGGATACCTCTACATGATACACAGAGATAGAGCGGATATATACTCCGTAAGCCTGCGGCATTGGAGACCGAGAAACCATATAGTCTAGATAAACACAACATGAATGACAAAACAAGTGTCATTAATAACCAATTTAGAAAGTAATACAGTAATAGAAGTGCAAGCTAGGTGCCAAGGCATAGCAGCTTCACCGCGATTCCGTATCCATAGCTTCCTCGCGCTGCATGGCCAATCGCACCATCACATCCCGCTCAGCAACCCGTGCCTTGCGTTTTTCCGGCTCTTCACTCCCTTTTTCCATCTCCGTATGAGCACCATTCGTCACCAATTTTCCCTTTGCGCTAGACCTTTGGCGTCCAGACGATGATGTAGGGCCGCCTCCGACGCCTTCACGATTCTCCTGGTGGGGCGTTTGGGATAGCTCCGCTGCCCCTTGGCTTCGGCCGGAGGCCGACGAGGCTCGGCGTTGATTACGCTGGCCTTGAGCGCGCGGGCGGTTTTCCTTTGCAGTTCCGCTGTCGCTGGGGCTCGCGTTGGGAGCTCCAGTCTCTTTCTGACTACTATTCCCGATGTTTCCCGTCTGTTCATTCAGAGGGGAAATATTCTCAGCTTGCGACGAATCCTTTTTAGCAAACTGGCCTCCGGACTTCCGTGGACGTCCGACTTTCTTCCCGGTGGCATTGCCGCCTGACGAGCGCCTTCCGGTCGAAGTCCGGGAGAGACGTGGTCGTTTGTAGATAGGGGCTTGCTGTGAAAGGGTGTCGGAGGGAGGCTTCATCCCGTCTTCTTGAGATGGAGTGAGCTGCTCTGACTGCTGGGTCTGAACGTGCAGATCTGCAGTCCCCGACCTCGTAGGATCCATGTGGTTGACAATGCTGGACTCCGCCTCCTTCAGCGGGATCTTCATCGGCGGTATAGTCGTTGTCTCGGCCAGGGAGAAGTCGCCGATGCTATCATCATCACCGTCGTCGTCGTCGAATGTGTCTGCAATTGTTTCTGTTCGACCATTCGGCCACGAGTCGGGCCACGGCCGTTTTCTACCAGCTTGTAGCAACTCGGGACTTCGGACTGGGGGGAGCATTTCCTCCATCGGGGTCAGGTAGGATGGTTGTCGGACAAAGCCCTGTTCATCCAGATATCGGTTCCTCAACTTCAACGCCTCGTTTTCCAGCTTGAGCCGCTCTATTTCATCGGATTTCGTTTTTAACTCCTTCAAGACTGTTGTGACCATGTTGAAATTATTTCCCATGTTATTTCCTGCTTCAAGCATTTTCCCCGGCCCGTTGAGTTCAATGCGAAGAGCGGTAAATGCACTTTTGAGCTCCGACATCGTGTCATGGAGGTTGCTGACCGAGTTGGAGATATAGTCGATGTTCAGGCCCTGGTGTTGGATTTGCTGCTCCACGGACATGTTGGAGTGCTCGACTTCCGTGGCGCTCGTCGGCACCAAAGCGCCCGCTTGCATGGAGCTTCGATCCCGGCGTGGGGTAGGTTCTTCTTTGGAGGGATCTACAATCAAGCTGTCGATGGGAATATCGACGAACGTAGGTTCCACGGTGCGCATTGTGACGATCTCTCGGAACGAGATTTTCGACAACTTCCAGAAAATATTGGCGCTGATAAGGCGTCAGTCGAGTCCCAGTCCTGCGTATATCCATCCGGTCTGCGCCTACTTACCCATTCTCAAGCATACACAGAACGCCCAGTTTCTGCTGACAGAGCTTACAGGATACATCCTGAAGGACACGCCCGCGCAGGATGACTAGATCCGATGACTGGGGGATGATCTTCTTGTCCGATGCGACGGAGATGCGATGGAGTTCGACGCTCAGCCATCCCGCGGCGAGGGCGTAGGAGTTGGACAGACGGGCCCATTCATTCTCAAGAGCGGCCAGCGAGCTGGAACAGCGCGAGCACTGAGCCAGAATAGCTGGACGCGTGAGTCGCGACAAATCCATGGTGATTAGGGGGCGAATGTTCTACCCACGACAGGGCGCCACTCGAGCGAAGTTTCATGCAGAAAGCGCCGCAAAGTCCAGAGGGATCTCGACTGCTGACTCAGCCGTCGGGGACACGCTGGCGGGTCAGCCTTTACCCCTTGGGGTAATCGATAGACGGGTGCAGCTCTTAGGTGACGTCATGTGGCTCCCTCGCCTCCGTCTTCATGGATTACTCATCGCCGTCCACCAGGACCATGCCTGAGGCATACATAGACTACACCTGAACCCTCTGCACTCCCCTCTGCAACCACAAAAGATTCAACTGATGATACAAGCTTACAGGCTGTAGACACCTCTTGGTTGGGAATTATGTATCAAGTGAATGTATGTAGTCTGCCAGCGATACGTTGCAACTCATCTCGATCTGATGTGGTATACTTCACCCACAATATATAAAGGCGGATTTGGATGTACAATACGGATCATACTCCGTCCTGTTCAAGGAGAAAGATCTTTCAAACTGCCCAGTCTCAGGAGAACCTAGTTCCGCTCCTCTCAGGACAGTTCCATATTTCATGTCCTATCCCTTCCTTGCCACAACCAGGACAGAACAATTCATCCTCGCTGTGCGCATAACGACAACGGTAACTCCAGGCATTGCATTGCGGTTTGTCGCAGAGCCTGTATTTCTTTGCAGTCATGTGGCCGTAGGTTATGAAGTGGTCTAGTTCATCCTTGGTGTGGCCATACTTGCAGCCAAGTTCGTTTCTGCAATATAGACCCCATTGACAGAGGCTACGAGCCTTTTCTTCGTTACGCTTGATATACAACATCCGTTGCCTTGACCGAGTATTAACTTCGGTGAACTCGCTGTTCTCCTCTGCCTTGTGGCCTTTGTTATCAACACCTTCGGCATATCTTTCGAGCTCATTATCCACGTGCAGTAGTTCGTCGAACCGATTGGAGATTGCCAGCTCTTCACGAGAGTCTTTGGTAGAACGTTGAGAGTACTCAAAGTACGAAAGTACAGTGAGGCCGGTAGGCTCAAGTCTCGCTTTCACATGCTGAGAATAAATCCTCGAGGTCGGCGGGCTTCATCATCCTGGCTAGCGCTGGTATAATGACGAGATCTCTGTTGGATGCATTCGGTCGCTTCGTACGACACTCGTACCGATATACCGGGGTCTTTAACTTCGAGACGAGCTCATCAATAGCATCGGCCTTTGGCAGCGGATCAATGACCACGATGCTGTGAGGGTCAATGGTACTGCGGTCAACGCGAAAGGTAGTCTCGCAGAAGCCGATATCCTCGATATACTCATCAAGCAGATGCACGTGGATACGGTCTTTCTGTTCTCCCTTGTAATATGCACTGGCGAGGCTATCCTTCCACGACCAAACGTGGACAGGAAAACCGCTGTCGGCGATTTTATTGACCGCCGAAAGAAGGTCTCGGTCACCGGAGACGATTATATACTCGCTTGAGACCTCGGTGTAATAATCAGCGGATACTTGAAATGCGGCGTCGGCAGTGGGTTGCTGGTCCACGCCTTTCTCGCCCCCTGTCCATGTACTTCGCTTCGATGTGTGGATATAGACTTCATGGCACTTGATTGCTTCCCACACAGTGTCGACTGGAGGTGGTCTGGAGCCATACAGGTTGGTTTTGACCTCTACATTTTCAGAAGGTAAAGTGATTTTCTTCAGGAGGGTAGTCTTCAAGCGACCGACATCAAACCGCCACGTTGGATCTGTCCTCGTGTCGAGACCCTTTTTCTTAGCGTATGTCTTCCGACCTTCGATCCATAGATTGGTGTTGTCTATGTAGATACAGACGACTAGCTTGTTTTCCATCGCTGGTTTTGGGACGTAGGTTGTCACGGACATGTTAGATTCGGATTGTGATCATGAACAAGATGGGAGCCTGGTTTTACGGCTGAAGTGGGATCTCTCGTTGTTTAAAGTGCTTCAGTCTTGTCTGGAGGATTCTGCGTGGGATGGTGATATTATTCTAGCCTTTTAGCCACAAGTCGACACGTGGACCAAGGATAGCGAGATGTTACACCTACTGTTGGTCAGGTCAGGATAGAGTCATCTGACTTCCAGGTCTTCCTCCACTTAATCATGGAGGACCAACTGTCCTGTTCATATCCCAATTTTCTTTGCTAAGAATCCAAAGACCGATCTTGTACCAACAATGAACTGACGTCGTGATGAGCAGAAGCAACAAGACCCTTTTCTAGCTCTAGGACTAGGACTGTAAAGTGAGGCTGATACCAAGAAGTCTTTTGTAAATTAAGATGACTTCTGGGAGGGGAAGAGGGGGTTAGTCCAGCATCACTACCTGATTAGGATGTATAATCTAATCATATTAGCTTTGTTACTGGCTCTGTCCCCTCTTGTGCTGCTCATCTGACGCACACGGCTGCATCTGTGCAGGGGTCAGAACGAAGCCGCCTTTGCTCATTTAAGGGCGCAATTGGTACAAGGTGTCTCATATACCCAGGCTCGCAATTATTTGTGATAGAAGAGAAAGGTATTGTATCTTCCCTCATCTAAACGACCATCTACTGACTACGACTCAACAAAGCAGATACTCAAACATTAGGTCTCTACGACTTCTCCTATTCAACATGTGCAAAGGCCTCATATCGAACGTCAGGTTCCTTTGCGGCGACCCGCTCAAAGATGCGCCGCCCGCCCTGATACCCTGGGATGGATGCGGTAGCTGTGGAGTTATGAAGACTGGGCCGGAATATATGGGCCAATCCACAAGGAGAGAGCCATGCCCAGATTGCATTGATCGTGGCAACTACGCGATGATTGCCAGTGGAAACAATAGGATGGGGTCACAAAATCAACGGCCGATTCGTCATCATATGTCTCAAAGATACAGACGACGAGGGTTACCGTCGACGAATTGAAGTACTCAAAGTGCTTGAGAAGCACGAGCCATGTTCCGATGTGCAGATTCTCATCTCGGACTATGAGCTATACGAATAGGTACCTAATTGTAACTTCGTTTCCCCCTGATACCTCCAAGTTCGATCGTTTTAAATGTCAAGGAAGCCTTTTGGAAATGATGTAGATCGTATGCGGTGGTATTCGGCGAGGGATCTGCTTGGCGGATCGGGTCGGGGGATCATGTAGTCACTCGATTATGGTTTTCAGATGTCCATTTTAGAGCAATGCGCGGTTTAGGTGATTTTTAGACCCTGGATCCTTGTACAGGGCACCATACGACTTTGCGGAGAAGGTTTGACTAGACTACTACCACATGGTCAGCAGGCCAATCCGCCGGATGCAAGCAAAGCAGCATGTTGGACGTACGAATGTGCGGCTGAATAGAACTAATTACAAGGAAGACGAAGTAGTGTCTGGAGCACTGCGGAGAAGACCAGTCATGTCGAGCTTTCCCAGAGAGGCATTGATAGACCAGACGCTATGTCAAATGAAGTTCACCAGGCTGCCTATGCTTGTGACAGCAACGCTATGTGAAAGTGGGCTCCGTACGAGATGTCAACATATAGGAGAAGAAGTTGCAGAATCCAGAACCAGGTCAAAGCGTCCTAAGTGCCGGAATGGTTACCGTTTATAAGATAGTGTCAGTGTATTATTAGCGACAAACGCCTAGAAGCCTAGAAGTATTCATACTAGACCATAACCAGCGCGGGAGGGATTGCGCAGAGGATAATGGCCATATTTGTAAAACTGTATGAAAGGGCCCTACAGACATCAACACTCGGTTTAGAAAGACGTAACACAGAGTATGGCAGTCAGATACTGAGGCAGGTCGGCTCGACCCTGATCCTGGGAGAAATGGCACTTCAAAGTTACTGCAACCCATTCTCAATTGTCCTCAATTTTCAGTTTGCTAGAATTTCTTGCTGTTCGGTAGTTGACTGGACATGAGGCGGAATTCAGGAATTGACGCCCAGGGGCAAGCGGCAAGCCAGATACGAGATCTCTAAGCGGGGGGCATATATAACACTGGGCATCGCGGGCTGGAAAAGCCACCAAATGTAACAGTGTCACTTGGCTTACCTTAGATCAATATGTTACTGGTCCTTTCTTTATAGAGTATGCGGCTAATACTTTCCGCCATTCTCGACACCGGCATGTCTCGTATCCCCATACATTGCAGGACTATAGACGCCAAGACGGTGATTTCTGGAGTGGCAGTGTGGGTGGAAAGTTGCTTGGATTGGACCTGGGGATGCTCGTATTCAGCTCTGCGATTCTAGATTCAACCCATTAGGGCTTACTTTTGTATAGCACGGCACGGCAGATTTTACCTGAAATGTAATTTCCGAGGTGCTCCATCGAAAAGGTATTCTGGGAGGAGGGGAGGCACAAGTACACACGAGGATCATGTAGAACTATAAGAATGGCCTGCCTCGTGCTTCAGTGGGACGGGGTTGTCTAGATATCTCTTCTATTATAGTCGAATCAGGCCACGATGAAGAGACATCTGCTTTCCCTTGCCATTTTATGGCTCGTCGGTCTAGTTTCAGCCGCCTCCAATGAGTTCATTGACCTTCACCCTCTTCCCCGCCATGTCTGGGATATGGATCACCTCTCCAAGAGGGACGATGCCGCCCAGAGTGTCGGTCTGCAGGACCACGAGAAGTTCATGTGGGCTTCTGGACAAGGTACATTGTCGTCTTGCTACATCAGAGATTGGTCTAATTCCCGAATATAGAGGCCAATACCAAGGTCACTGCTGTGAGCATGGTGGTCTACTCCAAGCAGGATGAAAAGATCCTCGACTTGGACAAGGTCGCCTTTGCACTGGAGTCAGTAACTTGCGGTGACAAGATGGTGCTCAAGTTCAACAATAAGCTCTTCTATGCAGCTGCGAAGTTTGCCTGGAACTGGGTCAACTACAATGACCTGCGGAGCTTTGTTGTCGTTGCTAATTGGAAGGGGTGTGGTGACCCCAAAGCCCGGAATCCATGGGTTGTCAGCAACGCTGCATTTGCAGACAAGACTACAACGATCACCTTGGATTCTGTGCAGAGCACCTGGCAGAAGGTTTCCAACTCGTACAATATGGACTTTGGTGACATCGTGCTTGGAAGCGGCGGCAAGAGCAAGCGGTGGCTCGATTTTGACCTTAGCAAAGCCTTCACGGTGGACCTGAGCTCGTCCTTCCCGAGCGAGATCGCGAACTGGAGCATGACGACGCCCTATGTGGATGCCTACCTTGCCATTGAATGTGAGGACTGTGGCACCCAGGGCACTTTGCAGTTTGCAGGTCACATTGAGGGCAGTGTATTCGGAGGCATCGACAAGTTCGAGGTTTCTGCCACCCCCCATGGCATTGCTGCGCATCTTGGCCTGAGTCTCACGTTCCATGGTGAAGTTGATTTTGACACATTGCCTGCGCCGGGCGATGAGTTTACGCTGCTGGAACTACCGCTGCCGAGTGGATGGCGGGTCCCCGGAGTGCTCCAGTTTGGACCAAACGTCAAGATTAACGCCGGTTATACAATTGAACGGATTGTTGGTGACGCCCGGGTGAGCACCGGAATCACCGCAAGCGTGCCGGATGATTCCGTTGCCAAAGTAGACCTGGCGAGCAAGAACCCCGTGGAGATATCGGGCTGGATCCCCGAAATTGAGACAGACCCCTTGGAGGTATCTGTTCAGATTGATGCTACAGCTCATGTGTACACGGAGGTTGCTGTCGCAGCTAGTATCGAAGTCCTGGGTGAGTAGATCTTCCACCATACTGTAACACACAGATTTAACAGACATGCTTAGATGAGAATGGTGTGAACGTTGAAATCGGCATTAAAGTCCCAGATGTCACGGTGACCGCGTCCGCTGGCTATAGTGAGTCCTGTCAACATGTTCGTATCCTAGTATTGCGAGCTGACCATTTCAGACGTCGATGGTTTCTGTGGTGACGATACTGGCAAACCTTTCGGACTCAAGCTCGATGCTAGCCTCGGGGCCAGCCTGGGTCTTCAGGGCTACACTGAACTGAAGGGTGACAAGGACGTCTTTCTGGATGTCACACTCTATGAGACACCCGCCCTCTATACGTTCCCCCAGCTGTGTCTTGCCTTTGGCAAACAGTCCCCAGGCGCCTGCATTCCCGAGCAACATACCTTTGATCCAGATGACTCGTACCCTCCCGGAGGATACACCGACTCAGAGGATGATGGGGCGAACATAGCTGAACGCTCGTTAAGACTGGCCAAGCGTGACGAGAAGAGCGCGGCCTATCTGACGAGAAAGCCCTATCTTCTTGGATGCGATGAAGAGAAGAAACATGAGATCTGGCCTCAGAAATATCAGAAACCTACCAGCTTGAGGAATAAACTGCAGGTCCCTATCATGAAGCCTGGCATGGGTTGTGGAGAGGACGAAGATGAAGAATGTCCTGCCAGCACGTGGAGTATGGACAAGCTACCCGATACCCTAACGAAGGCGGATCGAGCGCTGGTGACACAGAAAGGATGGGCTTGTAAGTGCAGTGTTTCCTACTTTCCCTCTCGATATATGTTGACTGATTGCTTTCAGCGGAGCACATTTACGAGGGCAACTGGATCCGCGATTTCATCCAGCACTTGGTGGATGAGAAGTATCCTGCTATTGACGGCAGCACAGTTGGGGATGATACAAAATGCAAAGGCGCCGTCAATACCTTTGGAAACAAATTGGGTGTGGTGATAGATACGAAGACTCCGCGGGATGCTGGAAATTACTCCGAGGCGCTCATGCAGAACCTGGGCACGACATGGACCAGCGGCGAACGGATGGCTCTGCTGCCTCAGATCCAGAATAGTATGAAATATGATGTGAGTCATAGGCTATCCTGGTGGGTTGAGGAATTATCGATTAACAACGACAGATGTTCAACGGGAATAATATCGATGCCAGTTTCAGCAAGAAGACTCTGAACCAGCGTGTCTGTTCGCTGGGCCGCATCGCCACTGTCTGCAAATACATGAATCACAAGGCGATCAGAGATCGGATGGTGATCACCAATAATGCCTTGGAGGCTGTTTTGTGCGTCTGATGGTCTGATTTGGTTCTAAGTACTATTGCTGACTGTTTGACAGGGATCAATTGCAGACAAGCAGCGAGGTTTACAAACCAGATGGTCTGGATTTCAAGACTGCCCACCAAAAATGGTTTGAGGGCATGTACAAAGCGGGATTCGAGAATGCAAGAACTCGTTTGGGCACATACTTGACCTCAATCACGAGTGCTGAGCTAGACAGCCTTGATCCGGATACGAAGGCTGCTGTGCAGAATGTCCAGGACAACTGCAAGGAGGTATGGCCACTGGATTCTGCTTGAGTGAGATTTGGCAGGGGTTTTGGAATGTGTATCAATGGTGCCCTTGACACCGTTGTATAAGGAAGCATCACAGAACAGAAGTCGGTTCCATGAGTGTAAATTTTGTCGAAGTAGATGTTGGCGCTCTTTCCGCTATACCCGATTGGGACAATCGGTCTTCTCCCCGCACCCCGCCGAAGAGTAAGAGTCCCTGCGTCAGTTTGCACTCCGCACCATCCTATCGCAACCATCGTGCCAATTGACTTCACTGGATGCGTCCCTCCACACGCTCACTTCTCCGCCCACTACCGCGCTTTGGATCTGTTGGTTCAGTACAAAGGGCCAGGTATTGCGGTCAGAAATTCGCCATGGCATCCACAACATCGAACGGGCCCAACGGCAAGCCGAGCTCCTGGCACGGTGCAGGAGCTGCTGAGTTCGACCTGCGAAGTATTTCGTCCCCTTGCAATGAAGTCCCGAGAAAGCTGCTGACAATTCTGCGAAAACAGGCGACACAATGACGAAACCCACTCCGTCAATGCTGGAGGCTATCTGTCAAACCACCCTCCTAGACGATGTATTCGGCGAAGATCCCGTCACGAATGACCTACAAGCCTATGTCGCACGACGTACAGGTCATGAGGATGCGCTGTTGGTGATGTCGGGTACGATGGGCAACCAGGTGGCGCTGCGGACACACCTGGCGCAGCCGCCATATTCAGTCCTGTGCGATCACCGCTCCCACATTGTCTGCTACGAGGCGGGAGGGGTTAGCTCCTTGACCGGAGCGATGGTCCAAACCGTGGTTCCGAGGAATGGCGCCTACCTCACTCTCGAGGACATCCAGAAATACGCCGTGCTGGACGACGATATCCACCACTGCCCGACCAAGGTGATCAGCCTGGAGAATACCCTTGATGGAATGATTATGCCTCTGGCTGAGGCACGGCGAATCACGGAGTGGGCCCACTCCAACGATATCAAGGTGCACCTGGACGGTGCCCGGTTATGGGAAGCTGCGGTATCGGGCGCGGGCAGTCTGCCCGAGTACGCGGGCCTTTTTGATAGTGTCAGCCTCTGCTTCTCGAAGGGTCTCGGCGCCCCTATTGGTAGCATCATCGTTGGGTCCTCCGCGTTCATCAAGCGGGCCCGGTGGTTCCGCAAATCAATCGGTGGAGGCGTTCGACAAGCCGGTGTGATCTCTGCAGCCGCACGGGTGGCAGTCGAGGAGACCTTTGGCCCCGAGCCCAATGGACAGGGAGGAAAGCTGGCGGAAACACATGTCAAGGCCAAACGGGTAGCGGAGATGTGGACCAGCCGGGGAGGTAAGCTGCTGCACCCCGTGGAGACGAACATGGTCTGGATTGATACGGAGTCCTCTGGACTGGGACCCAATGACCTGGCGGAGATCGGAAAGACTAAGGGTCTGCAATTGCTGGGAGGACGGATTGTCGTTCACTACCGTGAGTTTACCCTTATACCTTCATATGAAACCATGGCTATTGGAAGATGGCGCTAACTATCGCTTGTAGAGGTGTCTGAGGAGTCCCTTTCCCGGCTGGAGGAGGTGTTTGATGTGGCAATGAAGGGGGACTTCCAACGGAGTGACGTACAGAGTCGGCCGTATGGAAGCAAGCAGCTGTAGAATAGATCAATACCTAGGTAGTAACCGCGTGTATAGAATGTAAACGCCGATCCATCCGGTGGTTGTCCCATGGTTGCCCTGTCTCTGCTATATGGAGAATCCGCCCCTCCGATTGGTTGAGCCATGGGAGCGTGCGGAGCCTCAGGCACGGAGCTGATGCTGCCTGAGGCTCCGCCGACCTCCGCCCCAAAATAAATCGAAGCTAAGATAAAGCCCGCCGGTTCCCAGCCTTGCTCTCTTCTCGTTCCTCGGACGACGACTACCTTCTCTCGGACAGGATCTGGACTTGTCTCCGTGGTCGATTTTCCCCCGTCAAACGGAGCCCATTGCCGAAACTGTCTGCCTCGGTGATGCAGTGGATTGTTGATGGGGACTCGTTGACTGTGTGAGTTTTGACCCTTCGTGTACACACTCGACTCGATGATTGACAGCTTGGGGACTGACTGGATTCTTTCCCACAGACATAGAATTCCTCCCTCCTTACGCCCACAAACGGGTCGCTTGATGGACCCGAACTGAACGCCTGCTCTCACATGTCTTCGTCTTTTTGGAAATAACCTATCGCCCTGCCTCGCCCGCCGAGCTACGATCAGCCTCACCCCAATATACCACCTCAAATCTGTTCACATTGGGACACCATCTTGGTGAAATCTCTCAAATCGACGCATCAACGTTGACTCTTGGACTGTCGGAGATCCTCTCCCGTCTTTGGTTCTCAGCACGTGGACATAGTTGGGAATCGTCTCTGGAAGGCAAGGGATATCAACAACGAACTTCAAAATTGCCTCACGTTATTGTGTATTGGTTGGACTTCATATAAAGGTAGTCTCTGGCATTATCCCGCTTCTTCCTCTGCTTCCAATCGATGGACGCAGGAGCTGATCCTCGACAGGTACATGTTTTGACACTTTCTTAACGATCGTATTGGTTATGCAAGCATCTTTTTCGCATTTTTTCTCATCCACGACTATACCCTAGATTTTGTTGCATTTTGACAGTAATTTCCTTTCTGCCTTCTCTTTCAGCTTCCATCGATCTTTTGTCAGATTGCATCATTATCGATATTTTTGTTCAATGGAGGCAACTCAGGAATCCACCCAGCCATGTACGGATCCGCGGCGCATGGGATACAACAACTCCGGTCTGCACGAGGAGGACCTGTCAGATATCATTTGCATCCTGCATCCGAATTCCCCAGCCGCCCATCAGGCAGTCGCCGTCACGGCCCGTCATGCACCGCAGCACATCCTTCAACGACAAGAGCTCGAGTATGAAGATTCAGACACTGCCGCGCTGGATATCGCCCTCAGATTGTCATCAAACGTGCACGATCTTTCTGCGGGATTTTGCTTTGGGCGCAACAAGCAACGCTGTGACCTGCTCCTCACGGACGCCAACTCCAAACGGGTCTCGAACATGCATTTCCGGATCTATCTCACCGAAGACGTGATTCTCATGCTCGAGGATGTCTCCACAAATGGCACCATCGTAGACAACCACCGCCTGCGCAAGACACAAAAAGACAACAGTCGAATGCTAACCAGCGGCTCCGTCATCCAAGTGATGAACGGCACGCTGTCCTCTGACGAAATCCGTTTCGTGGTGCGCATTCCGGCGCGCGATGGCTATCATATGCAGTACACAGACAATTTGATCCGTTACTTCGAGCGTGTTCAAAAGCATCGGCCAGCTACCGTTGCGGTGCAACCTAAGGTGCGTCACACCTCGGCTCAGCCGAGCTTACATTTCGCCGTGTCGAACTCGTACGGGATGCACTGGACGGGCGGTTCGATGTACAACGTCACTGGTCAGATCGGAAAAGGCGCTTTTGCGACGGTCTACAAACTCGCAACGAAGCAGCAAGGGATCGTGTATGCTGCCAAGGAGCTCGATAAGAGGCGCTTCATGAAGAACGGAATCTTGGACCAGAAAGTGGACAACGAGATGAAGATCATGCGGGACCTCAAGCATGTAAGTATTCCAGGCTTCGTTGGTGGGCGGATGGTTGCTAACTCTCAACGAACAGCCAAACATCGTTCAGTATGTCGACCACCACGAACATGATCGATGGATCTACATCATCATGGAGTATGTCCCAGGTGGCGAGCTGTCCACCTACTTGCAAACCACTGGCAAGCTTCCCGAAGATATGGTCAGGCCCGTGGCCCGTCAGATCCTCCACGCACTGCATTATCTTCACAAACGGAAGATTACCCATCGTGATATCAAACCAGACAACATCTTGATTGCATCACTAGACCCCTTAAAGGTGAAGCTGTCCGACTTTGGTTTGTCAAAAGTGGTCCAGGAGGAGACGTTCCTCAAGACCTTCTGTGGCACACTGTTGTACTGCGCTCCGGAGGTGTACCCCGATTATGAGAACTACCGGCGCGGCGAGGTCAGGAAAAGACGCAGGCTGGGTGATCCGTAAGTATTCCCCTGTTACCCCCTGCCGGAGTTCCGCTAATGGATCAGGCCACCGAAAAAATCCCCGTACGACCAGTCTGTCGATATGTGGTCCCTAGGTGCGGTGTTATACCACATTCTTGCCGGTGTTCCAGCGTATACGGGACGGGGGGACGACCGAGGAGCCCAGATGCTGAGGAACATCATGACTACGGATGCTGACTTCGATGTACTACGGCGGGAGGGCATCTCCGAGGCTGGAGTCGACTTTGTGGCGCGACTGTTGAACCGGGATCCGCATTCCCGTCCAACGGAGCGAGAGTGCTTTCAACATCCGTGGATTGCGGAGGTTGAGGATATTGACGAGTATGATTACGATGTCCTACAGTCCATCAGTCCCGAGGGGCTGTCTGACATTGGGGAAGATGTGGAGGAGGAACTGGACGCTTCGCAGCTCTCCATCCACGATGAAGAGCAGATCCCAGATGACTCCGGTGACAAGGACAGCGATTTAACACAATCCAAGCGACCCCGGATCGACTGCCCTCCTGTGGATATCCGCTACCCATCACTGCCCAATATCGACAGCTTTAAGGAAGTTCCCGCTGCTGCTGACTCCACCCCCAGGCGTCTCTTTGGCGAGATTACGCCCTCCGCCCTGCGCAGCTCGCATGCGCTAGGGGCTGACGGTCCTGCCTTCGAGAGCGACCATTTCATCCATGACTTCGTTTCCTCCACTGGTGAGTCGATAATCAGCGACGGCAACAGTCTGAACTCCGTCCTATCCCTCCCGGAAAACCCCGTTGCTGGACCCGCACCAAGCTTGATGGGAGCTGAGAATCTCGTTGGGCAGCTGAACATGAACTCCACGTGGCACCCTGGCCTTTCGACCAATCTCCCGCCCGCCGTCCGGACGCCGGAACGGCAAATTAGCCCGCGGGAGAGCGGTCCCATCGGTAACGTAGCGCCCGTTGGCAATGAGGATACCCCCAAAGCATCAGCGTTTAGTCGTCGAATCGAGCTACAGGTGCCGGATACCGCCAGCGAACGGTCCAGCCCGGAGACTGCCAACCAGGGGCCATCGACCACGTCCACGACCACAACATTGGCGCGTTCAGGGGCTTTAGAGACAAATCCTGGGGAAATCTTCGACATTGAACTTGCCAATACGATTGACGCTCGCACTGGACAGTCGATCTTGGACTACCCAGAGCGCACGGATGGTGATGCCCCGAGGATTCTGCATCAACCCAAGGAACCCCGGATGGTCCTCGGCCGGCTGACGACCGTCCCGGGATCCATCTTCGACTTAAGTATCGACCTTCAAGACCGCATGACCTCGTGGGGCCGTGGCCCCCAAGCGACGGTCTGTTACCCGGACCCGATGGACACGCGGATCCCGGCGTATGCACTGGAGGTAACGTTCTGGGCCCCGGCGATCGAGAGCCGAATCCGGGCGGGCGAGGATTGGATGGCGGTGCCGGGCGTGATGGCGATCCTGTCGACCAAGACGCGGAAATGCATCTGGGTGAACGGGACGGAGCTGCGCCGCGGGCCGGACGGGGATCCCGGTCGGCAGGGGTTCCATTTCGGCAAGCTCTACACGGGGGACATCATCACGGTGTACCAGCATCGGCACAAGTTCCTGAAGTTCCAGTGCGAGTTCTACCATGGCGACAGTGCGCGGGCGCGACCCCCGGAAGAGAAGGGTTTCACGGTGCGGAAAGTGCTGATGCCGAAGGGGGATGCGGCGAACCAGTTACCGGGGCGGAGAGAGGTGGAGAAGAAGTAGGCCGTTTCTTGAATAGGCTGGCCTTGGGTTGTATGTAGTTATATTGGGATGGTTATTTTTGGCATCTCTTCTCTGCGGGTGGAGTTGGATGTTGGTGCGCTTATCTCCAGACTATCTATCTATCTACTCGGTACAGTAGGAAATGAATCTAATCCGGATGATGCAAGCAGGCCGTGGACCTGGCCAGTGGATCGTAGCGAGGTGATGTATCGAGGGGTGATCAATGCGAGTCACCGATGGAGGTACTTCATGTGGTACTTCATCTCGCTAACTATGTACTGTATGTACCTAGGTACATTCCGGGGAAGATTAGTTAATGTAACCAGGGACTGCGGGCCAAAGCGCCGGTGGAGCCAGGGGAATTGGGCTAATTTCGCCGATTTCTGCAGGTCTGCACGCAACCCCGACAAGATCTATAAGGACAGAGGATACATGAATATAGCTCTATAGATCTATCGAGGTACGATAGCACAAATATATGCAGCCTATTTCGAAATCACCCTCATAACCAGACCAGGAGAGATGCAGCTCTGACATCAGCGAACTATACGAGGCCCCACCGCAAACGGGCTTGGGCTGCCCGTTCACGGCCGGTGGATTCTCACCTCATTTAACCATTTCTCTATCCGGACCTTCTCTCGCTCTCCCTTTCCTCCTTCTGGCCACTGTCGCTCGTTCGTTCCTTTGCTTCATTCCCCCTTTTTTTCACTCCTCTACGCTATTGTAATCTTCTAATCTGGTTTTTATTCGGTTCGCCCTTCGTTCTGGACTGCCCCTCCGATCATTGCCCTTTTTAACCCGGGAAGATCCCTCGTAAAAAAATATCACCTTAAACGCCGATCTCTCAGGGTCTTCCTTACGCCGTTATCTCCTCCTCGACCGAACCCCTCGATCTATCTCTCTGTCTGCCGTCGTCGCCAAATCCTCCAGATTCAACAACTTTCATCTCTTCTGGCTGCGTCGCCAGCTACGACGCTCCCCCGCCGTCCATGTCCATTTCGCGATCACCCTCTCCCCACCCCGTGGGAGCAGGGTGGTCTAGTCCCGGACTGACCCCGGGCAGTGGCGCGTCAACACCACGCAGCGGATATTTGTCGCCCAACTCCCTCGGACCGGGGGGAATCTCCTGGGCCGCCGCCAAAGCCAAAAGCGACGAAGTCCGCGGCTATCCCTCGTTTTCCACCCGCAACAACGGCTTCTTCTCGCGCTCGCGCCGCCAGCTGTCCGCCACCTTACCGCGCTTCCGTCTCGGCTCCGGGGCTAACGGCGCCCCGAACGGTTACTACACGGAGAAGGAACATGCGGGATATGGCCGGGGGCGGGGGTTCGGGTCCGGACGGGGCTGGCGCTTGTTCGGGTTCGGGCGTATGTTCCGACGGAAGCGATCGCGGTTCCTGGCGCTGTTGATGCTGCTAGGCGTGGTGTATCTGTTCTTTTGGAACGGTAAGTGTATATTTGTGCTCTGTTGGTGGAAGGAGTGTGCTGACGGGGACAGCGGTTACGGAGCGGTTTCGCCGGTCGTCGTTTGGAGGGGGTCGCAAGTTCGTGATCATTCTTGAGTCCAACGTGGAGGGCGGGGTCATGGAGTGGAAAGGTGCCCGCGAGTGGGCCATTGAGCGCAACAGCATCTGGAATAAACAGGAGTATACCAAACGGTGGGGTTATGATCTGGAGCTCGTGAACATGCTAGCCCAGAAACGATATTCGCATGAGTGGCGCGAGAGCTGGGAGAAAGTCGATCTGATTCGCGACACTATGCGCAAGTACCCCGAAGCGGAGTGGTAGGTTCCCTGCGTTCCTTGCGCGGGGTGTTTGGCTGACGCGGCGCAGGTTCTGGTGGCTCGATCTGAATACGTGGATCATGGAGCAGTCGTATTCGCTGCAGGATCACATCTTCAACCGCCTGCAGGATATCACCTACCGGGATATCAACTTCTACAACCCGCTGAATATCACGCATCCGTTCACGGACGCATATCTGGACGACGTCTCGCGCTCGGCCGCCGGCGACGAGCACCCGTCGTCGATCCAGTTCATCCTGTCGCAAGACTGCGGTGGGTTCAACCTCGGCTCGTTCTTCATCCGTCGCTCGCTCTGGTCGGAGCGCCTGCTCGACGCGTGGTGGGACCCAGTCATGTACGAGCAGAAACACATGGAGTGGGAGCACAAGGAGCAGGATGCGCTGGAGTATCTGTACTCAACGCAGCCGTGGATCCGCAGCAGCGTGGCTTTTGTCCCGCAGCGCTACATCAACTCGTTCCCGCCGGGGGCGTGCGGCGACGGCGACAACCCGGACGTCCACTACCAGGAAGACGGGCATGACTTTATGGTCAACATGGCGGGGTGCCAGTTCGGTCGCGACTGTTGGTCCGAGATGGTACAATACCGCGAGCGCAGCAGATGGCTCAACCGGTCGGTCTGGGAGCGCATGCGCTCCAACCTGAGCGGGTGGTATCACTGGCTCTTTGGTGGGAAGGACCAACCACAGCAGTGAACGGTGCTATGTGTGATGATTGATGCATTTTCTGATTCTTGCTGATGTCTTACTATGCTGTCTTTTGGAGTATGCGTGGCTTATTGTTTGGGTATATTTGGCGCATCTAGAGGATTCCATATTAAAGAGGATATGCATTGAATATGCCATTTGCGGGCGTTGGTAGCTAATACATGATCTTGTGTATGCATGGTCCTTACCACATCAAGTATACTTCTTCTCCCGTACCCGCGGAGGTACTGTTGCTTAGATGGCAGAGATATGACTGACCTCAGCCAATCCTCATCCTACTGAAATCTTTGAATCACCAAACGCATCTGTAGTGCGGTGGTTGTAATGTACACATCTTCAATATGGAGCAGAGATATGCCCCGCTGACTCAACATACACAGCTTAGTCACCCACACCCGACCGCCCACACACCCACCAATCAGCAACCACCAATTCGGCATTAACCTCCGGCCTCCGACGACATCAGAAAACGCCGGCCGGCAAGCAGCCTCAACTCTTCATACACCTCACCAATCGTCCCGCACCCACCCCAAGCTCGAACATCGGACCGCCTCCTCCCTCCGACCCCGTCAATTGACCCTCCCACGAATCCTCCCATCCAAAATGCCTACCCCCGAGTCCGCCGCCTTCCTCGCCAAGAAGCCCACCGTGCCCCCGACCTACGAGGGCGTCGACTTCGAGGACAACGTCGCCGTCCACAACGCCCGCGACGCCATCATCCGCGAGCAATGGGTGCGCAGCATGATGTCCCGGCTCGTCGGCGAGGAATTGGGCAAGTGCTATGCGCGCGAGGGCGCCAACCATCTGGAGAAGTGTGGGGCGTTGAGGGGTGAGTTTGTTCCTTGTCCTTCTTCTTCTTCTTCTTCTTCTTCTTCTGCCTTTCGCCTGGCGTTCGGTGGATGTAAGGTGGGCGTGTGCTAATTTTTTTGCGGTAGAAAAATACTTTGAGCTGCTGAGTGAGCGCAAGATCAAGGGTTACCTGTTCCAGGAGAAGAACTATTTCTCCGGCGAGAAGTCGGCGTGAGCGGAGCGTGGATGTGGCTTTTCTTTAGGGTTTCTTTTTTTCTCGTCTGGGTGTGTTCTGGTTTGTTTTAGCTGAATACATTGAATGGTTTCTGTTCTTTTTACGTGCGTCTCGTGCATTGAGGAGCCGCTGGGGCTAGAGGAAGAGGTCCGTTTCAGTTGTGTCTGTATTGTATATATCACAGTTCTATCTCTTGTTCAAATCTGCTGGTCTCCCGTGTACGCTGTGTCCAGGGTTTCGATATCAACATGTATGGCGGTAATTCCAAAGACAGGATCTAATAGTAGGCACTGTCTGTCCGCTCGGGGAGTCCACCAGGAGTGGTAGATCTCAGTCCCCCGACCGGCTCCTCGTCACTGTCCATGTCACTGCTCATTCCCAGTTCGTCTGCCATGGGCGGTGCGCGCATCTGCGCCAGCTCCTCTGCGTCCAGGGTCGGGATCTTGTACGGCCCCGGGGGTGAATGGATATCTCGGCCTGAAGGCAGATTCGCCTGGAGGTCCGCAGAGGGCGGAATCAGCTGTGTATTTATCTGGAAGATGGTCAGCACGGGAGTGTAGAAGGCAATCGGGAATGGAACATACTGTATCGTTCATCCGTACCCACTTCGTCTCCAACATCTCGATCACACGCCCCTCCTCCTCACGCCCGGCATGGTCGCCCGGACTTAGCTCGCCCTTTTCGTGATAATCCCGACTGCCCGCATCCTTCTCCATGCGACGTTCTTCCCGTCGCTCCATCCACCCCTGCTTCAGCCGCGACAACCCCCGGCTCTTCGTTTCCGTCTCATCGGGGCGAGCGCCCCGAACGCCCAGTGCGCCCTTCGCCGCCCGTAGCCAAGCAATCCCCTCACCAATTTTTCCCGCCAGTTCGGCATCCACCCCGAAGAATCGACAGGCTCTCGCGCGCGCCACGCGCCCCAGCACCGCGACATACCGTGTCAGGTCCTCGTCAATGCCGGACTTGCCTCCGTCGACACGCACTGAGCCGAGCCCCGCACCTGCTTGGTCGGCGTACTCGGCAGCACGGAGGCACAGCCGGGCGAAGAGGTGCGCGCGCACCTTCGGGATCTCGGGGGGGCGCACCATCCAATCCTTGTCGTTTGGATTGCGCGACTGGATACAGGCCGCGACGTAGGAGTCGTCCTTGAGGACAGCCAGAAGGGTGGCTTCGGCCAGGGCGAGTGAAGACAGCGCATTCTGCGTGGCGGGGTCAAGGTCCGGGAGGATGCTGCCTCCGCCACCGGAGGTCGTGACGGGAGGCATGGAGGCCAGGAGGGTGTGTACGGCGCTAGCTTGGAGGAGGTGTTTGGTGGCGGTTTGGACAGCGACGGTGCGCTGTTCTTGGGTCGGGGTGGTGCGGTTGTAGAGCGTGCGCACGACGCCCGAGTACGCCATCTGGCTTAACACGTATCCCATTGTTGTGAGAACGAAAGCGATTTCAAAGTCAATGCCCTGTCCGCGAACGCGGGGCGCTGGGTGTTTTAATGCGCGGGTCGCAGTGTTGGCTGTCAGCGTGGGACGCCATTCCGGCTGAATGTCGCTGCGGAGGGTGAGATCGACGGATGTAACGGGCGAGTTTGGGTCCAAGGGTGTCGTGTTGAGGGCTTTGGAGATCGTGAGAAGGTAGGGAAGATATTCGGTGATTGCGGTCAGGATGGAGGGCAGATTCGCGTCGCGTTGGGCGCCGCGGGGCAGACGCTTGTGAGTCTTGAGGGCTTGTCGCAAGGCATGGCGGGCGGTGGAGGCAGCCTGCGGTAAAGAAGGATGTGATGTGGATGCGAGAGAAGTCTGGAAAGAAAGATGGCCAGTGGAGGGGAGCTCAAATGCGTAGACCATGGTTGAGGTGGACTGGATGAGGGGAGATGATGAAGAAATGAAGTTCGGAAGTTGAAGCGTTGATGTCACTGCGGCCAAGACCTTTGGCCGCACTTGGGTGTCTATCTTGCTGGCTCTACTTTGACGCAGTCGTAGGTCTCCAGAATGGATCCATTAATTCCTGGGAATCTCGCAGGTGGTAGATACACAGCATAGATGGCATGTACCAGTTGTCGGCTGATATTGCTGCTTCTCCCTACCTGTCGCAGTTCGTCTGGGGTGTTTCAGTAAACCACATCCCGGAACCACCGTCTGACTTCCTTGTACTGAATCGCTCACCATCCCTTCTTTCGTCCTGCGTCTTGGCTTCCTGGGAACCAACTGCTGGAGAAGTTGGAAATGTCCAGCGTCCAGCTAGCTGGCTATGGCTGCCGAACACCCTGTCGCGTGACCCCCAACCCAGACAGATTCATATTACCTGTACTTCCTAACAGATGTCGGGATATGCATGCACGCCAGACGATCTGCTGGTGCCGGCGTAGACTTGTAGTCACTGTAAAATGCTGCTGCGCGCAACAATGCCGCAGGCGTATTAGCACCTCACACCTCACACCTCCATCCCCTCCCCATCCGATAGATTACTTGGCGCACTGCTCACAGCAGAGGAGTCACTCTCTGCGATATACGGCGCACGCGACCGCATCTGGGAGCCCCATTCCTGTATGCTGGGCGCACCGCCCTCAATGACGATCGGGTGTTCATCGGCACTCTTCCCCAGCACGGTCCCTGCATATCGCGACTCCTCGCCGGTCTTGCTGTGTTTCTTCTTCAAGACTGTCAGGAAATCCTCCTTCTCGAGAAAGTCGGCGTCGATCATGTCGCCTTCACTGGGTATAAAGCCGGCGATACGTCGGATTTCACGATTGCTGGGACCGGTAAACCATGATATAAAGCCCTCCAGTCCTCGGAGATCTTCCTCTCCCTGCCAATCCTCCTCCCATTCGCGTAGCTGTGGTCGCAGTGCGCCTGCATCTTGCAGGGCCTGGTAGATATCTTCGAGGACGGGAACGGGGTCGCCGGGGTGGGCGTTGGCCGCGTGAGCCGTGGCGGACGAGGCTAGGTACATCAAATAACGGGCTGTGAGATCGGTCAAGGTGTCGAGAACAGATGGACGTGTAGCGTGGAATCCTGCAGCGCGTAGAATCTGGATAATGGGAGGGCGCAAAAGGGCGTTATGGAGGTTGTGAGCCGACATGATGGAGTCGGATTGGACGATAGCAGTCGGAAGGAGCGATCAATATAGAAAAATATAAGGCAGGCTCAATTATTGAGAAAAGAATAAGGGTATCAAAGGCGACAATAGGAGAGGAGGGGGATGAATGGAGAGTAAATAGTAACAACAGAAGAAGAGGAAGAAGCAACCGGGCCGAAAAGGGAATCCACCGATCACGTTCCGCCGGCCCTCTGCATTATTCTCCAACAACCACCAACACCATCACCTCTCCGTCATTTCAACGCCACCATTCATCCTTTATCGTCTCTGTATACTTCTGCCTCGCTAGGGGCTCCCCTCGTTCTCTAGAAGGACTCTATCATCATGTCAGAACCGCGCCCCTCGCTCAAACTCACCTTCGGCAAGAAGAAACAGCCAGAGGAAACGCCATCCCAACCAACGCCTCCGCCTCCTCAACCAACATCAGAGACACCTCAGCGAAAGATCACGCTAAAGATAGCGCGCAAGCCGACTGAAGATGAAGCCGACGCGAAGCCCAAAAAGAAGAAACCGTCATCCTCCAAGAAACGTCCGGCAGATGAGCCTGCCCTCAAGGAACCCTCGGCAGCCGCGCCGCCATCCCAACCAACAGGTCCCAAACGATTGAAGTTGAACGCATCGAAGAAACCCGGCGTGCAGTCTATCCGAATCAAGAACAAGGGCCTGGTCCCTAATCGCCCTGTTGGCGTTGGCTACGACTCGGAGGCGTCAGACACAGAAATCGACCCTGCGATCGAAGAACAGTTCATTCTACGCATGCTCCCGGGTGAAGATTGTGATTATCTTCGCAACGCCATCGAGAATAGGCTCTTCAACAAATCGGAATTCTCGTTCAAACCGCTGACCCGCGAAGGGCGACGCGCAATTTTCAGGGTCCGCGACAAGCAGTATGCGGCCGCACTGGTGGACCTACCCTGTATCATCGAGGGCATGAAGAGCTGGGACCGGCGGGGATGGTACAAATCGGCCGATATTTGTCAGATGCTTCTCGTTTTAGGACCGGTTTCCAACGAGCGGGAGGCTCTCGAGTACCCTCTCCCTTCCGAAGTCGAATACCTGGATGACAAGACTTTGCGGTATGCCCACGGCTTGACGCCTCCGCTACGATGGGTGAGAAAGCGACGGTTTCGCGAACGCATCAGCCACCGAACGATCGAGCAAGTTGAAAAAGCTGTCGAGGATCTTGTTGCGCAGGATGAGGCATCTCTAGGTCCGCCGCGCTATGAGTTGATTGACCGTGCAGCGCTGAACCGGGCCGAAGGTCTTGTGCAGACCGGTGAATACGGAGAGGAAGAAGAAGAGTATGACGACGAGCAGGATGCCGAGGGTGAACTGGAGGCCGTGGATGAGATGTTTGAAGACTTTGAGGACAGTCTCGCCGCCGAAATGGAGGCAGCGCTGGCTGCTGGAGTAGATGGCGAAGCCACAGAGAACGCAGCAGCCCCGGCTCCTGTGGATTCTGGGGTTTACCAAGCTGGCACGCCTACCGCGACGAAACCCTCGACTCCTGCCGCCGACACTTCCGGCGACGAGAGTGATGATTCTGAGGGAGAAGAGCGCCGAGAAGCCGAAGAGGATCTCGATGATGAGCAGTTAGAGCAGCAGCGCCAAATGCAGCAACAGCGAGAAGAGATTGCGGAACTGGAGGCGCTGATCCGGGCCGAAACTGGACGGTGGGAGAAGATGCAGAACCGCATTCTGAAGAACAAGTTGGCCGAACGGATTCAGCATCTGCGACGCGATTTATCTCTGAAAAAGGTGTCCATCGGCGAGGGAGACGATGCCGATGTTTAATGTCCATGCTCCTTGCCTTGTTCTTTGCTACTTTGATACCCGGCTGTCATGAAATGTACATTTACTTGTTTCGATGTTTTATGCTCAACAAAGGCAGGACTATAATACATCTTCGAATATAATACCTATGATCCAACAACAGGCTCTCCCGTCGCCTCATGCACAGCGTCCTTGATGTGTAGATCCTTCCGCTCCTCCAACTTGCGTTCTCTCAACAGCTCCCTCTCCACGGTCTCGCCATCTGGCTCAGGCGGGCTATGTCCGACCCTCTCTCCCAACATCCGATCATGCTCTTTCTTCTTCCGATCCATATTCGCCGCATACTCGCGCTCCTCTCCGCCAGGATGATAGGCCGGGCTACCGGGGCCATACGCACTGCCGACGGGACCCGCATGCGCCCCGGCCTGGGCACGCTTTCTCGCCTCCTCGGAGCGATGTTCGACGGCGTACGCAATGTCGCCCTCGTTGGGCTGCTGTTCGACCCCGTACTCGAGGTCCACGTCCGGCGAGTTCTGCATTTCGCGCTGCTCGCGACGGCGATCGGCCATTAGGTGCGCGAGGGCCTCGTCGCTCGATGGCTTGGAGTTGGCCGTGCGACGGTAGACCGCTGGGACGGGGTCGCCATGTCGGCGTGGCTGAGAGGGGTGTTGCTGCTCGTAGGGAGAGTGGGTGACGGGATTTTGGGGCGAGTCGTACGCCGCTTGTTTGGGAGGTTGGGAGGGTTGGTTGTGATGGTGGACCATGCTGATGATTGTAGTCTAGTAGTTTAGGAGGATGGGTGAGATTGGAAGGGTGTTGAATGGAGGTTGAGGATGATGTTATATGGATGGTGGAAAGCTTGTATCGACATGACGTCACGGTGGTGCGTTTCTGATGCTGCCACTATCAAGTTCTGCTGCTACAATGGATAGTGCTTATCGCTGTTTATGTGATTAAATGCTGTTGTTGGTATGCATTGCATATAGTATACTCCAAAGTAGATGGGGATTGATATGCCATCCTTCGTCTGAACGCGTCATTCGAAACCGTGCCAGCTGTGTCGGATAGTCGTTCCCTTCAGTAGATTTGATGGACCTGTTGTACAACATTATCGAAGAGATACTCCGGTCCGAAGTCGAATTCAAAAGGAGAGGCACTGCACTTATGAGATGTGGTCACACCCTGATCGCAGACTGGTCGCACGTCCTAGTCATGCAGTTGTAGAGAGGAATTTCCATCGTCGGCTGCTCACGAGCTGGACTCACAGCTAGTCGTTGTTCGTCAATGTGAAGTCAAAGATGCCTAGACATGATAGAACATGCTGTTTGACGTGGTCAACCGCTTTACGATGTTTGTCCGGCCGACGGAGCGTACATGGATCAGAACAGTCCGAAGAACCCCTGGAGAACCATACAGCCGGCGACAGCTATGCAATGCGGCTACAGTCGCAGGCCCATCTGGTGATGATAGGAGTCGAAGCTTCTGGACAGATATACAAAGTGGACGACGACATTGTGCTGAAGACCGGACGCATATTCGAGCCGCCGACAGCCAACGCATCGTCGCAGGACCGCTGGTTCTACGCCTCAGAAACCATCTTCCAATCCAACCTGATGAAGAACGAGAAATTCGTCATGCGACTGCTCCACCAGCATCCGCACCCTAACCTCGTCGAGGTCATTGACGCAGGCCACCCAGAGGGGATCTATCTACGCAACTACCGACGCATGTGGGAGCTGGACGGCGCTGCGCCGGCGAGCCGCCTGCAGTGGTACCGCGATATCACCGATGCTCTAGCGCATCTTCACAAGCTCGGCATCGCGCATGCAGACCTACGCATGGAGAACATGGTGTTTGACGCTCGGGGCTGCGCGATTCTCTGCGAATTCAGTGCTTCGACTCCATTCGGCGAGCCGAACCACGTCTTCCCTGATCAACCGGTTCCGATCAATGGTGTCGCGCCGACCATCTCCGATGCGACGGATCGGTTTGCTATGGGCTCACTGATCTTCCAGATGGAACACGGGGTCAAGCCGGGATTTGTGGTCGGGGTCGGCGGGAGTTTGATTCTTCCGGAGGTGCGGACGGGCCATCCAGAACTTGACAGTGTGATCCGGAAGGCGTGGTTGGGGCAGTATAGCAATACTGGAGAGATGCTGGAGCAGATCGAGTCGCTCAAGTGTGGCGGTCGACAGTCGTGGGATCTACATCGCAAAGAGCCCTCGCGAGAGCTGCTGGATGAACGAGTCCTCCGGTGGAGAGAATGCAGGATGAAGCAATTCGGTGAGCACCCTTCATGTCTATATAGATCTGCTCCATGACGTAGTAATTGTTTGTAGGCTATGTTCTGGAAGGCGTACCGTCGGAAGAAGTGTTAAGAGATCTGGCCAGGCAGTATGGATGGAATAAAGATGAGGGACTGCGATTTGCCAAGTACCGAGATCATCTCACAGGAGGTCTCGAATTGTGATGGTGGTGATGGTCATGGTCATGGTGTTGATATGACCGCATGTGATTGCTTATCTAACCGTCTCCAAATAACCGCGGTCTTTCTCAAGACGATTACAATTTAGAATCCACATCAGCCGAGCTTTATATATAGAAAGCGGTGCCATTAGATGGTAGTTTCTGGGGGTTCAATCGACCTACAACACTATATCTCTGTATCTCCCTGAACGCTGCCGAACCCACCATGACTGCACTCTTCACTGTCCCAATCACCTCCACCGGAGGCAGTATAGCCTGCTCCAATCCCTCCGAGGAAAAGAACATCTATCTCCTCACCTTCACCTCCCCCAAGGACAACCGGCTCACTCCGAACTTCATCGAGGCTTTCCTCCTCTCCCTGGACATCATCGAGCACCGCTACCCGAAGGGCGTGGTGATCACCACCAGCGGCATTCCCAAGTTCTACAGCAACGGACTGGACCTCGAGCTCGCAACCACCACCGAGGGCTTCCTCGAACGATGGCTGTGGAAGCTCTTCCGCCGCTTACTGACGTACGCACTCCCATGAGTACCCCCTCCCCATCCCCCATCCTCCGCTGACAGCACCAACCAGATACCCCATGCCCACCATCTGCCTGCTGAACGGCCACGCCTTCGCTGGCGGCCTCATGCTGGCCATGTACCACGACTACCGCATCCAGAACCCGTCCAAGGGCTTCCTGTGCATCAACGAGCTCGAGTTCGGCGTGCCGCTGCAGGCGCCCATGATGAGCGTCTTCCGCGAGAAGCTCACCCCGTCCGCCTTTCGGGACCTGATCCTCGAGGCGCGGCGCTTCGGCGGCGCGGACTCGGTCAAGGCCGGGCTGGTCGACGCCGTGGGTGGCTTGGATGAGGCCCTGGCGATGATCCGACAGCGCGGACTGACCAAGAAGCCTGCTACCGGCATCTACGGCACCATGAAGGAGGAGATGTATCGCCATTCGCTGGATATCTTGGACGGCCATGCAGAGAATCTCATGTGGAGAGAGCGTATTGAGGAGAGGAAGGAGCAGGCGGCAGATTTGGGGGAGAATGCGGTTGCGGCGTGGGAGAGACAGCGTAATGCGAAGCTTTGATGAGGGTATAGAATGTTGTGTGTATACATATATATATATAGGTAGTTTCTATTCTCCCTATTATGGAGATGTAAATGTTCTTGAGGTTTAAATGTTAAATTTCATGCATCATGAGAGAATACGTGCAGCTAGATATTGTAGAATGAAACATCTGCAATAGCAACTTCCTCTTTGTATGCGTACCTACCGAGATAGCAAGCAAATCACAGCTTCAAACAGATCCTACAAAGAATCTAGACTAGTGAATTCCATCAATCATCAACTACCAACTACCAACTATTCATAGCGACTTCTAGTATCTACTACATAATGTCAGGGCAACAATTCCGCGGTCCGTTTACAAGACGCGCTGTCCCGCTTCTTTCCACTTTCATTCTTCTTCACTACATCTCTCGCCATCACTCAACTAACACAAGCAACATGGAGAGAAGATCAGGTCGTCTCGAAGCCCAGTAAGTCCCAGTACACGCACAAATTCTCTTGAACCGCTCTCTCTCCCTTGTTCCTTCTCCTTCCCACTTCCCATCCTCACCACATCCCACATCTCACTTTCGCTCACTATTACGCAACACACCATATCCCACCCTCCAACTAACACTTCTTGCCTGTCAGACTTCCTCCTTCCGCCATTGAAGATAGTCAAGATCTTGAGCCAAATATGAAGCGGTCCGTCAGCTCGCCAGAGCAGCCAACTCAGGCGAACCCCCAACAAGCCCTTGAGGCTAGACGCAAGGAAGGTCCACAGAGAGAAAACCCAAGGCTCTCGACAGCCCGTTATTGGGCCCAGAAGGCGAAGTCCCTCGATGAACCTGCAGAAGTGTCCTCCAAAAAGTGCTCCGTGAGCGATTTGCTGAATCCATCGGAGGCGTTTAGACGGGTAAGCTGATATACCTGCAAGTCATACACCTATCCATAGCGCTGACTGGAGACATATACACAGGAGATGCCTGGCAAAACAGAAACCGCAGCCACCGGACCGCCTGCTCTCTCGAACGACGCCATCGCCGACATCCTCACAAAGACCAAACCGGATTGTCCCCACGCGCAGGCCTGGATCCAGGCACACGAGATCCAGAAGGCGGAACAGCAACGCAAGGAGCGCACCGAGCTAAGGAATAAAGTTGCACGCCGGGTTCGCGATAAGGCCCGTAAGGCGGCGAAGAAGTCTGACGCATCGAAGCGCGAGGTCAACGAGTTCCTGGGCGAACTGCCGAAAGAAGGGCAGACCGACACTGCGGAACAGAAACCTGCCGATCCCAAGGATGATACCCCGGAGATGATCCTGAAACGGGTCGACTTGGCGCATGAGAGACTGAAAAAGACCATTGAAGATTGCAAGAGATCTAGAGAGCCCTAAAGACGCCTGCCATGGTCGCGGGTACGCTGGCCGTATGTCGTATGTCGCATGTGATATCATGGGAGTTCTGGCGGGTTAGGGTCGTGTCGGTTTCGATGGGAATTGGGGTGTGGATGCTAATGTGCTATGGCCCGATCATGACTGTATGATGACAATAATAATCGCGTTTCCGGCGCACACCTTCGTTTCTCTCAATGTTAGTTATTTCTGTTGTTTCCTTTTTGCTCTTTCTGGGCTCTCCAATTTGTCTACCAGTGGCCGATACGGCGCCGCCAGAAGATGCTCTGGTGCCCTCTGCGCAGAATCCTCCCGTCGCGGTTCCCCCGATGATGGCCATCGGCGCTGTTCCTCATGCATTCGATCTAGCGGTTCCCCGACGACCTGATATTTGGCCCAGTTGATCGGGGGCATGCGCACCACATTCTGCGGGGTGGGGATCGTCCCGAGCCCTGATGCGCCTCGGCTTTTGTTCGATTCCTCGGCCTCTCCACTCTCATCCTCGCCGTCCCTGTCATCCTCCTCGTTATGTGTGAAATTCACAAATCCGCCCGGATCCTTGGCGGAGAGATTCCCGGCGGCCAGTTCGCGCGCAAAGCCCTCGGGGTCGGCGGCGGCGGCTTTCTTCAGCCGCTCCAGGGTGCGGATGTCGCGCAGGCTCTGCTGCTTCTGGAGCTGGAGGATGGAGAGGGCGGAGCGCAGAGCGATGGCATCGGGGTTCTCGCTCTCGGAGATCGGGACGGGCGGCGGCTCGGACGCTACGATGGCGGCGGGCGGTGGCGGGGCCATGGACATGGGGCCAGGAAAGTCGGATGGGGTGGCCGTACTGAAGGACGAGGCGACTCTCGTGGTGGGCGAGGGGGAGCTGGCGGGGGGCACGATGGGATGTGCTGGCGCGCCGCCGTTGGGGACGGGGGCGAGGTGGGCGAGAACTGGAGTCACCGGGGAATAAGGCGGGCGCGGTGGAGTTCCCGGGCGATCGGAGTCAGCCTGGGGGTCGTGGGACGGCTGCATCGTAGTGGGATAGAGGACGAAGGTGGCGGTTGGGGGGTTCTTTTGGTCTTTATAGTCGGGTCGCGGAGGACGGGCGAAGCGAACGATGGGGCGTTTGGAGAGGCTGGAGCGGGGTTTGTTGCGATCCAAAACAACTTAAATGATGGACTGGATTAAGATCCCGACGTGGATGACGTTGGTCGCGTCCCCGCCCGGAGTTTAGATCGGTCTGATTCTCGCGTGGACTAGAGTGGCTGGTCCGGAAGTTGTTGAGGGCGAGTGGACTATTATCATGTCGGCAGAGAGGGTTTGCGGAGAGAGTGCAGGTATGGTGCAGAAGATGGGGAAGTTGAGGTGGATCAAAGAAGGACGAAGAAGGCCGATGAATGGATTGCGATGGATGTTGATGGATGCACGTGCTTGCTGACATATCGTACCTTAACTACCTACTATGCAGAGCCTCGTCTCAGGGGATTTTATAGAGTAATTATATATTTTAATAAACCCATAAAAAATGCAGTCTATTCAAAGAGTTTGTCACTTCCATGCATAGAAGGACTAGCTTCAAGGACTAGCTTCATGGCCTGATCGATGGGCTGATTGATGTACTCCATGCAAATCCCTCACCGCCTTTAAAGAAAAAAGACTCTTCCCTCCACATGCTTTCTTCAATCCACCACCATCTACACCATTACCCCCTATTTACTCAAATCCCGCCAAAATGAAGCGCAAGACAGCTTCCGGTGAGGCCCTGAACGGCAATGGCCAGCCAGACTCCAAGAAGCGCGCTCTGTCCGGCGAGGAAGCCGAGGCGCGTTTTCGTCCTGGCTTGTTTGAGTCCGCCGAACTACAGAAGTACACCAAGGAATACGCCCAGTCCGCTCCGTATGTCCTCCAAGTCGATGCATAGAGTCAATTCTGATTCCTCCAGGTACAAGCACGGCGTTATCTGTCCCCTGATCGAACCCTCCTTGCTGCGATCGGTACGCGAGGAAATCCAGGCCCATCTGGACTTCACCGAGAAAGAGACCGACATCTACAAAATCTTCCAGTCGGGCGACCTCGCGAACCTCGACGGCCTCGATGACGACTCCCTGTCCAAGCTTCCCTCCCTGTTAAAGCTCCGCGACGCCATGTACTCCGCCCGGTTTCGGGAGTACATCTCTGGCGTGACCAACTCCGGCAAATTGAGCGGCCGCAAGACCGACATGGCCATCAACATCTACAACGAGGGTTGTCACCTGCTCTGCCACGACGACGTCATTGGCAGCCGTCGCGTCAGCTACATCCTCTATTTGACGGATCCCGACACCCCCTGGCAGGCCGAATGGGGTGGCGCCCTGCGCCTGTATCCCACCACGACCAAGAAAGACGCCAAGGGCGACGACGTCAAGATTCCCAGCCCCGACTACAGTCTGAGCATCCCGCCTGCCTTCAATCAGCTCAGCTTCTTCACCGTGCAGCCCGGCGAGAGCTTCCACGACGTCGAGGAGGTGTACCACCCGAAGGAGGGCGAGGATAAGTCCAAGAAGCGCGTGCGCATGGCGATCAGCGGCTGGTTCCACATCCCCCAGAGGGGGGAGGACGGCTTCGAGGAAGGTCTGGAGGAGAAGCTCGCGGAGCGCAGCAGTTTGGCCCAGCTGCAGGGCCGCGGCGATATCTACGACCTCCCGCAGCCGCAGCCGGTGGTGTGCGAGCCCGAATCGACACCCGAGACCAGCGACAAGGGCAAGGGGAAGGCCAAGGTGGAGGAAGAGCCCGCCACCATGGAGTTCACCGAGTCCGACCTCAACTTCCTGATCCAGTACATTGCGCCGACGTACCTGACGCCAGACATCGCGGAGGAGATGTCCGACACCTTTGCCAACGAGTCATCGCTCAACCTGGAGCAGTTCCTGTGCGAAAAGTTTGCCGCCCGCGTGCGCTCTTACATCGAAGCGCAAGAGAAGACGGCGCTGCCCGTCTCGTCGGACGAGATCCACTCCCAGACGGGCTGGACCGTCGCCCGGCCCCCGCACAAACAGCGCTACATGTACCTGCAGCACTCGACGGAGATGTCGAGCGACCCGTCTCCGATCGAGGAGCTCCTGCACACTGTCTTCCCGTCGCCGCCCTTCCGCAAGTGGCTGGCGTTGGCTACGGGCGCCGACCGGATCTCGTCGTACGATTTCCTGGCGCGTCGCTTCCGACGCGGTCAGGACTACACGCTTGCCAGCGGCTACGATGGCGAGGAGCCCCGTCTGGAGTTCACGCTGTGTCTGACCCCAACGCCGGGGTGGGAGAAGGAAGCCGAGGACGAGGACGAGGAGGAAGAAGAGGAGGGCGAGGGTGCATCCGCGCTGTCCAAGCCGAAGAAGGAGGCGACAGACGGTGCAGAGGAGCCGGCTGTGGGTGGCTACGAAATCTACATGGCGGGCGACGACGAGGATGACGGCGACGCAGCGATCTACCGGTCCGCAGGGGCGGACGAAGACGACGGGATTCTGTTCAGCACGGCGGCGGGCTGGAACCGGATGAGCATTGTGCTGCGCGACCGCGGCACGCTCAAGTTCGTCAAGTATGTCAGTGCGGCGGCGCAGGGCGACCGGTGGGACGTTACGGGTGAGTTGGGGGTAGAGTTTGGCGACGACGATGGGGAGGAGGAGGATGATGATGACGAGGAGGAAAATGACGATGCAGAGTGAAAAGTCGAACAAAATTCGTGTATATAATTTTGAGTATGTGATGACTTGGCCGTGCATACAGCATGTTCTTACGACAAAAATAGATCCGTTATGGTTAGCCCGCTCGGGAGTGCTTAAATGAAGCTGCCTAGGCGATCTTTCAGCACGACCGCGCCTACATTCTAGAAGACACAGCCACTTTGACGATCGACTCTCCCGGCGTATAATCCAGCGACGTATAGACTACGATACAGCCACGCCCGAGTACACTAAGACTGCAAGGTTGCCCACCACGTGGGGAGTCCGTGTCCACCCATGGGGAGGAATCACGAGAATGCGGTCGTTGATGGCGGCTGGATCCGTCTTAGAGAAGACGGGAACGAGATCACCGCCGCTGTCTGACATGGACGGACGATCGATGGTGTGGTGGTAAGCGTAAGGACTCCGTACGTCTGGTGCGTCTGTTCGTGTGGAGCGGCTGATGCAGGACTGGACCTTAGGTTTGGACGGGATGCGCCGTTGTCGTGTGCTGGAGGTGGAGTGGCAGTGAGACGGACTGAAGAAGGGACAAACTAGACAAGGATATCTGCGGAGTAGGTAGAAGGGTGGGTACACAACGGTGGCCGATGGTCGGACAGACCCCGAGCTAGTTTGTGAAGATGAAGCTGAAGAATGTATCTGAGGGGATTATGTGAAGGGCAGAGACATCGTGAGCCCGCCTATATTTAGCTATATTTAGATTGATGGAGATAGGACACATCAACAACTGGAGGTGTACTTCGTATAGTATATCTGCCAAGAGACCTGATGACAGCTGTCTGGTTTGTGTGTTCTCGTGTGTTCTATGCAGGGGTCGATGAAGTGTACAGAAATTGGGCATATTCTTCCGATTTCAGTAACCAGCCACGATGTGAATGCTACCTAGTAGGTACCTAGGTAGGAGGGCGGTTGTTGGGTACGATTCGGAACGGTCACTTACTCAGACGCTAGTAGGGTTAGTCACTAACTGAGCATGTCGTAAGGATGCCAGAAGAATATCCAAATCACCCACAGTGTCCTACGGTCCTACCCCGAACCGACGCGTCTAGATCTTCCCCGGCCTTAATCAGAGCAGTGTCCAACGGAGGGCAACCAGACGCCCCGGTCAATAATGCGCCGCCCGGCCGTCGGGAGGACCCATTGACGGCGGACCATTCATTTGCTCAGACGGCGCATGCAGGGCCGACTCCAGAGGCAGAGTGACACCATCCCTGTCCTGTGAGTGTGTCGGTCACACCGCAGGGTGCAGATGTTTGGAAGGCTCCATCGTGGAAGAATCGGATGGTGGTGGGCTGTGGTGGATCATGGACGTGAGTGTTTGGGGTCCATAATCTCCTCTGATATTCATCCGGCGGGAGTACAAAGTACGTACATACATCGGAGTACCTACATAGGTACCTTATTGTACATACCCGCCGTTGGTGATGTTTATTTACTTGTGGTGTCGTGCCCAGGGATCATCCGGCCCCAGAGAAGACCCAAGACAGGACGGACCACGCTGCGCGGGACGGTGCATGCGTCGGCAATCGAGGGAGGACCAGCGGAGAGACGTCTGGAGGGTGGAGAGGCCGAAAATTGGGGCAGGATTAGTTGAAGGCTGCAGGAGCCGGTACCACCCTGGCGTCGGGATGAATCGCCTGGAAGATGCTGGAGGCTGCAGGGAACCGGTTTCATGGCTCTACACTCGATGACGAGGTCTCACACCGGTTCCATCCACCTGCAAGGGTTCTTTGTTCCGGTCACACCCTGGCGGCCAGTGATGGCGGGGAGACGGACGCCACATGAAGGGGGGGGGGGACCCTTTCCATGTGTGTCGGATGAAGAAATGCCGTGACTTCATGACTGCTCAACCTAACGGTACAGAGTATGTACTGGCAGGGTGGCTGGACCAGTCACTTTCATCCGTCTTAGCGGCGATCATTTCATGGTTGCCATGTGTATTATTTAGAATAATAATATTTATCATTATTATTATTATCTTTATTTATTATCTTATTATTTTGTCACTATTGTACTTTGTATGTACTTTTATTATAATTTTATTGATTTATTATTTTTTATAGATGTATAGATCTAAGTAATTATAGATCTACAACTGATAGTCGGTGCACATGAAATGAACATGCGAAGGATTGAAATACTGGAAGAATATTGATTAAAATATTATTAATCTGCATATATTAATATTAGATCCAGCATGGAGCTGTCAGCCGTCGACTAGCGTCCACGGTATGGACTTGTATTGACGGGTACCCGTATTCTCCAGGTTTCTCCGCGGTGAGGACTGGTATGGGTTGCTCGGGGGACTCATTCTTCATTGCCTTCTACATATCCATCGATACAGCTACGTAGGTAGATACCTAGTAGTATCCCCCTAGATAAATGTATATTCTTGGTAGTAAGGTAGGTAGGTACTCTACACAATAATAGTAGAAAGTGTCAGATTATACAGAGTACTACTCAATACTTAAGGTAATACTTAGTAATATTCAAAAATACGTTCGGTGGACCCCTGAGGACGATCGTTCAGTGCGGCCACGTGAAGCTCGAGATCAGACATGGATTCGATTCGTCCTGATTTCGGCCTCTTCCTTTCTACCACCCAAGGTACCTCACCTGAATCAACACACCCATCCCTTGTTGTGATGTCACTCACTCCATGCGTCTTACATGAGCACTCTACCTAGGTACGTACTTAGGACTTGCATTGCATGATCCTATCTCCCAAGTACTGTCGTCCGTACTGTAATCCTACCTACGATCCACCGATCGAATGAATCACCCTCTTCTGATTTAGATCCCAGACTAACCCCATCCCCGTCGCGCGATCGACCACGCTTTGCCCAAGTGAGCACCCTGCGATTGCCCAACTGAGCTAAGGCCGTTTGACCCGACCAGGTGGGCGCTGTCTAGTGTCGTTTTGGCTGACGGTGGATGGTGGGATCCATGGGACCCGTGGAATGGCAGCCCTCCGCCACGCGTGTGGCCGCAGGCGTCCATGCTTGGGGACACGAGGAACTGCATTTCTTCACTGTAGTAGTAAGTACTCCGTAGTAGGTATTTCTAGGAGTCAGCTTCTAATCCTTTGATTCATCCCATAGAGCAGACCCGATAACAATATAGAGAATTATTATAATATTATAATAATATTCGATCTGAATAATCATTATCTTGCGAATAAAATAGAAAATAACATAATAAAAAAAAATACACCCCTTTGTTCCAACCCACCCGAGCTTTCTCTCTGCTTTCCCCGTCCCACCTTTTTCGGAGATCTGAAAATTCGATCCATCATCTCTCTCGCTCTCCCTTCGACTCTCTCTCTCGACCTCTCTCCAGCCTACTACCTCTCTCCCTCTCTTTTCTCCGTCTACTTCACTCTCTCATTCTGACTCCCTTCTCTCTACTTCTCCTCCACAACCATCGCCCTTCCTCGTCTCTCCCGTCCACGCCTGTCATCCATCCCTTGGCTGTAGTCCTCTGCGTCAGTCCCGGTCGTCTCCACGTATTTCCACCCCGTCCATACCGTCCTCTCCCCCAGCATCCCCCATACCCTGGACCTTTCCCCCTTACTTGTCTTGGGTCGCATTCACCGATTTCGCTCAACCTCGTGCTGCACGCGATTCTCTCCTCCCCCCCTCCCCACCCGCCTCCTCTCCTCAGCGTCGCATGCCACTCGCCAATCCCTCAGACCGGCCGATTCTCCGTCTGGTGACATCCCCTTCCGACTGCCAGTGACACACGGGCGTGCGAGAAATCCCATTTCGACCCCCGGAGATACTTTCAGACCGATCTTGCTGGTCCATTGGTGGAACATGAGATAGCCCAGGCCACAGTCTCCCAGTCCACCTCTGTTCGATCCCATCCGCTGTGTCCCTTCACCTCTCTCCCTCCTCCTGTTGCTCCCTTCGCCTCACGCCCGGCCTCGATTGACATGGAGGCCACCCTCACCCATCGGCCATGGGAGTCGACGTCCACCGGGCCCCAGACCCCAACCGCTACCACGTCCTCCCAGACGCTGCCCTCCATCTCGACCCTCACGGCGACCATGAATCATAACCCTCCTCCCGCCGAGAAGTCGCCAGGAAATGCCTCTCTGAATACCATTGAGCGCGATTCCGGCAACTGGTCCATGCCTCAGAGTACCAGTAAGTCAACCGCCTCTTCCCTCGATCCCCCAGACAAGAATGCCTTACTGACCGTGCCCGGGAGGATCCTCCACATATTCAACAGCAACCAATGGAACTGGAAATTACCCTTCTCTTTCCTTCCTCACCTCATCGCAACCCTCTCCGAATCGCGTCTCCACCGTCTCCGATCGATCGCCCTATCCGACCGATCAGTCCACCACCAATACCCCGTCGTCCGCCGGCGCGCAACCCTCCCCCAACTTCGGCTCTTCTCAGGCGCCCTCCGGACTGCCGTCCCTGAACCAGAACTATGACGCCGCCTCGCAACGAGGGAGCATCGCAGAGCCCGCCGAGTCCCGCCGGAGCAGTATCGATAGTCGAATGAACCAGGGCATCAGCTCCCTCGCCATCAACCCGGCCTCACCCTATCACAGCACCAACGCTTCCCAAACGTCGCTGGTTTCGGGGCTGCAACGGGAACGGGGCATCCCCGTCGATGCGAACAGCTCCTATCGAGGCCCGCGCTACTCGTCGGGACAGCCGCTGTCCCCGTTGGGTCCGCGCGCCGGCGAACATCGGGGCTTTGCGGCTGGCCGCACCGCTCCGGCCATCTCGTCGAATCCGCGCTCCGAAATCTATAATGCCGAGGCGCCCACCGCCGGTCTGGCCTATGCCTTTCCCGATCCCGACGTTGCCCGCTCGAATTCTATCTCCTCCACGACGGAGAAATCCCACCATCAGTTCTCTCGCAAGGGGAGCGCCGCAGAATCGTTGGCGAGTAGCGTGTACTCGGAGCGGTTGCCCCGTGGCCAGCATGGTATGTCACAATCCACCATCCTGGAAGTCTGCGTACTAATCATGCGACGACAGAACTGCCGCAGAATGTCCATCATCATTCCTTACAGCATAAGCAAGTCCGGGGGATCATTGGCGAGTCCGATGCTCACAGCAGTAGCACGCCGTACAGCAGAACCCCGGAATTACGCGTCACCCACAAGCTGGCGGAGCGCAAGCGCCGCAGCGAGATGAAGGACTGTTTCGAAGCTCTGCGGGTCCGTCTTCCACAGAGCCAAAACAACAAGTCCAGCAAATGGGAGACGCTTACGCGAGGTGAGTGATCTTCTTCCTGATCACATTCTGAATCTTACTAACGGTCAATAGCAATTGAATACATTGGCCAGCTCGAGAAGATGCTCACGAGTGTCCGTCGCGAGAATGAGGCACTGCGGAACGAGCTCGAAGACATGCGGGCGCAAATGAACCAGGGGCCGTCCAACGGACCTTCTCGACCGGCGTCGATGTTCGAGCATCATTCGATGGTGCCGCAACCCAATGGACAGCCACACAGTCATATGTTCTCCAACTACGGGCCGGGGTCCGGCATGGCGCAAGACCAGCCTCGAACCCTCCCGCCGTTGATGAACGGGTCGGTCGCTCCTATGCAAGGTATTCAGTATACCGATGACCGACGGTAGTGGGTGCGATCCCCTGGGATCTCCTCTGGGATCTCCCTAATTCCATCTGGCTTTGTTTTGGCTCTCATAGGCGACGGACGGATTGGCGATGTTCGATGATTTTTGGTCTACGATGGGTGGTATCTCCTTGCCTCATTATACATTTCTGCATTACGACATGGATTCTTGCATGGGAGGTGGAATCGGATACCAGAACTGTGTTTATTATTATGTTGGGTCTTCGCAGCCTCGAAGATTGATTGTGTCTGTACCAAAAGCTACCCGCTTGCAACCGGAGTCTTTGAATTGATATCCCTGGTGATTCCTGGTGACTGAGTCGGATCGATCAATCGTAGTTGCATGATTCTCTTCTGTACTCCGTAAGTCTCGTCTTCTCTCTTCTTCAGACGCATTCGGTTATTTTTATCGCACGGGCTGATTGGCGCCGGGCAGAAACAACCTCGTTCTCTGTAAGCGCCGCGGTCCACCCCCGTCCACCACGGCGCCTACAGCCTCTCTCCAAGCCAATGTCTTCGCTCCCTCTCCTCCAGGCCAGACACGATCGGGACAATTCGTCCAATCGCGCCCTGCAGATTCTGACAGGTCACTCGGCGGAAATTAAGCTTGCTCTTCTGCACATCAACCGACTCACGATGAGGCCCAATCGTGCAGCTCGAGTGTCTGGAAGCTGCTCGAGCTTCTGGGCTAAGAATAACCAGGCGCCATGCATCAGAGATCTTCAAAACCCTCTCGAGTCCCGCGTCTCGTTTCTCTTGCTTCTGGTCTTCCTATTGACGATTGCACGGGCCGTTCCATTCATTCCGTTCTTTGCGCATTGTGTTACTTCGCCTTTGTTGCACGTCCACCGTCCATCCTGCATATTAGACTAGACCGGGCTGGAGTTTTGTCACGCTTTGTGTCTCTTCGTTCTCTTTATCTTTGATGTCTTGATCAACTCGTCTACCGTGAACGCTTCTGCATCCGTCCATGGTATGTGCCTCCATGTCTATATCTTTCCAGCGCTAACAGCCATCGTATCCAGGACGCAGTCATAGTCAACCATGGTCTCCCATCCCCAGCAATCACAAAACCGACTCCAGATCCCAGCTCCCAACTTTCCCCTCTCCTCGCCCATCACAGAGGAAGTCCCCAGTCCTACGTCGACTGCCTCCGATGACCGGGAGCTGGAGAGGACCCGTCCCTTTGAGTTCCTGGCAAAGATGACCGCTCAGGACTCGCTCAGCAGCAGGACACACCCTCCCTACCCTGTCGATGAACCCCGACAGGACGAACGCAATCCCTCGTCCGGCGCAAACCCCACCAAGAGAGCCGAAAGACCTGTCGGGCTGAACCTGGTCACCGACTTCTCGCGTCCAACACCGCAGCCCCGTCCGGACGCCCCGTTTGTGGACCTCAACGATCTCAAGGTGCTCTCCAAGGTGCGCGAGAAGGAGAGATCTGCACAGACTCTCAAGGGTATCCTGAAGAAAGGCCCTTCACACGGGTTCCAGCGACTCCCCGACGACCCGGACGAGGTAGTCAACAAGAAGCGAGCGTCATGGTTTGACGTGAAATCGAAGATCTCGCCCCGGCGCAACAAATACAAGGACGATCTGTCCCCGTCAGACCGGCCCATCATGATCGGCTTCAGCATGCCGCGCGACGACGAAACCCCTCCCCACCAACACCAGGCGCAGTCACACAAAGACAGGTCCAAGGAGCTCGACAGCGCCGGCAGCCAGCCCACCCCGCTGACTCCCTCCATCATCGTCACGCCCGCCCGCGATGACAACTTCTGGCCCGACTTCAGCCAGATCCACCACCACCCGCGCGCAACCTCCAGCATCTACTCCCAACCCACGCCGCTCCTGGAATCCCGCGAAAGCGGCATCCCCCCGGTTCCTGCCATCCCCGCGCAGCATGCCGCAGCCAAGAACGAGATCCTCAGCCCGGCCACGCCGAACCGGCAGTCCGCGCTGTCCACACGCAAGCTGCGTGCATACTCGACGGGCACGGTCTTCGAGGAAGACGAGCACTGGCGGCCCGCCACGCGGAGCCGGTCGTATTCGAGCGAGAGCGCGAAGCGGGCGTTCGACCGGCTCAGTGCGCTGGGGACCCGCGGCGGCGGGCGGCTGAGCGTGGTGTCCGACTCCAACCGGCCCGTGTCGCAGGGGTGGTGGACGTATCTCCTCTCGCCGCTGCTGGACCGCTCCAACACGTTCTCCAGCCGGAAGACGCCGACGGAAGCGACGCGGCCGCCGCTGCCGACCCCCACGACCCAGCACTCCGGCCTGTCTGACGAGTGGTGGGAGAAGGAGGTGTCGTGTTTCTCGCCGGATACGCCCGAGACGGCGGCGCCGCGCGGCGAGGTCGCCAGCTGGCAGAATGAGACGAATCCGTTCGCGGATGAGAAGCGTGGTTTGGAGGGTGAGACGGGGAGTCCGGCGGAGGCGGGGCCGATGTCGTTTGTTTTTATGGGCAAGACGATCCAGGGCTGCGCAGCGGAGTACTACCAGGCCTGCGCGCATGAGCTGTTTAGCAAGACGCCATATTTCGAGTGCGTCAATCACGTCTGCTCGATCACGCCGAAGGACGTAGCCCGTGCGCAGTCTGGTGTGCTCGTGGCGGGTGACGCTGATGCGCAGGGGAGTAGAGGCATACTTGTTGATGTGGATGATCCTCCGGAGAGTGAAAATAGAGGCATATCAGACGCGGACTCCGTGACAGGGTCTCGTGGGATGTCTGGAGGAGCGCCATCTACTAAAGCCCCAGAGAGCCCAGTGGGAACCCCAAAAGATAGTGACAGCAAGAGAAGCACGGGGGCGGGTGTGAAAGAAGCACCAGCACCAGCACCAGCACCAGCGGACGACACAGTTGACGATAGAGGAGATTGGGAAAAGTCACCGCCAGCACAGCCGGCAAGTGAGAAACAGGCACCATTTCCGTTCATACTTCCCAATGGCGCCCCTCCCGGCACACAGGTATACGTGCAGTCTGCGCCAGCTCCATCGGCGCCTGTCGTCGGCACCGAGCGCTCAGTCCCTCATTATATTGTGGTGCAACCACCGAACTACACTGCGCCGGCCCAAGCTGCCCTCCCGACCTCGCCTGGACTGCAACGAGCAACAGAGCAGGGGGGATCGATTCCACTGGACGACATACAGGGCGGTCCAGTTCCCGCGTACACATATGAGCCGAACGATGGCGTACTTCCGCCTCGCATGGGGCCGCTTCCCATCACGCGAGAAGCCATGACGCACCCGGTGACCGAGAGAGAGCGCATCGAGACACGAAGGAGGAGACTGGAGAAGGAAGACCGCATAGGCAGGAAGGCCGGCGGGCTGTGGCGTGGGAGGGGTTGTTTCAGCAACAAGGGCTGTTTTGGACGGCCCGGCCGCGAGGGACGCCTGCGACGGCGGTGGTACGTCGCCATTGCCGCGTTCTTCCTGGCCATTGTGGTGGTCGCGGTAGTCCTGGCCATCCTGCTCACGAGACGGGGAGACAACACGCCGGTCGAGTCGCAATGGCTCAACCTCACGGGCTACCCACCCATGCCGACAGGCATTTCAACCATTGCCGGTCCTGAAGCAAAAGTGCAGAACTCTGGTTGCATCACTCCATCCACGCTCTGGAGTTGCGCGCTTCCACAGGAGCAGCATTCGGCCAACCAGCCGTACGCTGCGAACCAGCCCAACTTCCGCGTGGAGATCCGGTTCCAGAACGGCACGTATCCCAACAGCACCGCCGTTGCGTCAAAGACGGTCACGTCGCGCGGCGTGGGCGAGCTGTTCAATCCCTCGCCGGCGGCGCCCGATCTACAAGACCAGGAGTTCCTGGGCAACACAACCGACAACAACACGACGCCGTACGCAGGCGAGGTGACGCCCTTCTTCATGACGATGCTTTCCCCCGTGAAAGTGTCCAGCTTAACCCGCCGCTCCGACAGCAACAACTTTCCCGACATCGGGTCCCTCATCCCCAGCCCAGCCCATGCCTCAGACGGCACCGCAGCGGCAGCGACCCTCTACCCACTTCCCGAGTCCCAGCCGGTGCGCCTCTACAACCGCGGCCTCGCCACCGAGCACTACGGGTTCTACACATACTTCGACCGGTCCATCTTCCTGGAGTCGCGAGCCCCGCTGGACGGCGGCAGCACGGACGACTCCAAAAGCGACGCGATGGGCGGACCCAGCAAGGCGAACGCGCAGGTTCGCTGCACCTGGGCGCAGACGCGGTTCCTCGTTCAGATCTGGACGCGGCCCGCGCAGGCGGGCATGGCCCTGCTGGCCGCGCCGACCCCGACGACCACTGCGCAGGCGACCTCCACCGCGGGATCGCGCAACGCGACCTCGTCGGCGACGGATTTCGTCCGCCCCGGATCCTTCCCGTATCCGGTCACCATCACGCTGGACCGGCACGGCGGCGTCGCCAAGGAGAAGATGGTGTACTGCTACGGCATGGAGACGGCGCAGCGCATCAACGCGACGGAGAAGAAACTGCAGATCGAGGACCGCGGGTTTGGTGGGGTGTTGGTCAACCCGGCGCCGGGGATCTTCAATCTTACCGGCAGCGATGCGGATGCGAAGGGAAGTTGGGGAGGCGTCGATGGCGGGACCGGCGGGTGTGCGTGTCAATGGGGGAATTGGATCTCGCGGTCCTAACTCTGTGTATCAATCGAAATGAAGCTATTCATTCGTCCGCTGAACACGCGGCATGCACCATACACATAGATGATCTACATCCACATGATACTACGTGCGGGGCTCGATAACAGCAGTCGCCTTAAGTACTAGCTGCGTTCATCACAACCCCGAACACAACCCTGTAAAGAACGTAAGATAGAGAAAAGGAGAATGCCCCAACTCACCGACCACACCATCTCCCTCCTCCGCCTCGGCCACGGCGCCCAAACCCACGTCCGCCGCGCCTGGGAGGGCTTCGTCAACTTCGCCGCGCGCGACAACGTCCTCGAAGTCGCCTTGGGATTGATGTATCTCCCTCCCCTTCCTAGCCTCCCTCCCCTACCCCCAGTCCCTCTAACACAGTGTAGTATAGCCCAAGCCTTCACCAAGGTCGTCACCTCCTTCGTCTCGGACATCATCCTCCCCATCATCTCGCTCCTCCCCTTCCTCAATCGCAACATGGACCAGAAGTTCGCCGTGCTAATGGCCGGGCCGCGGTACGTCGAGGGCGAGGGGTACAACACGCTGACGCAGGCGCGCGACGATGGTGCCTTGGTTCTGGCCTATGGGTACTATCCTCCTTCCCCCCCCTTCCTCCGGTGCAAATCTTCCTGCAGGGTCTTGTTCCTGCTGTCAGGCTAGGCTAAGGCTAACGGAGCGAGTGCTAGGGTGTTTCTGGAAACGGTGCTGAGCTTTCTCGGGGTCAGCGTGACGCTGTACGCGGTGGCAAAGTTGTACATGTATATCTCGCATGATGCGATTATCAAGCCGACGGTGCATTGCCGGTATTGCAAGAAGTTTATCAGTGATCAGGTTTGTTCCCGTTTTATTTTGTTTCGTGGGTTAGGCGGTGCTGATGGTTAGGCGCAACGATGTACGTTCTGTTCGAGTTGGCAGGATGGGAGGGAGGAACTTGTTTCGCTTAGTCCTTAGGCTACTCGGGCTAATATTAAGAGGAAGGAAAGAAAGTTTTATTAGTTCTAACCTGAGCGAGTGACAGAACCAGCCCCAACGCCACCAGCTCATCGGCTGAAGAGAGACAGATAGACAGATATATTACCCAACCGTTCGACGACCAAGAGATACAGATATGAACAAAGACATAAGGAAAGACTCATTACTTCAACGCGCGTAGGAGGTATGATATTATCGCGCAACATCCACTCAAGCAAGCACCATCAGGCCCATGACAATGCTGCCGGCCATGGCGACGCCAGGCACGTAGATGGTCGAGCCAGGGTTGGCGGCCCCGATGCTGGTTTGAGCCGGGGGAGCCACGCCGCCCTCGTTGCCGCCGACAGTGTTGGTGCCCGTGCTCGTGGCCGAGGAGGTGCTCTTGGGCTTCTGAGAGGAAACGAGCACCGAGCTGCTGGCCGCCTTCGAGGAGGGGACCGCCGCGCTGGACACGGGAGCGCTGGAGACCGGAGCAGGAATCACAGGCACACTGGTGGCCTTAGAAGGCTGGGCAGGGGCGCTGGACTGAGCCGGAGCAGAGGGCTGAGCCGGAGCGGATGGCTGAGCCGGAGCGGATGGCTGAGCCGGAGCGGATGGCTGAGCCGGAGCGGATGGCTGAGCAGGAGCAGAAGGCTGAGCGGGGGCAGAGGGCTGAGCCGGAGCGGAGGGCTTCTCAGCAGGGGCAGAGGGCTGAGCCGGAGCGGAGGGCTTCTCAGCAGGGGCAGAGGGCTGAGCCGGAGCGGAAGGCTTCTCAGCAGGGGGCAGAGGGCTGAGCCGGAGCGGAAGGCTTTTCAGCGGGAGAGGAAGGCTGAACGGGAGCAGGAGGAGCGGGAGTCGTCGTGGCAGGTGGAGCCGGGGTCTCCGTCGTAGGAGGGGGAGCAGCGGTCTCCGGGCATCCCTCCTCGCAGACAGTGCTGGTGATGGTGGTGATAACCTCTTCCTCGCACTCGGTGGAGGACACAACCACGGGGGTCGGAGTGGGAGTCTCCTCACAGTCCGTAAGAGTGACCGACTTGTGGCCACGCTTGTTGGGCACGGCAGCATGAGCAGCGCCGGCCCAGAGCCAAAGCAGTCACAACAGAGGTAGAGTAGCGCATGGTGGTTGGTATTCGAACGAAGGATGGAGTGCTGAATAGCTCAAAAGAACGAATGAGAAGCGCTTCTCAGTCGACGACTTGAGGATTATGCAAAGAAGTGATGCGTAGAGGAATGAAGACCAGGATCTGGGACGACACTCATGGGATACTTATACGTTCGTCGAAGCTATCCTGGAGGCCAATATCCGGATTCATCACAGTGAGGTTGAGCCGAATTCCCTCTCGTCTCCGCGTCGATGGAGGGCCATGACTGGAACCGGAGAGGTCCAGCTTGAGAGAATCCATCACCTTTCGCCATGTTTGCCTACTGCATTCGGACAGTTGTCAACTGGAAGGTTTGTTTGTTGCGAATGAAGCCGCAAAGGGCATGGGAGGTCACGTGAGACGACGCCTTCAGAAACGGCAGGCGGCCAACTTTACCGCACGCAGAACAACGCAGGCAGGGGATGTCGATCCATTCCAACGCCTCGAGCTTGACTATCGAGGTTCTGTTCAACTGCATACCAGAGACTGCAGTATGAAACGGGGGAAGCTTTGGTTAGAAAGGGCGGGGATGAAGACATCAGAATGCGCATGGACGGAGAGAAACTGCCTGCCGATAGAGTCCCATTGCTTCTTACGGACGAGTCGATCGCTTCTATTAGGCTAGTCCAAGATTACTCCGTATTGGCGCAGAGGCAGTCTGCCAAAGTGCATCTGCATTCTGAAAGACAGTCGACGCAGGACCAAGAATCTGGTAGGGACGTAGTATGCAGGACTGCAGGACAGTGTCACCCGTGCTTCTCGAGTGTTTTCCTAACTGAAAAGGATGGGTCGTTGCTGATACCCCCGCAAACGCCACCGTGGACCAGAGAATGTGCTCTGACAGGAAGGTCGCATCCATCCATTCTCCCGGGAGTATCCCATCCACACCCCCGGACAATGGGATTGTGGAACTATGACTGTGGATTCGTAATCCGGCACCAAGGTTACATCGGCGCAGATCATGAGGCTGCATGGAAGACGAGCTGGCGGCTTGATCCGGAGCCATGGTCGTGGCCCTTTAATGTTGACGACACGGACAGAAGTTTGGTTGGAGGCATGCCAGGCATTGATGTTGTGAGTTGCTTTGAGTAGGTAGTGCTAAGGCATGAGAGATCGTACAGTTCGATCGCTGTTTCCACCGAGATCAACATCACTAGACATCGTACGACAGTGTCTGTCTATAGTGTAGTTGCATTGTGGATGTTAGGTGAGAGCATCAATAGCCAAGCCAAAAGAGGAAATCCCTCGATCGAGATATTACTCAGCACATCACGTGTGATAAGTCACGCTGGCGATAAGCCCGCCCCTGTTTTCCTGTGCAACTCCTTCGGATCGAGTCTCCGATCAGCAGTCGGTGTTCCCAACCATGACTTCTCGACGCCATATCCCGAGTCAGTCTCTTCTATCGCCGGGGGACTACGACGAAGATGCCGAGTCGTTGCGGTCCCCCTCGGAGCAAGACTCGGATTCGGAAGACGACGAGTTCCTCCGCAATTCTCGGACCACCCTGGAATTGGCGGAACACGATCGCACCGTGTTGGACGACGAGGAGGAGACCGAGAAGCTGCTCACTAGAGCAGGGCCGACACATGGAATCCGCAGGCTATTCAGTCCCAATCGCAGCTCCGTCAGAATCGGGAAGCAGGATCGACGACAGCGACGGAGGGAAAGGAGGAATTCCCGCCGCGGCCGTCGGGGGAAGCTGGAGGATTCCGACGACGTGATGTTTGAGATGGAAGAAGGACATCGAGAAGATGAGAGCTCCCTCCTGAGCTCGTCGTCGTCGGACTTGGATGCGCGTGTCAGGGAGAAAGAGAGTTATGACACTACTCCGGTATGGTGTCTGGTGGAGGAGATATTCCGTCCAGATAGCTAACGATATTACAGCAGCAGCGTGTCTCGCGGCTGAAACTCGCCTTGATCTTCGTCTCGATCTTTATCCTGTTTCTGATTTGCCTTCTCGGTGCATACAAGGCCTCATCGAAGTTTCGGTCCTCTCACTCCCTCAAACCTCTTGTCTCGAACGGCTCCGCGCTATTCGCCCCTACCACCATCGTCATCTCCCTCGACGGCTTTCGTGCGGATTTCCTCGATCGCGGACTCACGCCGACGCTCAACGCATTCATTACCAGCGGCATCTCCCCTCAATACATGTTACCCAGCTTTCCCAGCGTCACGTTCCCCAATCACTACACTCTCATTACCGGGACTGTATCCGGAAAGTCATGGGATCCTGGGGAATACATTCTGGGACCCCGAGCTACAAGAAGAATTCCAAAACACGCTGCCCTCCGCGAATATGGAACCCAAATGGTGGAACGCGGAACCCTTGTGGATGACTGCCGAAAACCGGGGGATCGTCACGGCGGTCCACATGTGGCCAGGGTCGGAGGCCCATATCATGGGGGTAGACCCGACATACTATGATCGATATAATGGCTCGGAAGCCCTGTCGCGCAAGGTCGATCGGGTATTGGAATGGCTGGATCTGCCTGGCTTGGAGGATGACTCGCTTGCGGTCCCCGAGCGCCCGCAGTTCATCGCCGCATACGTTCCAAATGTCGATTCGGACGGGCATAAATACGGCCCTAATAGCACGGAGATTCGAAGCACCATCTCCCAGGTGGACGACATGCTGGCTAAACTATTCTCTGGTCTGCAAGAGCGGAACCTTACCGACATTGTCAACGTCGTGATCGTCTCGGATCACGGTATGGCCACCACCTCCACGGAGCGCGTGGTGCAGTTGGATGATCTGATTGACATGAATCTGGTCGAGCGCATTGATGGATGGCCCCTGCGCGGGCTCCGTCCCAAGCGACCGGAAGACGTCGACAGTCTCAAAGTCCAGTTGGAAACTCTGGCGGAGAACTACTCCCACGCAGTGGAGGTGTATACCCGCGAAACCATGCCCGAACGCTACCATTTCTCCAACAACGACCGCATTGCTCCGTTGTGGGTGATTCCCAAGACCGGCTGGGTGATCGTAGAACGGCCCGACTTCGACGTCCAAGAAGCCCTGGCCAGTGGAAAGGACTACCACCCTCGTGGCGTCCACGGATATAATCACGAGCACCCCCTCATGCGCGCGATTTTCGTCGCCCGGGGGCCTGCATTCCCGCACCAGCCTAACAGCCGGATGGAAGTCTTTCGTAAGTGGTGTCGCCTGCCTCGCCTGGTTTCCAACCCGCTGACAACGTCTTGTAGAAAACACCAATGTGTATAACATTCTTTGCGACTCCTTGGGCATTACTCCTCTTCCGAACAACGGCACTTTGCGTCTGCCGTTAACGCCCGTTGGGCTTCATTCGGACGAAGATGCCCCTAGCGTCGAGGCTCCGGTCGATCCGCCCGCCAGTAGCCCCAGCGGCACCAGCGGCACCATGAGCCCCATCCCATCAGGAACCGCGCTCAAGCACCCTTCCCCCGCCACCGAATCTTCTGCGCCGCCTACGCAACGGCCAGACAGCGATGATGAGGCTGGCCCGACCTGGTGGGGCACCCTGTGGGACAAATTCGAGGGTCTCAAGGACTGGGCGACTGATATCTTTGACACGGTGAAGGACAATTTTGCGACATCCAGCTGAGCTGTCTGGGGACTTCATATATAATATCGCGTATTTTCTTTTCTCTTCTCTTTTGATTTGTTTCTTTCTTTTTGGCGATTCATAGCGATAGCACATATGATACCCATGTATTCACTCCATCGGTTGGCCTGTCAGGCTGAAAGCTGACGATGACTGCAGCGGAGCCCGCCATAACCATTGGTGCCCTCGTCCAGCTAGTCGTGCTGATCTGTGAGTCAACTGCGCACGGTCACAATCGTTGTACTACCTCTTGAGGCTCTGTCACCACCGTCTGGCCTGCTCGGCCGTTCTAGGCTCCTCTCTGCGGGTGCCTGGTACCAGAGTGAAGCTGGCCACAAGCGCGATGACGTTGGACAAGTGAAGGGTCATCCATGTCATGGTCAGGTCTATATAAGTTGCCGCCAGACGCCACCAAATTCACCGTCTGCATCATCCTCTTCTGTGGGCGTCTCGTCATTGAGATACACCCATCCATCATGGCGAACAATACGACCGCCTCAACGACCCTCACTCCGTCCGACACGGCCATGTTGGACACTTTCATCCCCGGATATTCTCTTCTCTCCCATTTTCTCATCTCTTACATGCACATCGACCTCTCCCAGTACATTCCCTACATCATCACGGCGCTGGTCCTGGTCGCTTCGTCGCGGTACACCATCTATCGCTTCCAGTACTTAGTTAAAGACTACTGCGTGTCTACGGCCGAGATCCGACTTGATGACGAGATCTACAACTACCTCATGTATTGGTTGACGCAGCAGCCATTCACCACTCGGACTACGCAGTTCGTCGCCAGCACCAAAACTGCCAGCACGTTCCGCACCTTCTTCTACGACGATGAAGACCACGACAGCAACGGTGCCCTCGATTCCGACGACGAATACGACGAACAGGGCAACGCACTCGCCTTTGATGACTACTGGGCCAAGGCCAAGACCCGCGACAAGTTCAAGCGACTGCGCTTCACCCCGGCCGAGGGCACCCACTACTTCTGGTACCGTGGGCGCCTCCTCGCCTTCATCCGCGAGCGCGACGACAAGAACAACAGTGGCTCGTCCTGGATGCGGCTGATGAGTCCGGAGCGGCTGTACCTGTCGTGCTTCGGCCGCGACCCAACCATCTTGAAGCAGCTCCTGGAGGAAGCCCAGCGCGCATACGTCGCCCGCGACCACGACAGCACGGTCATCTACCGTGGCCAGAAACACGGTAGCTACCCGGACTGGGTGCGGTGCATGTCGCGCGCGCCGCGGCCCCTGTCGACCGTCGTGCTGGACCAAGCGCAGAAGAAGGCCTTCGTCGCCGACATCAAGGAGTATCTGCACCCACGCACGCGTCGCTGGTATTCCAACCGCGGCATCCCCTACCGTCGCGGGTACCTCTTGCACGGGCCGCCAGGCACAGGCAAGACGAGCCTCTGCTTCGCGACGGCGGGCCTGCTCGGCGTGGCGTTGTACCTGCTGAACCTCAGCTCAAAGAATCTGGACGAAGACGACCTCATGGCGCTCTTCCAGGACCTCCCGCGGCGGTGCATCGTGCTCCTCGAAGACGTCGACTGCGCGGGCATGACACACAAGCGCGACGGGACCGGCGACGAGGCGAAGGACGGCGACAAGACCGAAAAGAACGGCAGCACCGACGCGAGCAAGACCAGTCCCACCGGCGCCAAGGGCGACGAGACGACCGACCAGTCCGGCACCAACAATCCCAAGGGCATCTCGCTGTCCGGTCTGCTCAACGTCATCGACGGCGTGGCCGCCAGCGAAGGCCGCATCCTCGTCATGACCACCAACCACCCGGAGAAGCTGGATGCGGCGCTGCTGCGCCCCGGGCGGGTCGACATGTCGATCAAGTTCTGCTGTGCGGACAAAGAAGACACCAAGCAGCTGTTCCTGGGGATCTACTCGACGCTGGAGGGCGACGTGCACACGCGGCTGTCCGGCGGTGCCACCGGCGGTGCCACCGGCAAGAAGCGAGTTCGCAAGACGCCGGCGGCGCCATGGCAGCGGCTGTCGCCCGAGGAGATCGAGAAGCTTGCGGTGGAGTTTGCGGAGCTGGTCCCCGAGGGCGAGTTTAGTCCGGCCGAGATCCAAGGGTATCTGCTGTATCACAAGAACGACCCCGAGGGGGCTATCGACGGGGTGCGGAAATGGGTGGAGGAAATGCGGGCGAAACGCGAGAAGGGAGATGTGCCGAGCGAGACGAAGCCGAGCGAGAAGAAATGACTAACTTGCATGATAGACTTGCGGTAGATGCCGATACGAGATATACCCCCCTTCAATGTACGAAGAGATTAATGCTAATACACAAATGTTCTTGTTGGTGATAGGTAGTCTGCCGTCTACTTGATTGTACCTATTCCAGTCTGCCGAAGGATGCTCCAAGCCAAGAATACCCAACCAAAGGATCAACGATAATAGGACTAACATATGCGGTGAAGAGAAGAATAAAGATATCCAAGAAGGGAAGAAGCCCTGACCGTACTCCGAATGACAAGAAACAATGAGAAAACTATAGTAATGTGACCTGGTTCCCGGAGATGGCCAGGTCCGCCTGATATGTACAGCGCGTATCGGGCGCACAGAAGCCATGGAAGAGCATGCGGTCCCCACAGCCACAGACCGTGCCGCCGCCAGGCGAGGTCAGGTTAAAGTTGCCCGTCTGGAGCAGCTTGACGCCGGTCTTGACGTAGGGGCCGGTGATGGACTTGGACGTGGCATAGCGGACATCATACTTGGGATCCGTGAAGCAGTGGGTGGAGTAGAAGAGGAAGTACGTGTCACCGTGGAGGATGAGATTGGGGGCCTCGACGAGGGGCCCGTCAGAGTCGTCGCGGTCGAGGATCTGCACGGCGTCGCCGACGGGGGTGAAGCCGTCGTCGGCGACCTTCTGCAGCAGGATGGGGGTGGGTTTCAGCGGCGGGATGCCGTTGTTGCAGTCGCCGCCGTTCCCGATGCTGTTGCCGTCGACCTTGAAGACGACGTAGCGGCTGCCGTCCTTGTCGAGGAAGCCGGCCGGGTCGATGGAGCCGCCCTGGTCCAGCCGGCATGACAGCGGCGTCTCGTTGGGCACATACGGGCCCGACGGGTCGGTGCCTACCGAGACGGCGGTGCCGACGCAGTGGTGACGGACCATTTCTTTGGCCTCGCCCGAGTAGTACATGACGTACTTGCCGTCTTTCTGGCGGGGGTCAGTCACGTACGTTGTTGCGGGGAGGTAAGGTCAGGGGATCAACATACTCGTTGCACGACATCCGGGGCCCAGTGGTCGATCTCGGTCTCCCAGCCGGCCAGCGTGGGAAGGGCCTCCTTGTCAAGCAGGGTCCATGTCTCGAAATCGGTGGAATGGGCGACCTGGACGCGCTTGCCGTTGCCGTTAGTACCAAAGGCGTACCAGGAGTCGTCGTTGCCGTCCTGCACGAAGCTCGGATCCGGGAAGTTGGTGTCGAGCACCAGGCGCGGGCCGGCTACGCGCTTCTGCAGCGGCGATGCCAGGGCCCCAGTGGTCAGGGCCAACCCTACGGCCAAGGAAGAGAGGTGAGAGAGCCACATGCTCGTGGAGGGCCTGCCGTGCGCGGGAGAGGATAGAGATCGTCGGGGAAGGGAATGTCAGTTGATCTCTCTAGAGAAGGAGGAGGCTGGGAGGCAGGCACGCAGCAGGCACAGGGCAACTGAGAACAAGAAGAGTAAGGAAAAGGTATGCAGCTCTGTTTCGGGATGCGGCGAGCCTTTATAAAGAAAGCGCCATGAGTCCTCCAAGAAAAGGTAGCTGGAAGCCACCGCACGCCAACCGCATTTGGGGCCGGCGGGACAGCGCGACCTGTCTCTCGGGCTCCTCCTGGACGAAATCATCAGCCCTTTGATAGCCAACAGGCGGTGCTAGTGGGGATGGGAAGGGGGGTCTGGTGGCCCCGGCATGGCATACATGCGTACAAGGTTGCCGGCCGAGATGTGGGGGATCTGGCTGCAGGACACCATTCCGCAATGATTTTCTACTGCGCTCTAGTGGATTGGATCCCCCGGGTCCATTGTCGACAGTATCAGGCTGGAATGGTGCACTGGCAGGAGGAAGTGGCGGAGTCTGGACGCATTGAGCATGGAGCACTGCACCCGGCAGCGACTATAGAAAAATGATAATAAAAATAAAATAAAATCAAGATGAAAGAAAATCAAAATCAAATAAGGTCAGCAGCCAACTTAAATGCCAGAACCGATTCGCCTGAGAAGCATTCCGAAAGCGGGCACAGCATTGTTGATGATCGCTTTGGTGCAGATCCTGGATGCTCCACGCCAGACTGCTGGAGACAATAATATTTCAGGATGAGGCGATATCTTGACAAATCGTCGAAATAGTGCAAACGGTAGGAGCAGATAAAGAAACGGACTGAACAGATCGTCCAGATCTCTGTAGAGCAACGCAAGGGCGTACCTCCGTATCGTCAACCGCATCGAACATCCCCCTGAGAATCATTGGCGAGCTTCTTTCCGACTGCAGAGGTTCGCACTCGCATGTCTGACTTGTCTCATGGATTAATCTCCACCAGATCTGAGCACCCCTCGCAGCGCACAGGAGCCACTGCCGAGCGTCTCCCGAGACTCTCCAGGATCTATCGAATGCGACGCCTTCTTCTCAGACATCTGAATGAAAGCCCACATAGCTGGGGCCAGACGGACGTCTTCGGAAGCCCGTCCAGACACCGCCAGGCCCATAACAAACAATCCAGTGGCGGACCAGAGGAACGCCCGGGTGTCTGATGGCCGAGATATCCCATGATACGACTGTAGTCCACTTGGTGCTTTCTTTATCGTGTGATTGATTCAGCGGTGCTGTTTCGGTTTTCCTTTCATCGGGTCTTTGTGTGCGTATGCCTGATCGGGAGAAGAGATGCATGGAGAAGGGTCACGAAAACATCGGACCCGTCCATCAGGCACCAGACACATGGCAATCAAGGGGGGGAAACAAAGTTCATCCTGGCCATCTCGAACACACGGTCACTCGGGAATGTCACACTTGTCTTCCCTCTCGGCGTGCGATCTGGTCCAATTGCGCCGGCCGATCGATAGGTGCGACCTTCACCGCAATGTCAGCGGCCAGCGTACAGCGTACAACTACAGCCCTCGACAAAGCGACAACCGTCAGACATGTGAGTCGCAGCCGAGTCCCGACGTTCTAGGCGACCGCGAATACAAAGAGCTCCGGCCCTTGCGTAGATACCCTAAGGAAATTCTCCTGCTGGCCGCTCCGCAGCCATATGATGTATCCAACAAAGACAGCGTTTAGGTTCTCCCTCGCTTGCACTGGAGCCACCAAGCCAAGCACTCGATCGCCGCTAAGATCGGCGGGGAGATTCATTAGGCCTGATGTGAGAGGTGGCAGTGGCGGTTTAGCGGCTCTTAGCCTCCGATGTCGAGGGCTCAGCTGAGCGCGGTAGAACTCCGAGTGTTTCCTTGGTCTCGTGAGGTGTGGACAGACAAAGAGCTGGCTAGCTGGCTTTGTGTTGCTGTTCCCTTGTCCCCGCGATGCGTCTGCGTCCATGAGGCAAGAATAATGACGACATCTGCGTGGAGGTTGGGGTTTGGGCTGCGATCGCGTGTCAGGGCCACGGGTTGGGCGTCGATGAAGCTGTCAGTCTGTCGCTGACTGCATCGTGGAGGTGAAGCAGGGATCGTCATGTGCGTGAGAGGAGCAGGGATGGTTGAACGCTGCGGATAGAATCGGCGAAGCAATGACCTCGTTCGCGTTGTGTGACGCTGGTCCGAGGTAAGGGTTGAGGATGATGTCAGGGTGCGAGGAAGGATAGACATAGACAGTACGCAGAGCTGCGCATACTCATCAGGCATTGTATCAACACCGCACTGTATATACACATAACTATAGAACCATATCCTAGTAGAAATAGAATGCACGCCAAACGCCACATGCAAGAAATAACCCGACAAACGCCGTAGCCACACCTAAGACGCAGTCAACACCCAGCTCTCAAACGGCGTCCCACGCGTCTGTCTCGTCCCATCGTCGCGCGTCGTATACAACACCGGCTGAAACTCGCAGGCCGCCGCATACGCCCGAATCAGATACCGCCAGTAGCACGACTCGGCGGCCGGGGTAAGATAGCGGTCTCGAAAGGTGCGCACCGCATTATCCGCGATGCGCTCCGCCGTCTCCGGCCGGTCAATGAGGAACTCAATCTTACGCTGCAAATCGGAGAAGTCGCGCTCGACCTCGACGTAGTTCTGCTCCGGCCCCGTCGCAATCAGCGCCGCATGGTGCGCCTCGCGCCAGATCAGCCGGTGCGAGACCACCACCGACCGACAGTTGAGCAGGTACTTGCCGCGGCCGGAGAAGCTGCGGCCCTCCGTGTGCGCGAGGAACATGTACCTGCAGTGCTCCTCCATGGGCAGCAGGTTGAAGCGGAGGTCGTTCTCGTCGTCCCAGTCGAGCACGCGCACGCTGGCCCAGCTGCGGCCCTGCGTCTGCTTGAGCAGTTTGCCCCGGATGCCCGGGTTCGGCGCGACGCTGCCGCGCCACACGAGCTGCTTCTTTTTGTCGGCGAAGCGGGTGCCGGGGATGACTTCGCCCGTGACTGTTGTCTCGCCGTTGTCCACGGCGGCGATGCGCCGCCGGATGTCCTTGTACGGCCCGATCTTCACCTCCGGCCACGACCAGTAGCCAAAGTCGGGCATCAGCCAAACACTCTCGTCCTCCTCGCGCTTGGAGTAGGACCAGATCGGCCCGACGCCCGTGCTGTAGTCGTCCGTTGTGAAGACGAACTCGACGCTGGGGAGGAGATGGCGGTCCGGGAAGGCGGCCAGGGCTCGTTGCAGGGAATGCAGGGTGGCTTTGGCTCGGGAAAAGGTGAATGGCATGGCGCCGTAGTCCACGATGTACAGCTATCCAGCGGAGACGGTTAGACCAGCGACCAAGGGCTAGGGCCAGCAGGAACCCCATAACTCACCTCCCCATTCTCGATAATCCCCCGCACCATTCCATCATCGACGGCCAGACCGTCCAGATCCTGGAATCGAATCGGATTGCTTTCACGGAACGAGGCCGATTTGTCGAGCTCGACAAAGAGCTTCGGGAATGCGGCGCGACACTGCTCGTCCGACAGCCCGTGGTTATTCCCGTCCTGCTGGACATCGAATTCCCAAGTTATGCTACTATTGGCGCAGGATGGAGAGGAATGCGGCGGTCCTGAAGGTTTGATCACGTATTTAGTGGCATTGGTCGAGAACTGGCCGTTGTACACCAGGAATGCGACGAGGGCCAGTGATAGCAGCGCGCCCGTGGTCAGACAGCGGGTCCATGGTGATTGACTCTGCGTCCAGCGCATTGTGTGTGTCCAAGTGTATAGAAGAATAGGAAGTCTGTCGTTATGCCATATATGACGTTGTTGGTATATAGTCGAGTGAGTCGATCTGAGTGAGGCTGTCTGATCGGCTTAAGGGATGCACTCGTAGCAAAAGATGTTAAAGTATATAATCATAATAAAATTCTCGTGTCTCATAAATTGGAATGATAAATTCCCATAGACTTGTCCAGACTTGCTGTACGAGTGAATGCAATTGACAAGTCTTCTCCGACGCGATGAGATATCCTGATGGGATGCGGTGTTTCCATGGCAACAATCCCACCACCCACTCTTTACTCCGGAGTAACTATACACGACACACTACAGGCTCCAGAGCCCATGATCCATGATCATAACGGACAACGTATTCAGTGTCAAGGACGACTGTCGCCGGCGAACAGCCGTAACCTCTTATATACCATCATCGGCCTCCGTCGCGTCTATATCCGGAATGTTACATTGATCTATATACAGAGGACCGCACGCGTCACAAGCGGCTGGTGTATTCAGGGGTATCTCAAATCAACCAAAAAGTATATCCGAAGCAGAATAGAAGGGAACGAGAGACAGCCGTCCGTAAAACCGAAAGGAAAAGCCAGAGGGGGGGAGCAAATATTCTTCAGGGAAAGAAAGCAAAGGCGTCCGTCCACCAGACAGACAGCTGTGCAAGAAACGAGATAATCCCATCGCATCTCACAGAGATCGGCGAAATAATCAAATCATCATGCGCGTAAAATTCAAAGCAAATTCGTAGTATCATAGCCGGTCGATAGCAGTGCATGCAGTGACCAGGGCATATCCTCTTACCCAGCCCCGTTAGTCACGGTCTTGCCCCCTGCACTACTAAAGTAACTCTCGTCGATCTTCAAAATCCATTCAACCTTCTGCGCCTCCGTCCGAGCCGCAAAGAGGAAGGTATTCTGGGCACCATACACGGCGAACACGTTCGGACGGCCCTTTGACGAACTGGTGTCCGTCTCCGCTCCCGGTCCATTCAACAGACGTGCAAAGTCCGGCGCATGGTCGATCCGCGAGTTGCGGAGATTGATAGCGTTGATCTCGTCACCGTCGGGAACCGAATAGATATGGATATATGGACGCCGAAGCTCGACGAAGCGCCGTACCCAGTGGCTGTTGGTATCATCTGGGGTCAACAGATACCCCGACTTGAGGGAAGACGTGTTCTTTGGCAGGGTCTGAATGGTTGCAATGAACCGTGGCTTCAACGAGGACTCGTCGGAGACAGAACTACCATCTTCGCTGGACGAAGGGTTAGTGTGGGATGCGAATGCGGCACCGCCCGCAGGTGGCTCAGTATTGCTTCGGACAAGGATAGACTCGGTTTGGTCCGTCTTCGTGGTCCAGAGCTCGATGTATTTTCGGAGAAGCTTGGCTTTGCGCTCCGTAAGCTCATTGTTCCGAAGAGGCGTTGATCGCCCGCTTCTAGGGGGCGAAGCCACCAGACTGCTGGCACTGAGCGCTCCTTTCGCCGCATTCAATTCGGCAACACGTCGTCGTCGTTTACGTGCGGCGATGAAGTCCCGTACGAGCGACACCTTTCGGGGTGACCAAGTCGTAAGGAGCTCTTCGCCCTTGACGTAGTCATTTTGCGTGTTCATTCGCCACAAGTCCGCGGCGCGCTTCGCAGAGACCGGCCGCACTGTCAGCGAATACATGCGGACGGTAGAGTGGACGATCCTAGTGGAATTGAAGAACTGTTTGAACATCGACTGCGGTCGCACATAAGTTCGCCCTTGGATTTGCAGGGTCAGGTCCACATCAAATGTCACCGGATCTTGCAAGCGCGACGACAAGAGATCCCATTTGAGAGTGACCTGCACACGATACTTCTCGGCGGTCACTCGGTCGAGAAGGAGAGAGCCATGCAAGCTCGAGTCCCACTGGCCAATGATCGTCACATTCGAGGTCCCATCCGCGTTGTCCTTGACCATCGGCTCCTGGACAAACTTGAGAGGAACATCGGGTGTCTGGAGGTCTTGGTCGGGAATCTTGCCCCAAGGATCCAGCAGCCGGACTGAGCCGACCCGTATGTTGGTAAGATCATCCCAGGGCAGACTTTCAGTTGAGCTATACGTGAGGTTCACAAGAATCCGCCGCTGAAGACCTTGATGAAGTTGATACGTTCCCGCGTCCAGGTTATTGCTCTGCACAACCTCAACCGGGAGATACTCTCCATTCTCAGCAAGTTCAAGAATCTGCGCTCTGGCAAAGACGTCGTGACGCTCCTCCAGATAAAATTCAGACTCCGCAATACGAGGGGTTTTCCGCTTATCGGGAGTCGCCTCTGCAGAATCGCGCATATCGTCCCAACTGAGAAGCTTGTCAAGGTGCATCTGCGTCACTCGGGCATAGACACAAATCTTGAGCGCAGCCGTCCGTGGGCTTGAAAGCGGTAGACTCATGCTGTGCACACTCTCAAATCGAACGGGCGACTCGTCAAATCCGCTGATCATTTGGGTAGTAGTAGCGCCGCCTTCTTCAGAAATACCAGGCACAAAGAGTTGTGCATGGACGTCAGTGCCCTCCCATTCGGCGAAGCCCACCATATCGCGCATCACAACATTGAACTTCAGAGTAGACGAGGGTGCCTGTGCGGAGGAAGGCTCCAGGGAAAGTCGGATTATGCCAATGACATTCTGGGTGTATGGAGAAGTGACCTCAACGGAAAAGTCCTGCACTCGCGTCTCAAAAACAGCAGTCAGTGGGATATCTGCGTCGCCAACAAGAGAGTACTGCGGTGAACAAGGCTCAGAGAATGGGTTTTCGAGCTTGAAATGCTGGATGTAATCAGGGCGATCGATATATTGGTGCAGCTGTCGCATGGCTTGGAGTCGCCGCTGGAGCTTCTCGATAGACCATAGATGGATGACACACTGCTTGAAATCAATCACCCGCACTGCGATGCAAGGCTTCTTGGCGTCATCCAAAACGATATCTTCGTCTCCGGATATGCCGTTCAAGACTAAGTCATATGACGAAGCCATATTGTGTCCATGGTCAATGATGGCAAACTGAAACACAACGTTCTTGTCCATGATGTGGCTCATCACCTGGGCTTCCTTCAGAAGCGATGCATGCTGCAGCACTTTCTCGGTCATCCGGACATAGTTCTGTTGTGACCAATGGCGGTAGACAGAGCGTGCGACTTCAATCTCCCTTGGATCCAGCTTTGCAAACCCATTTTCATAGATCCTAGGGACGGGTTGGCCCATATCCTTCATGTGGGATTCAAACAGTTCTTTCTGTTTCTTCAGCTGTGCCTCGTATTCTTGTTTCGTCGCGCGGAGTGTCTCTTCCATCTTCGCCTTTTCAGAGCGCAGATCTTCGACACCTTGGCTAGCCTCTGCATTTCTCAGCTTATCTTGAAACTCCTCTTTTTGTCGGTCCAACTGCCGTTGCATGTCCTGTCGTACGGAGTTTAGCGTGGCTATCCCGTTCTGGCCTTCGTCCTCTTCATTGTGACGAGGTGTCCCAGGCATGGTAATGGCAGTATCCAAGGAAAAATTATCGATGGTGCCATTGGACATGTATTTGTCGCGCACAGGAAAAGAGCTCAGCGAGTCAGAATCCTCCTCATTCTCCATCAGACCACGACGCGTTGCCCGAACCTTCTGCACATCCTCGAAGAGAGCGTTCAGTTCATCGTCTGGCATGTGCGCAATATGGTCCGGTCCCAACACGGCACTGACAGCCTCGCGGCGGGCGTAGAACCAATCCGATTCACGTCCCTGCTGCGGAGGCATTGGGGAATCAGCCCGGCTAGAATCTCCATCGAGTTCAGAGCCAGTCTTGCTTAAGCTCCGGTCATGGGTCTTGTTCGGAGCGGGCGAACCAAGCTGGCTTGTGGTTACCGAATGGCGCAGTAGACTCTGTTCTACTCTCTCAGCCCGGGCTTCTTGGGGATGGTTGAAACGAAAGATGTGGAAATCGCCCAAGATTATACGGAAGCCACTTTTGAGCCGTTTGGGCTGGTCAATCCGCAGTCCATTCACCATGACCGCGGCGCCTTCCGTCGGCACAATGGTCACCACGTTATCGACGTTCTCAAACTTACAATGGTTGGCAAGGATCTTGGAACCGTTCAGTCTGATTTCCACGTTACTTCCTTGATCCATGTTTCCGACCATTGTAGTACCTGGCTTGATATTATAGACAAGGCACTCGGCGAGCAGCGGGTCATCGCTTAGGTTCACAAGATGTGGCATCTTCTTCGGGGTACTGAGACCAATGAAGCCCTTTTCGATACTGATACCCAACTCTTCCAGAGCTGCCTCGCGCTCTTTGTGAATCTGTTCCGTCTTGACCAGCTTCTCCTCCCACGTCTGATTAAGGTCTTTGTAAAGCTTCTCGCTTTGGTTCAACTGTTCCACGATCTCTGCCTTGCTCACTTTGGTGACAGTGCCATCGGCTTGCTGGATAGAGACCATCTGCTTCTCCAGTGGTGTATCCGGGGGGTAGTATTCTTCGGAAGGAATGGCACCCGCTGCTGCTGATGCACCCCCCGCCACTGCGCCTGCGCCAGGCGCCACACCACCCCCAAGCTTGGATCGAAGCTGCGCAAGCTCTTCCTTGAGCTCGCGGATCATCCGAGCGTTTGGATCTTCGTTCACGACCGCATGGTTCTTGATACGTTTTGCGGAGTCGGCGTAGCGCAGAGTACTCAGGGTCTCGTCAAAGTTGATATCCGCAGGTGAAATAGCCGCAATCATCGCCGTCATCGAGTTACCTCCGAGGGAGTCCTTGAGCAGCCATGTGAGAACTGAATCACGATATGGAACCATTGAGGCGTTCTTCTTTTTGCCGGAAGCCAAGTCCGCAAGGGCGGCAATCACACGACCGAGTGTTGATAGAGATCGGTTAATTTCGGCACCCTCCTTGAGTCGCGCACCAGTCGCGCCGGTCGACGTCGCACGCTCCGAACCCGCAAGATCGACAAGACTGATTCTTGAGACTTTCTCGGAGTCCATCGACGTCTCGGCGTCATGGCGCTTTTGCGTCAGTGTCAGCGTGAAGACAGCGTGCGATCTACTTGACGTCTCGTTCATGTTGGTAGCCGCGACGGTTCTGGCCTTGTTTCCTTCGTCCATCAAGTTTTCGATCTCATCGAACGATCGCACGACGAGCTTGGCGAGGTCTTCGACATATGGACCCGTCGACGGATGCTCACGGACTTTCAGGTTTCCTTTATTGGAGGGATTGAGCAGATCGCGCACACGTTCGTTGTAGATTTCGAGGTAGGACACTTCGACAGTGCAGTTCAGGTTACTGTCTTGCTGCATCATTGAGGAGATGCGCTCGAACATCGACTGGCAAATCCGGGGAATGACACCGTACTCCTTGCCGTATCCCATCATCGAGTACGACTTTCCGGAACCGGTCTGACCGTAGGCGAAGATACAGTTGTTGTAGCCTCCAAACGCATTGTCCAACAGCGGCACACCCAAGTCGCCGAAGAGACTGTCTTGACTGGCATAGTTGGGGGCATTCTTGTCAAATGACCAGTAGGACCTATCGAAGGCGAACGACTTGTTACCATCCGCCGCAGCTTTCCCGCCTTTTCGCGATTTATCTTCGGCGCCGGGTGGGGTGGAGAGGATGGTCTGGTTGTCTTTCATCTGAACGATACATTTTGCGCCTCGGTCGATTTCTGGTGTCGCAGACAGGACGGGTTAGTTGGGATCTCCAGAAGGGTCACCGGAGGTCTGGCGATTGACTAGTACGTACCTCTGCTGTTGAAAGGCCGCACTCTCACCACCACCTTAATATTTCCTCCGCCGCCTGGAGCCATGATGGACTATGCCCCATATACCCGGGGGTGTCAACGGTCTGCGACTGGTAGAGTTCGACTCCGAAGAGCGTCGGGAAACACGAGCCGCGAACGCCTCCGGGAGCGCCGCCCTGTTGTATATCAAAAATCGGGTCTCTTATCGTCTATCGCGGGTCTTCGGGGTGTCAGATTCGATAACTCAGTGAGATCACAGTTGAATTGGACGTAGATGCTTGAACGTCAACACAGACGTCATGTAGGGATGTATACGTTGTGTTGAGGGGGGGGTAGCGGCGGCGCGTTCTCAGGGGAAGAATAGCAGCGAATATTCTGGTTGATAGGGTCGGGTTTGAGATCGGATACGCGACAGTCGCCCTCCAGGATGGCTTGACACAGGACCCTGTCTTGAGAAAGGGGAACAACGTCTCACAGGGATCGGTCGACTGGAAATCCAACCTTCAACTCCTCGCAGACGCGGGAAAAGCCACATGAGAGCCAAAAGGCCGCGTTCATGCGGATTAGGTAAGCGGGTCCTCCCCATCAACAACCTCCCGCCTACCGCCCGCCTTCCAGATGACTTGCGTGAGGAATATCGGACTCTAGCACGGTGTGTAGGTCTGTGTTCTTCTCGAATGCCGAACATGCAGGCACCGGTTCTCTCGGGGTCCTGATTCGCGCTCCTTCTCTCGGGTCGGTCTGGGGTGTTTCGTTTCCAGGGTTGATTCTCCGCTGTGGGACCGTGGTAGCATCCTACTCCATTCGATCCAGATATTGGAGGCATGGTTCTGAAACGGGTATCTAGATTAGTGCATGTCTGTTAGGATTACCGCTCTGGATGTTGTTGTCGTGGGTTTCGACCAGATGGTGTTCTACCAAAGTAGGTAGTTAGATATATATATTGACTGGTGCTCACAGACGCGATGACATTCTGCGGACAGAAGCTGTATGACTTGAATACTTGGCCATCTTTGAATAAACATTGCTAGCAGTATAGCCAGTCTGCAAGCTCAACGGTGTCACCTTACATCTTGGTAAGGAAGATGATATTTTTGTTCCTACCCTACACCTCCAAAGGAGGGTCGGGGAACTAGTACGTAGTCACCTTCACCACGGCCCCGCATTCTTGGGCATAACTATATAGTACCTTACGAAGGGGAGAATCCAGATCAGTGAGGTAGAAGCTTCAGATAGATTGGATAGGGCTGGATTAGAGACATTTCTTCTGTAGTCAAGCAATCACGCTACAACTGCATTGCCACAACCAGGCGCCCGAGCCAGCAGCGTGCTACAGTGATGCTAATACAGATGAAGATCTCCGGGTCTTGCGTGATGGGCCACTTCAGCAGTCAAGACAAGGCTATCAGGGTATAAGTACTCGGTTAAGCAATGCTGACCTGCATGTACAGCTGGCAAGTCTGCCTTGACCGAATCAGCCTGTAAGAGATGGCCATGTAGCAAGCGGTGGATACCAAGGATGTATATACTAGACAGCCACGAATAAAAATCGGAGTAGCAATGGCTTGACATCTCGCGATACAGCCTCTCTAATGCCCACGTTCATTGTGAAGCTGCTGGCCTACCTTTGCATTTCAGAGAGAATAATGGATGTTGTGGTATTCAAGAATAGACAAGGCACTTCCTTGATCATGCTAGACATCACCCAGCTCATTGTCTGTAAAATGTCTAGGAGAATTATGGAATTTTACATCAATCACCGCATCCCTATACGTAATGTGTTGCCATCGAAAGGCACAAGGGGAAAAGGAAGCATCACTGAGTGATTGGTTGCTTTCGGGCTTGCTTCGTGATGATAAGCGGGCCTGCGCAGGATATGCCCCGATATCACACCAGGTGAGCTGAGACGCCACCCGGGAGACGATTGAAAACGGCTTCGAGGATATCGCCAAATCACGGTCGAGAGATACAACGGAGTCACTCTGGAACGTGACAGCGGTGACGAATCCACCTGCACGAAGTGACATATCGCCAAAGGGAGGCGAACAGGGAGCGTCTGCCAATGATAGAGCTGTACGCGGCAGGCTGAACACGGTCCTACCAAACCCAAGCATCGTGTTTGGGTTTTTATTGGGTCGTGACTTTGGGAAGACGATCCTGCTCATATCACGCCTCTTGCGTGGTCAGAAGGGGCCCCGGCCCGAGTTGGCACTGCCATGGCTACTATCACGGTAGCATTCAGCGGGTGTGACGCCTGACAGGGTTGTGATTCACTTGTGTTTGAGATGTGGATGAGGGACTGCACGTTGAGTTTGCTCGTTTTAGATCTCCACTGTATGGACTGTATTGCACTGGCGTATGATGAGACGAGGCGTTGTCGACTCGATCGTTGTCCCTTGCAACAAGTGGCATGTATACAGGTGAAGACCTTTCCGTCTCTGTTTGCCTGTGGACGTTGTCGACTGCTCCCGTCTTTGATATCAGGTAGCACACACATGCAGTGCAGTTCGCTAAAGCTAGGCTCAGTCACACTAAGGCTTTGCTTTCCGGGTGGGAAAGTCCAGCCAGATGGCGGTCACTAGCATCTCGATTCCTTGCAGCTCGGTGACGGCAAAAAGAGTTCCGAAGGGCTGGTTGACAGGGTGATTGCATGATGAACAATGGCCAAATGGATATAGAGAGAGGACTCCTGTTGTGTTTTTCTTTGCCACCACGTTGATGTTATCAATCTGATGCCGGCATTGAGTGTCGACGACGATAACCGGGAATACCCAGGCTGATATGGCGTATTATTATTAATGCACTGTGAAGAGCAGGTGAAGAGCGGTGTAGTGGGGCGCGATTGTTGGGCTTGACGTCAGATGGTAAGGTGCCCACCGTTCGCTTGGACCGAGTCACGATCGGACATTGAACTAGTCCACCTTCATCTGCACTGACCATTGATCGAGACCTGCTTAGGAAAAGAAATATATTACTGTTTATTCTCCGTGTTGAAGGGAAGTTCGCAAGATAGATCACACGTGCAGTCTGGCTAGAATGGTACACCAGGCGACTCTGTAGATTTCTCCGGCACGGGATATCAAAATCAATGTTTGGATCAAGCGGTCAAGCTTCCACACGTGGGATCTGTAGATCGGGCCCGAATCTGGCTTCCTCCGTCCCACCGGTAGAACCATAAAATGGGCACGATGTTGGAAGGGGAGGGATTTACTGATATGATGGCAGTCTGAGGATTGATGATCTAGTGTTTTGGGTCAAGTGTATTGTCTAGGCTTTCAGACACAATATATGATGGGAGATCTAGTACGCACAGAAATATATATCTTGGCGGATTACTCTCAAGTCTCAAGCCTCACTGCCCATGACAGGGTACCAGGATAATATTCAGGATGGAAGCCAAAAGGAGGATATGATTTCTGCATGCACCTCGTATCCAGGGAGGAGGGATTCAACTCGATGGCCTAAATCGGATGCAAAAGACGGAGGAAATTCCGTGGATGAGGGTCGGAGGAGCGGTGGGGACGGTGGATCGGGGCTCAGGAGAAGGAAGAAGCAAAGGAGCAGAAACTTTGTCAACAACGTCATCGGTGGTACAGGGTGTGTTGTTCATTCCTCGTCGAGACATCGATCCCACCTCCGACGGGGAGAGTGTTGCCTAAAGGAGGCATATTACCGAGCGCCGTCCGCGTTTCACCAGAACTGCCGGGAGGCTGACCTGGAGGTACCATCACAACAAAAAAATTCAGGATCGTGTGGAGAAAGTGATGAGAGAATTACCCTGGACGGAGAACGAAGGATGTGATGGACATGGGACCCATGGCGGCGATACGCGGTGTGATGGCATGGTGATGCGGTGGACCTGTTTGCTTCTATCTTCAGGGTTATAAATATATAAATATAGACAGAGTAGATTGACAGATAGAGATGGTTAGGTAGTTACCTGATTAGGCAGTTACAGAGTGTGAAGGAGGATCCATGGATTCTATCCCATAGAGGGCTGAGATAGACCAGTGAGGATGGAGGTGGGCGGAGAATTGACGATTCGTAAAAGCGGACCACGGGGGTCCAGGGCCAATGGGGGGAGGGTTGAGATCCGAGGCCAGGTCGCAAGAGGGAGGTCGGATAGCCGGGATTCTCAGCATAAAGAGAATAAAACGGATGGATAGATAATAATAAAAGTTTAACCAGAATAACCTGGCAAAATAATGAGAAAATCATCCAATCTTCCAATTAGATCACGAGATGTGCGTGGTGTGGTGGTGTGGAAGCTGAGTCAGCAGGATATACTCGGCGCTTCCGTGGGAATAATGTTGGGACTTCTTCTGTTACGGATGTTGTACGTAGCATACCTATCAAGTTCATAGAAAGACAGAACAACATAAGATATAGAATAGAAAGTAAAATTCAAACAATAGTAAAACTACCTCACAAGACATGCAGAAGTTCTAGCAAAGACAGGTAGAAACAAACAGAGAAATAAATAATAAGATAATACTTAATATAATAACAATAATAATGTGGACTGGAGGATACTTCGTACAGATACCGACCCACGGTGACAATACGGAACCAGACGGGAACCGACTGTCGGTTGGCCGTTCAGGCCAGGCCGCCGCGTCCGCTCTGAGCCAGTCAGCAAGGCGAGAGGCGGTACAAATGCCCCATCGCCCGCCCTTTCTCGCTTCTTCTCTTCTGCCTCTCGTTGGTCATCCACCCCTTTTGCTGCCCTCGGTCCAACCCAATCGTCGCCCAGGCTGTCCTCCCCGCCTGCCCTTCGCATCCCCCGATCTGGCTGTGATTGATCAGTCCGTCCATTGGATTCCCATCGCTTCACATGGTGGTGATTTGATTTGGTCTTTCCCCTCCAGTTATCATCCCTCACGCCCGGTCTTGTCCACGGTTCTCCTCGAATCATCATCGAATCACTGCATTATCGGGTACGTTTCGTCGTTTCGTCCACTCTCCCCTTGCTCAAGCGGCTCCCGACTTTATTCCACCCTGCATCCAATCCCATCACTTTTGCTCCGTGGCTTCTGGGTCTCCCCTTGATCCCTTTTCTGTCCATTGGCCTTTGCTTGTCGTTGGCTTCACTCAGTCGCATTGATATCATTCCATCATTGGGTTCTCCTCTCCTCCACCTTACGCCGACTACCTTAATTGCTCTCCCACAAATCAGACCCGTCCCCCCCCCGACTCAACTCGGTCGCGGATCAATCCGGGCCGGGACTGACATCAGCGGCATCGTGCCCGTCCGCCTTTTCTGTTTGGCAGACCGCACGCGCTTCTCCTCTCTTCCCCCCCCCTCTCAACGAATCATCCTCCCGTGACAGAACAACCGGCTCAGATCATTGGCCTTGTTGTACTCTGAGTACATCCCTTCGTTCCCAGTCTCCGAACATTTGCCTTTTCCCCAGATCAGAGGCCATTTGCCTAGGTAACTACCTACCTCCATTGGATCTTCCCTCTGGAACGTGTTGTTTGGGTTCTTTTCGCCGCGGTCCGCTTACCGCGACAATGAGCTCACCGTGAGCTCGCATCACAACCCATCCATCCCCCTTCCCTTTCCTTGCTCCGAGAAAGAAAAAGAAATTCAAATCCATTTCCTGCAGCATCTGTTGCATATCTTTCCCTCTATATCTGGCCCCCCGTGACCTCTGATCGATCGGTGGTGGCATCTGCGTTGGCTTGCGTCTGTATTGTTATGATGTCGCGTTCCGCCTGCACCTCTCCATCTCCCCGCTACTGCACGCCCAATCAGCACGCGTCACCTCTATTTACCACTGCAAGCAGCTACTGACCGGTCTATCAAGACAGGCGTATTCAGTCTGGATAGAGAAGGAATCCTCTCAATCCATCCAACCGCTGTTCTTCTCGTGCGCACAGTGAACTGCCTAGCGGAGATTCCATAATCTCTTCCACCTGGCCAGCGAGTGCGTTGCATTGACAAGGTATGTCGCCGGCTGCATCTCCCTTCCCGCTCTGCCAACGCATACCTCCTTCAGCCCTGGCCGGAGACACTAAATTGCCACGATACTGCCCTCCCCTCCCCTCCCCTTCCCCCATTGTGACAGCGCCCAGACCGAAAATGCCCCGAATTTCTGGTTGGTGGACATCGACATGCTAACACTATGTCCTCGGTAGTGTCGTGGTTGTGGGCGCATTCTGACATCAGTCGCCGCTTCGAGTCGCATTCCAGCTCCAGGGACCGTGGTCTTTCGATCCCCTGGTCGCACCGCCTCATTTGGCTCTCCCCCCCGCCTTATCCGGACGTGGCCCAGCCGCTTGTTTGCGTTTGACGGCTCGGCTTCTCCAAGAGGTAGCCTGCCAGCTGTCGCTTCAGCTATACAGCGTAGCCCGGAACCCTTCAGTCTATTTTTATTTGATTTTTATTTCTTTTTAATTTCCCCCAAACCCCCTCATTCGCCCGTCTCTACTCCGTCTTGCGATCGGATCGGAGGCAATTTTGCGCCATTCGCGAAAGGACTGCAGTCTGCCTGCCAACGCATCAAGTGCGACAGCTTATTTTCGAGGACACCCCCGTTCACTGCATCAGAGCCCAACCACGTTACACTCGCGGAAAACGTAAAGAAAAAGAAAGAATCTCCACAAAAGGATCCAGAGCCTCTAGAGGTCCTCGTTGGAATCCATTTCGACAAACAGGAACCCATCTTTTAGTGACCGGTCGCCTGCGCTTCCAGAGACAAGACTCTCTGCGAAACAGATTCCACGGGTAAGCGCCCACCATCCCCAGGTTACAAGCGCCTTTCCCCCCCACCACCCCATGATCCAGTGACCGGTCGGCGATGCGCTCCGTGCTGACACTATAGGAAAACCTGCAGACTGTCGCATCCGGTTGGTCGAATCATCGCTTGCGGAGCCCTTAGCCCTTTTGCCGTTTCCTCCTCCGTCCGCGACGGAGATACTCAGGTGCAACAGCGCTTCGACATCCTATCATCACCTTCCTCACATTGATCTTGCCCACCCAAGGGCACTTCAATTCAGCCTCCTCCCCTTCTCATTGGCCTCTTCGTTCGTGGGACCGCCTCAACTCTTGTCGTTCCTGGCAGTCGGTCGGGTCCAATCACGTACATAGGAACCGCACGGGAACCGCCGTCGCGACTCCATCATGGAATATACTCCCCAATATCAACAGGCCCATGGCCAACACCCCCATGCTCCCTCCCATATCGCCGGCCCCTATCAGACTGCGCCGCAAAACGCTGGACCACCCGTGGGGTCAATGACCTCTCCCACCAATCCCCAAGCTCACATGCAGCAAGCCCATCCGACGCATCAAGCTTCCCCCATCGTGCCGTCGCAGTCGCACTACCAGCAACCCCAGAATGCCCCCGGTGCAGTCCATCAGCAGATGAACTTCCCTCAGTCGTACGGCGTGACGCCCGGGATGCCTCAGACATATGGCATTTCGCCGACGCAGGCGGCGGCCATGGCCACCGCGGCCGCCTCGGGCCAGTTCTACCCGATCCACCAGGATTCGATGGCCGGACAGATGTCGCAGGGGCCGCGGGGATCGCCGCGGATGGCGGGACAAGTCAAGACGGATCGGAACCCTCGATCGCCCCCTCAGATGCCCGGTCAGATCCCTTCCATGGGCTCTCAGGTTCAAATGCCGCCCAATGCCCAGATGCAACAGCGTCGCATGAGCCATGTCGGTAGCCCCCATATCCAGAACGCGCAGCCAGGCATGAATCACGTCGGTCGCCCTTCCGTCCCGCCCCCGATGGCGCCGCCTCCGCAGCCGGTGCAGCAGAGTCAACCATCCCCGGAGATGGTGACCGGTCCGGAGCAAGAGTCGCCTCTCTACGTCAATGCGAAGCAGTTCCATCGCATCCTGAAGCGACGTGTCGCGCGACAGAGGCTGGAAGAGCAATTGCGGCTCACCTCCAAGGGCCGCAAGCCGTACCTGCATGAGTCGCGTCACAACCATGCCATGCGGCGACCCCGAGGTCCGGGAGGTCGCTTCTTGACTGCCGATGAAGTCGCCGCCATGGAGAAGAAGCAGGCCGCGGAGGCGGGCGGTGCGGGACAAGACAGCGCCGACTCGAAGCCGGCCGGCGAGATTTCCCCCACCGCCCAGAAGCGCAAGTCCAGCGATGTCAATGATGAGAATGCTAATTCCGCCAAGAAGACGAAGACGAGTGGCGTGAAAACCAGCAGTGCCGAGGAAAGTGAATCGGCGGAGCCCTCGGACGAAGAGGGTTGAGTGATTCACGTTGCCTTCGTACCTATGTTTCTCATGGCCTTATGGATGGATGCCCGGTTTCTTTTGTTTTGTTTGCCCTTTTCGTAGCGAGCGATGTGCGACTACTGATGCCACGAATCACCCCACGCCTCCCCCGAACTTACCTATTCTTCACGGTGTTTGAGTCTTACGTCTGTTCATACTGTTATGCTGGTACGAATCTTCCTTCTGTCGATGGCAGCTGCCATATTGGGAATACATGTGTGAATGATCTTTTTCTTTCTCCTTTTGTTTTCTGTTATCGTTTTTGTTTCGTGTTTTTTCTCATATCATGACCGAAGTCAGGCGGTCGACAATGTGTCGACCAGTCTGCCTCCTGCCATCATTGTTGTCGTTGGAAGACTCGCCTTGCACCCGCGCTGCCCGTGTTCCTGTCACCAAAGACAAATGGAGGGAGTGCCTACGCCGAGAGGCCTCTTGTAACCGCCAAGGGTCAAGAGATCTGTACCCGGCGCTCTCTTGCATTGCGGTCTTCGGGTATTGGCGTGCAATCTAGAAAGGGGTATCCATCACTGGTAAAAACGGGATTTGCACAGGATATTCATGGAAGGGGTGTTGAGTTTTTGGTCTGGTCAGAGCTACCAGTACATATTGCGGTCCTGCGTTTGTTGTGTATTTTGGCGTTAACATCCTTGGGTCAGATTTCAGTGGTCGCCTTCCTGGGTCTGGTGTGATCTGGTCCTGGAGCTGTTTCTGCTATGTTTATTGATTGCAACGGATGATTCCCCTGGTTTGTCGTGTACAAATACGAGATTTTATATCAATTCATGCATTCGTGTTCATGCTCAACACCGAAGTATACAGATTCTGCCGACTCAAATCCGGTAAGCGGAGAGCCGGTGGGCGGTGAGGTCAGCTGTCAACCGCCGGCTGAGTCATCCGATCGTCCGTTTCCAGACTCTCCCTCCCTCTCGTGACTTTCCATCGCCTCCGCTGTTTCTCCTTCTCTTCTCCTCACGCCTCACCATAACTCACTCCTGCCTGGCCCTGTTCCTGGCACAGTTGTTTTCATCCCGTCTGAAATCATTGGATTGACAGGAGTCTGTCCATTCTTTTTCGCTCGGCTTCTTGTAGGTCGCCTGCCTTGTCCTTGAATTCCCTCCTATCACGTACCCACCTATCTACGCCTCGTTACTTTCATCATATCGTACCCCTTTCCTTCTCAGCTTCTTCTGCTCTTCGTCAGAGTATCCCTCCTTATCTTTATCTGCTCTCTTCTTCCCAATTCTTCGCATCCTCCTATTGTTCTCTCCTTTCTCCCCGGAGTTGTCGCTATTGTCGTCGCGCCGTCGTGGCCCTCGAGACCCTCCGTCCTAGTCGACTACCTGTGCCCTTCTTCCCTCTTTCTAACTATTCAATTCACTCTCTTGTCTCTCACTTCGCAAATCTCTTGTCTTTCTCTCTTCAGCATGCTTTTCTGGATTTCATTGCCCGCTTGGCGGACTTCAATCTTATCGTTTCTTATTCCACAACCTATCCCACCCTACCACACGTCAACGCCCTAGTTGCAAGAAACCCTCATCCAGTGAAAGAATTACCACTCTAATGTTGACCGTGTCCGATATTAGCTCTTTCCCACGGTCGCGATCGACTTGTCCCTTGGCCTACTCCACCCACGCCTGGCGCGACGCGTTGGCTCGCCTTGTCCTGAATAAGGACACGTGATTAGAGACGAGTCCTTGTTTCGCCGCCCACTTACCAAATGGATTCCTACGACAGTTACGGATCCCCTGGCAGAGCCCGGGATGGCGATCCCTACATGGCGAGGGCCCCGACCGATTCTTACCGGCGCAGATCCCCAGGTAAGTCATCACGGCCTCCCCTTCAGTTGGCATTGTTGCGACTTTGGAACACATTGCCTGACTCTCATTTGCTCTTTAGTATCCCAGGACCGTCGTCGTGGACGTGGTCGCTCTCGTTCTCCGGCCATGATCGATCGTTACGAACCATCGGACCGCAGACAAACCAGGGACGATTATTACGCGACGGCCCGTGAACACGCTGGGCGCGAACGTGAGGATCGTCGTCGTCCTCCTTCTCCGACTGTGGCCAACATTGACCGTTACGTCCCGGGACAAGATGCGGGCAAGCGACCCATTCCGACGAACCCTCTTCCGAACCCCTTAACCCTCGATTTCCAAGTCGGTTTCAACTGGTTTGCTGAATGGTGGAGAGCGGAACAGTCCATTAAGGAAGAAAAGGAGCGCGCGAAGCATGGCGGACGTCGCCCGTCTGATCGTGTAAAGGGAGAGCGCGAAGCGCGTGAGGACCGCGAACGTGAGAGAGCGCAGATCCAAGCCGCCTACGATGCGTACAAGGTGGACCTGCAGATCAAGATGGCTCGGACGTTTGTTCAGCAGCACCGGAACGAAGAATGGTTCAAGGAGCGCTATGTACCAGAAGTCCGAGACCCTCTGCGTCGCAAGCTGATGGACTTCCGCGCGGGGGCCTACCAACAATGGGAGCGCGACATTGAGAATGGGCTGTTTGACGAGTTCACTCTGGAGGGTATCTACAAGAGTGAAAGCGATGGTGCTGGTGGCGTCATCGAGAAAGAGGAAGGCGAAACGACCGCCGTGGGCGAGACCCTGGGAGTTTTGGACCTTCTTCCCGCAAGAGGAGGTGAATTGCGCGATGAAGCTTTGTCTCAACCCGCCCTTCTCATCAAGACCTTGGCTCCGAATGTGAGTCGGGAGAAGATTGAAGAATTCTGCAAAGAGCATTTGGGCGAACAAGATGGCGGATTCAAATGGCTCAGTTTGAGCGACCCGAATCCTTCCAAAAAGTACCACCGCATGGGTTGGATCGTTCTGAATCCGGCGCCCGATGTTACCGTGGTTGAGCGTGGAGATGGAAGGGACGAGGAAGGCGAAGAGATGGACCATGGAGATACTAACGGAGCTACCACTGTCACTGCGGCTGAGAAGGCCTTGGAAGCAGTCAACGACCAGACGATCCATGATCCTGTCCATGGGGACTTTGTTTGCCATGTTGGCGTTCATGCACCTCCGTCTCAGCCCCGGAAGAAAGCTCTATGGGATCTGTTCTCTGCACCCCAGCGCATTGAACGCGACCTAGAGCTGGCCAGGAGACTGGTCATGCGACTGGATTCTGAGATGGGTGGCAATGCTGATGGCTTTTCGAAAATTGAAGAACGGGTCGACGAGTTACGTGGGAAGGGTTGGCTTCAACCACCCGTCACGGGCCCTGTCAGCGTCAAGAAGCGGAAGGACTTTGACGCTGATGATGTTGATGAGGGGGAGGCTGAGGAAGGTGAAGAGCAGGAAGGGTGGGAGGAGGAGGACGAAGTCGATGATGAAGAGCTTCTGGCAAGGAAGAAGAAACTGGATCTGACGGTGGAATACTTGCGTCGGGTGTACAACTTCTGTTTCTTTTGCGTTTTCGAGAGTGATTCGGTCCATGAGCTTACGCGGAAATGTCCTGGTGGTCATCTCCGTCGCCCACGGGCTGGTCTCACGTCTCAAGCGAAAGACGTTGCCCGGGCGAGTGCCCTTGGACAACCCTTCCCTACCAAGAAGAAGGAGCCCAGTGAGGAGGGCGAACAGTCTCCCGTCGAGGAGAAGCGTCCCCAGCGATTCACTTCCAAAGCCGACCAGCAGCTGCAGCGTGCATTCAACTGGGTGAGAACGTTTGAGGATAAACTTCTACAGATCTTGGAGCCGGAGAATGTCGACATCCGGAAGCTGGGCGGAAAACCAGTTGAGGAAGCGCTGGAGGAAGAATTGTCCAAATACGTGAAGCAGGAAGACGAGTCCAAGTACCGATGCAAAGTCCCTGAATGTACCAAACTGTTCAAGGCAGATCATTTCTGGCGCAAGCATGTCGAGAAGCGTCATACGGAGTGGTTTGAGAATATCAAGAGTGATGTAAGTGTCTCTCCTACTGACTACGAATCCAGCTGACTTGTTCAAATAGCTCGCTCTTGTGAATGCCTACGTGCTTGACCCCGCTCGCATCGCACCTTCGCGATCTGACGCCAACAGCAACGGCCACTTCCCTCTTGCTTCTTCTCAGGGCCAAGTGGGCACTCCGCGAGGGTTCAGTCTGTCTGCAATGCCGGCGGCGTACTTGGGCGGCGGAAATCTTCCTGCCGGCTTCCAAAGCGTCCCGGGGGCTGGTGTTCCGGGTATGATGGGCATGAACTCCCCGGCGGGTTCTTGGGGCGGAAATGGATTCGTTCCTGGTGATTCGTCTGGCTTGCATCAGCCCGGGCCCATGCGCCGTGGTGGTCGCCATAACCGCTCCGGACCCTACGATCGCCGCGGAAATCGCTATGGCGGTTCTGGCGCTGGCGGCGGCCGCTTGAGCCCTGTCCGCGGTATGAATATGTATGGGTCCGGCGGTCGACTGCCCTCGACTGCTGGCGCTCCCTATATTCCTCCTGGACACCCTGCCGCCGCTGCCTTTGGCGCCGGCGGTTTCGCCGATGCCATGGGCGCCGGGTCAGCGCAGCAGGGTATGGGGCCGCGTGAAGCCGTGCAAGGTCGCAGCCTCAAAAGTTATGAGGATCTGGATGCGGTTGGTGGGGCCGGCAGTGGTGAATTGAACTATTAGAATGGCGGTGATGGGCCATTCATTCTGGGGAGACGGCGTTGCATCAGGATCTCTAGCCAGCTCCGATTCTATGTATCCGTACAGCCACCAAATCTTGTTATTTTATGCGTTGCTCGTTGCATACATTCCAAGGTGTGTTACATATCCAGCTCGCGGCCGTTCAGTGGGGGTTCCCGAGCGAGGTGATTTGACTGGGGGTGATTTGTTGTACCATAGCTCTACATGGATCATGGCATATATTAGATGGATTGCATGAAGTGTAGGTTGTATCGTATGGGTCTACAGATTAGTTGCCTTCTGCTAGATTTTTCACCAGCGAGGAAGTATACGACGGCATTTGAATGACGACCTGGTCGGCACCATCCCGCCACTGGGCGCCCATCTTCCGAATGCGCCGCTCGCTCGCCAGAAAGAGCAGCAGATAGATATGCGCGGCGATTTCACCCCACGCATATACCTTGAGAACGGTGTTTCGAAGGCTACACGCAGGACCTTTCGCGGGTACCGCTGGAGCCTCCTCCAGAATACACCACACGCCCCAACCAGCACGCTGCTCCGTAATAAAGTCCGACAGGAACGACCAGAAGCGCGCAAAGAACATCATATCCCAGGTGTTCGGGTCGGCGGCGACGCCGTCCTCGACGAGGGTCAGCGGCACGAACCAGTGGCCGCGCTCGAGCTTGTCGAGGGGCCGGGTCTGGTGCAGCGGGGTGTAGGTGCGGGCGGACCTGAGGCGCGAGGCGAGCATGGCGAGGGTTGGGGTGATGTGGGATGTGAAGGCGGCGGTTGAGATGGGGGGCAGGGGAGACTGGATTTGGAGGGGGAGTTGAGACAGGGAGACGGAGGGTCTCTTCTCTGTGTTTTGTGTTCCTGCTGCGTCCTGTTTGGTAGAGTCGATGCGAGACACAGACGCAGACGCAGACGTCGACGGATTCGACAGCGGAATGTCGACAATGTCCAGATCTGTGTCCGCAGAGATCGCAGCGTCCGGCTGCGAATCCGGGATCACGCTGACGGGACTGTCATCTTCGAGCTCGGATATGGCCGAATCTGCTGAAGGCCCGATGGGGATGCGTTGGCGGGAGGCTGCTACCGGCTGGAAGGCGAGAAGGGCGTCGACTTGGGCGCGATAGCGGACATCGTCGCGGAGGGAGCTGGGGGCGGCGATATGGACGAGGATTTCGGGGGGTTGTGCATGTGGATGGGACGGGGTCATTTCATACTGTTGAGCAGGTGATAGTTAAGATGAAGAAGTTATGTACAAGTAACCTTACTGAAAGAGGTAAAAAAGAATGCGAGTCATGCGGTGGATCCCGTGACCCAATCAGCGGCCTGAGGCTGCCGATCTGCTCGATAGCGCCGGGATTACCTAATCTTCCCATCGCGCCCGCTCAGGAACGATCGTGTTTCTCCTCCACTAACTAGAGTACAATATGTACTACCCTACTCCTCCATACAGACTACAATACAATTCCCGTCTGCTTGGCAAGATCTGCCTCGCTCGGGTCGTTCAGTGGCGGGTTTTCTTCCCTGGTCGACGGTCGACTCGAAACAGGGTAGATCCCTCTGGACGGAGTGCACAGGACAAACCATCCAGACTCAACCACCAGCCTGCCTGAACGGCTGGGCTTCTCGTTGGAGTACATCAGTTACATCACCGTTGCCCTGCAGCTGGCATGCGGACTGGCTGATCCCGCAAAATTCCCGTAGTGCCCTACTTCGGATGTCCTGGTCTTTTCCTTTTCCGATCCTCCTGCGAGCGCTTCCTCTCAGGGCAAGGAGCCACCGTACATGGTTTATCCAACGACCTCAACAGGACATGGGTATTCTGATGCCTGTGAGAACAGTTCGCCAGAAACCCACGGCGCCTATCATTCCTCCGTGCGGTCGCACATACATCCAGACGGAGTAAGCGATGGGTCTTGTATCACCCACCGAGGGGTTTTATTATTTTACAGAATGCCATTTTTCCTTTCTTTTTTTTTTTTTTTTTTACTAGCTCAGCTAGGACGGAGCGTTGGGGATCACAACGCGGTATCCATTCTTATTCCTCGACCATCCCGACATGGAACCAAGACCGAGCTCTCTCAATGGCCGGTGGATACGGATGGGGCTCGTCAATCGGAGACCGTCTGCAGGTTGGTGACGCAGCGCAACTGGAGAGGGAGAGACACGATCAAGATTGACCAGTCCAACCGTCACGGAACACTCCCGCCGTGAATGGATCAGTCTTATTCATCAAATCCGTCCATGGATGTGGATTGTGAGATGTCAAGTGGTCAAGTGTCAGGAGCATTCCCCATGGTGGCGGATGTTGCACGACACCCACCATCCAGGCCAACGACTCGCTAGTGTTGGACGGTTCAAGCCCAGGGGAAAGTTGAAATCGATCTGGCTGGTGTCCCAGGGGAATGGAGGGCTAGTCGCACGGATTCGCATCTTGATTGGGACACGATCCTTCGGCGGAGAAGCAGAGAATGGCATTATTATGATCTTTGTGATTGATAATAATGTATCGACCGGGGGCGGTTGGGGTTCTCTTCCGTACAAGAGGATTCTCCTTGTCTAGTTCCTGTGGCCGATCACACATGGGTGCGACCACCCCCCCTCTCCCTCCACAGGCACAGCAGTGGCGGCGTTGTTTGCTTTTTCCACTGACCAGAGCTGAGCAAGGGATTGATGCACTTCATTCCGGTTGGTTTCGTGGACCGAGGTCAGATCGGGACTATCGCCGTACGATTGATTTACCAGACCGGTCCCAATCTACCCGCTAGGGAGACGGTTGACTGCTGTCGTGGAAATTCTATTTCCATCCATTTCGATTTCTCATCGTTCCTCTCTCTCGTTTTGCCTTTCTCCCGATGGGAAACTAATCGACTAGTGTCGGCTCGAAGGGGAAAAGGAGGGTCCCATCGAATCCACCGTCACTGTTGACTCTGCTCGGCTTTACTCGTCTGTGTCCAGAGCTCGGCCATCGCCATTATTGCGCAAAGGCCAGCCCAACTGGGGCTCGTGAAGAACGGGGGTTGACCACCAATCCCTCCCGTCCTGCCGGGCTGCAAAGTTCTGGTGGATGTAACAAAAAGCCACTCACGACAAGGCCTCTGCTTAGCATCGCTCCGTGTGCCCACCATCTCTTGGTACCGGCGTTCCCACTCCGTCTCATTCCCTGGGTCTCCCACTTCCGATTCCTCATATCCTTTTCCCCCCCTTAACTAGATAGAGCACTCATCGTGACGGTCCTCGCTCACTACCGAATCTCGTCCGCTGCCGGCCACTCAGTCTCTTCTTGTAACAACCAACGTGGATGGCATTTTGACAGCTCGCGTGGTGTCCAACTGTCCATCGGCGCAGCGGGGGGAAACGACATCCTGCCTCCCGGTGCGGTCATATGTATGTATATCGTACCTCAAACGGTGAGGCGCTTGGACGAGCGAATCCACTTTACATATAATAATTACTAGTAGTTCATCCGAGGGCTGACAACGGTCACAGACGTTCATGACTCCTGCGCGCAATTATCATCATAGTCATTTGAACTATTCTCTCTCCCGACCTGTCTAGACCATCTCGTGTTCCGTGTGCCCGACTACTCGTTTTCACCTCCCACTTGCTCCCGACTTGCCCCCTATACTTGATCGATTTATACCCGATCTTCCGTGCCCCGTCGCGTCTCTCGATTTAATTATTCGATTTTGCGATCACAATGACGGCCGCCATGGCGACGATGAATGGCGGCGTGATGCCGATGGACCATGGAACGATCGACTTTAATACTTTGAATGGGACGAACGGTAAGCATTTCCGGTCGCATGGTTCTGGTTTCTGGATGTAAGGGGTTGGAGCTGTACGAGAAGGCAACCAGAGGTCCTGTGGCGCATCGCCCGGTTTCGACTCTATGCTGTATCGATCTCACATCCACCTATCATCCAGTTGAACTGGACATTTTCTATTTCCCTGCTCTGCTCGATGCTGACCATCCCAGATCGACAGTCGCAAAGCAGTCTGAAAGGCGCCGATTGGTTCAAATTCTTCGGAGGCGGACAGAAAAAAGTGACTCGAGGTCCGTCTCTCGTCGATCTGTCGCTGTATTGGCATACTAACATCATCTAGATGGCCAGCCGGCGAAACGACGAGGCCCGAAGCCCGATAGCAAACCTGCGCTCACGAGGCGACAAGAGCTGAACCGTCAGGCTCAGAGGTAAGTGTACAGGTCACGGCCATCCGACGATAGACATACCAACCCGCTGCCAGGACACATCGTGAACGGAAGGAACAATATATGCGATCGTTAGAGACGGAGGTATCACGGTTACGGGAGGCCTACACCCATGAGATATCGGCGGCCAACTTGACTGTACACCAACACCGGGAAATGATCCAGTCGCTATCGGACGAGAACCGGATTCTGAAGGAGATTCTGGCCGCGCATGGAATCCAATTCGAACCAGAACTCGAACGCCGCAAGGCCGAACGCCCGCACCCCGGTTACCATCAGTCGAGTCCGTTCGCCAGCAGCAGCGTTGCGTCGCAACCGAACGGCATCGCGCCGTCGGCCAGCAACGTGTATACGACACCGCCCACCACTGTCTCCGCTTCGTCCGGGGTGAGCCCCAGCGTCAATGGGAGCACCAACGGAGTCGATGTTTCCCCCACCCCTCACGTCTCTAATATCGACATCTCGCCCACGCAGGAGATCTCGCCGCCCCAAGTGGCATATAACCACGCTCCCTGCGACGCACTGGCGGCTCTCGATCGAATAGCTCCCTCGAATCGCAAACCAAATCAGCCGCCGGGGGTGTTTGAGGAGGACCCTCAACTACAGATTGACTTTATTCTAACGTAAGTGCTTCCCGCCTTTCGATGGGGTTGATCTGACTGGTGCAGCCTGGAATCGCCGTGTCGCGAACATACGGACTACCTGTGTCGACGATCCATCACCGAAGCCGACGACGAAGACATGCCCTTCTCGGGACACGCACTGATGGCGACATGTCCCCCGCCATCCTACATCGAAAACACGACAGACAAGCAGGTCTACCCGCACAAGACCTACGACCTTCCCCTCGCCAACCTCTCGACCCTCCTCAACCTGAGCCGCCAGCTTGTGACCGACGGCCAGATCACGCCGATCATGGCGTTGCAGCATCTAAAGAACCACGAACTGTACCGCACGCTGACGAAAGACGACGTCAAGATCATCATCGAAACGCTGAACACGAAAGTGCGCTGCTACGGATTCGGCGCGGTCGTTGAAGATTTTGAGCTCATGGACTGTCTGAGCAGCGTGCTAGGCGGCAAGGTCGACGTGGGATTTTCGCGCAGCGAGGATCACATGTTATATTCATGATTGACAGACATTTTCGTCCTTTCGTTTTTGTTTCTCCTTTTTGGGCTATTGTATATAAAATCTGTTCTCGCCAGATGCCCAGGCGTGGGCATCCTACTAATTCCCCTGTCTAGCGCTTCTGTCTTCACGTCTTTGTTGCATTTGGATTTATGTTCTCACAGCACGCTACGCCGGACAGCCAGGCGTTCCATATCCCAACACTACCTACAAAGTGTACAACTTGATCATGCACATGTCATATTCGTCTCTTCTCGCGCCAGACCGGACAATCCGGCATAGACCGTTAGCGGATCACACTAGGTGGCTGGACAGCTCCGGCGGAGCGCTAATTTCCTGGCCAGGTACCCAGCTCGACTCAGCTCAGCCCGACAGCCTCGGTGGCAAATCCTTCAGCTTGCCTGCAGAGTACGGAGTAGGTGGCTCATCTCGTCTCGGGGACAGTCCTGTAGCAATCTGGCCCGGTCCAGCGCCTAGAAGTAGAATGGGCGCACGCAGTGCACCATTTCACTGGTCAAAGACAATGGACGTGTCGAATCCAGGCGAGCTGATGGGTGGATAAGAACCAGGGGGAGGAAACCGTTGGGCCCACAGCCGTTGGAGATGGCGTCGAGATTTCGTTCCGCAGCATTCTGTTACGTGACTACCTTAGCTACTAGATAGCGGAGTTGATGATTCTCATAAGGGGTAGTTACTGTATCTTCCTGGATGAGCGCTTTCCCATTCAACACCCCCTACTACCTAGCACTAGCAGAAGCAAAGGTGACCAGCACCCTACCCAACAGTCTACCTACTCCAGCTTCGACACCAAAAAGTCCGCCGCATCAGGCACATCCGCGATGTACGAAAAATGCGGCGCCGCAACAATCAGCGTGCCGTAGCAGACCATATCCCCAGCAGCGCAGTAGATCTTGATCTTGTCCTTGGGGAAATCGGGGATCTGTCCGTTATCCTGCTGGTTGCGGGTATCGCCGAAGAGCACGACGCCCTTGATCTTGTCCTTGAGAGCGTCGTCGAGGCCGGGGATGGCGCCGTGCATGACTGCCGTGCCTTGGCTGTATGTACACGCATTAGCCTCGCCTCGCCACACCTCATACCGGGTATCTCTCCGGAGGAGAAAAGAAAAGAAAAGAAAAGGAAATGAAGGGAAAAAGCGTACCTATACCCCCCCGCGACAATCTGCGTGTCGGGACACTTCTCCGCGGCCAGCTGGAACAGACTCTGCGCCTCCTCGATGGCCTCGTCGGACGTGCCCTTGGGCAGGGCGTTGGCCGCCAGCGTGGCCTGGTACTTTGGGCCGACGCCCTGGCAGGCGACGCCGTCGAGGGCGGACTTGAGGCGGTTGCAGAGGGCCGGGCCGGTCGATCCGCCCAGCAGGCCTTGTTCGGTGGACGCGCGCGCAAAGATGAAGGTGACGGGTTGGCAGTCGCCGTTGCGGAGTTCGTCGCCGCCGCTGAGGACTGCGGGGTGTATTCTGTTAGTCGTGCGCGTGCGGTGGGAGGGAAGAGGGACTTGCGTTGGCGCTCGATGGGGTTTGCGGCGGCCAGGGAGGCCAATGCCAGAGTCAGGAGTTTGTAGTTCATTGTGAGGGAGGAGGGTGTGACTGTTGAGACTGCGCTGCTGCTGCTGTTACTCCTGCTGCTGAACGATGCTGTTGGGGACGGCGGTTATATACCCTCGTCGTAGCTGCGACGCCATCCTCACGGCACTCCAAAGAAACTATAGCCCTGGCGCATACCCTGCGCCATCGGCACGCCTCCGACAAGGACTAGTTTCAGGAACGACACATCGTGGAGCAGATCAAATGCCGTACCTCGGAGGAACCGTATACTGCGCAAATGCCGGCTGGGCCTGGCAGACAAACAAGGAACCTCCTCCGACAAGGCTGAGCAGCAAGCGGAGATGTTTCACTATAGCTCGCGTAGAGAGTTTGGCTTCGAGGAGAACGTTTAAGAGGTGCAACGAGGTGCAAACCCCCACTCGCACGGCGACGACAAGAACGGCCGTCGATCTTGGCTGCAGGGCCAGTGACGATCATATCTTCTGGAGGATTCTTGAGACGGCGAGGGATGCGTGTTGGATCTGATATGGAGTGCTGTGTGGTGCGGAGACGTGTTGGGTAGATGAGCCTGGAGGTGATACTGATGAATACGGAATCCATTGCGAGAAGTCCACAAGACGGAGATCTAACTATAGTAGACGAGCAAACAGCTGGCCATGTTTCAGATGATGTGACGACCAATTTTTGGGTCTTGCATGCTCCGAAGAATCTCCGGACCAAGTGCCTATAGTATACTATCACACGACGGCATGGACAATCCGAATGTTATCGTCTAAACTTTTCTCCTAGCATCAAGCAAAACAGACATTACATGATCATGACATG